ACATACAGATCCTGGAAATACAATCCCCTTCGCGGAAACCTTCTCGGAAACGTGAGAAAACAACAACGACGACTAATGAGAGGTTGAAGCAGACGAAAAACTCGAAGATGAAATCCAAAAAGCACTCCCTGATCAAGTGCAATCCGACAAAGCCCCTGCAGATTTGGTCGCCGGTCAAGGACAAAAAGAATAGATCAAAGAATCGGACTGCGTCGCTCACGCTCCAGGACATCAACGCGTGGACCGGGGCGGTGGAGAATGCGGGGATGTTCAAATCTGGCGAGGAAGGTGTGACCCCCATGTCGGAGCACCCTCTGACTAGTCAGGTTGCGGTCGTCGGCGACACCCAGCCATCTTAATCTGGTGGTTTCGACCCTTTTCTTTGCGCATTCCCCTCTTTCTCTTTCGCTTCTTTTTGTTTTTAATGATTAGTCCTTCTACTGTTAAAATCCTCTCTTGGAATGTAGGTGGAGCCGGGAGTAAGGCCTTTGCTCGCTCTCTAAAGTTAGCTATTATGAAGAACCGCCCTGATTTCGTTGTCCTGCTTGAGCCTCAAATTAGCGGCGCCACGGCCAATTCGGTGTGCGATAAGTTGGGTTTTCCCAATGTTATTAGAGTGGAAGCAGATGGTCGGAAAGGAGGTATTTGGGTCTTCTGGGACGCAGGGAAGTTCACTGTCTCGACCTGGTCAGTTTGTACCCAACACCTGTCTCTGCGGGTGGCTCAAGGGAATGCCCAACCGTGGCTTCTCACTGCAGTTTATGCTTCTCCACGTCAGTATGAGCAGAGAAGCCTCTGGGAAAATCTTTTTGAAGATTGTAAAATCATCGATGTGCCTTGGCTGCTTACGGGTGATTTTAACGCCATTCGGTCACCAGAGGAGAAGTCGGGCGCTGTTTCGATGAACGTTGTTCGAAAATGCAAAATGTTCAACGACCGCATCAACCAGGCTGAGTTGATTGATTTGGGATTCTCCGGACCGGCTTTCACCTGGATAAGGGGTAACCAGCACCACACGTACAGGGCAAGCCGCCTGGGCAGGTCCTTGTGCAATCTTCTCTGGAATACGTCGTTTCCGGATACCTCTGTTCTTCACCTCTCCCGCCTGCATTCGGATCACAGCCCGATTCTTACTACGGCTGTCCCTCAGGGAGTTCTTTCTCATTCTATTCCTCGACCTTTTAAGTTTGAAGCCGCATGGTTCACACACAAAGATTTCTTTGATTTTGTTGCAGGGAATTGGGGAGATCAGGCGACCCTTCCGGAGGCTTTAAGCAATCTCGCGACCAAGCTACAGGAGTGGAACCGCTGTACCTTTGGAAATGTTCAGTTGAGGAAGAATCGACTTCTGAGGCGTATCCAAGGAGTGGAAATAAGATTGGCAGCCTCTTTCAACCTAGGCCTTGCTAAGCTTCATTCTAAACTTGAGGCTGAATTGGGCAAGGTTCTCGAGCAGGAAGAGCTTCTTTGGTTCCAACGAGCCCGAGAAAATTGGGTGAAGTTCGGTGAGCGGAACACAGCGTATTTCCATCAGCAAGTGAACATCAGGAGGCGGCGCAACATGATCAAAGCCCTCCAAGACGATCATGGAAACTGGATGGATGACCCGCAAGTTCTGGCTATGTTTGTTTTCGAGTATTTCGCTAATCTCTATTTGCAGGACTCCTCTACCTATGAAGACAAAATGCCAAAAGGAGCCTTTCCTCGTCTGGGACAGCAGGAGCTCATGACTCTTCTTCGCCCGTTCGATATGTGTGATATACACAAAGCTATTTTCGACATGAAGCCCCTTCAAGCTCCGGGTCCTGATGGATATCAAGCCGCCTTCTATCAGAAGTCTTGGAGTACAGTTGGCAAGACTGTGACTGATATGGCTCTTCAGTTCTTCTCCACCGGAAGTCTGCCCGCTGCTGTCTCGGACTCCACAGTTGTTCTAATCCCGAAAGTAGAGACCCCTGAGTTGGTAACTCAGCTCAGGCCGATCTCACTTAACAATGTGAGTCTGAAGGCTATTACCAAGGCGATGACTAGTCGTCTCAAACCTGTTATGAGGACGCTAGTCTCGATGCGGCAGAGCAGTTTCATTCCTAAGAGGAAAACAACCGATAATGTCATTACCGTCCAGGAAGTGCTTCATTCGCTAGGGAAGAGGAAAGGGAAGAAAGGTGGGCTAGTGCTGAAGATTGATCTTGAGAAGGCTTATGACATGCTTAGATGGGATTTTCTGAGGGACACTTTGAAGGAAGTGGGTTTACCCAGCTCGTGGATTAGGGCCATCATGTACTGCGTGGAGCATAATCGAATGCGTATTCTCTGGAATGGCAGACTTTCTCCAACCATTACACCGACACGGGGTGTGCGACAGGGAGACCCTCTTTCCCCTTATCTTTTTGTCCTCTGTATGGAGCGGTTGTCGCATAGAATTGATCAAGCTTTTAATAGTGGTGAATGGAAAGCCATTCGAATTAAAAAGGATGGTCCTGCTCTCACACATCTCTTTTTTGCAGATGATCTGCTCCTTTTCGCAGAAGCTGAGACTAGACAGATCCGGATCATCAAGCAGTGTTTGGAGGACTTCTGTTCCAGCTCCGGACAGCGAGTGAATTTTGAGAAATCCATCCTCTATGTCTCCCCGAATGTTCCTAGAAGGACGGCAGCAACTCTAAGTCATAGGGCGGGCATTCCTCTGAAGCATGAGCTAGGGAGATATCTGGGAATTCAAGCTATTCATGGAAGAGTGACTAATGGGAGATATCAAGGGCTCATTCTGAGAATTCAGAATAAACTTGCCCCTTGGAAGGCTAGGAAGCTCTCACTTGCTGCTCGTTTAACTGTTGCTCAAGCGGTCTCTGCTTCGATTCCCACCTACAGTATGAACACGGAGCTGATTCCTATTGGGGTGTGCAAATCTATTGACAAATTAAACAGGGATTTTGTATGGAATGAAGAGGAGGACAAGTCGAAGATGCATCCGGTTTCCTGGGCAAAGATGACTTTGCCAAAAGCCCAGGGAAGAGCGGGACTACGTTCGTTAAGACAAGCAAACTTGGCGATGCTGGCTAAGAGTGGGTGGCGGATTCTTAAAGAGAAGGACACGCTATGGACCCAAATTATGCGGGCAAAGTATGGAAGACAGCGGGAGAACTTGGATATCCTCCAACCTTGTCAGGGAAGTTCCTTCACCTGGAAAAGTTTTACGAAAGCAGCAAACCTTCTTCGGAAAGGCTGCGCTTGGAATATCAAGAATGGGCGCTCTACTAAATTTTGGCTTGATGTTTGGCTTTTGCAGGTTCCCCTAAAGGAGGTGGCAATTGGGCCAATCCCAACGAGCATGGAGGAAGCGGCAGTTGCAGATTTCGTTGGTGCGGATGGCAGCTGGCGGACGGAGCGTAATAGGGTTTCTTCAATATTTTGCCAATCGAATTCGATCATCCAATTTTTTTATTTTACTTTAATTTAAATGATTGTAAATTTCACCTGACACAACCAACTTGACCCTATATCATTCACCTGCTACAATTACAACAATTTGACATTGTTCGCTTATCACACCTGACACGACTCGACAAAATGCTCCAATCGCCATTGGTCTCAACTTTGGTTAGTCACCATAATTTATGAGGAGTTTCACAACGTATGAGCGTCATAGGAGGTGTTTTACTCTGCTCAGACCTTTATATATCCATACTCCATTGTTCTTTCCCAACAAGGTCCTCCACTCTTTCTAGTTCATTACATGTGAGCGTAATAGGGTTTCTTCAATATTTTGCCAATCGAATTCGATCATCCAATTTTTTTATTTTACTTTAATTTAAATGATTGTAAATTTCACCTGACACAACCAACTTGACCCTATATCATTCACCTGCTACAATTACAACAATTTGACATTGTTCGCTTATCACACCTGACACGACTCGACAAAATGCTCCAATCGCCATTGGTCTCAACTCTGGTTAGTCACCATAATTTATGAGGAGTTTCACAACGTGTGAGCGTCATAGGAGGTGTTTTACTCTGCTCAGACCTTTATATATCCATACTCCATTGTTCTTTCCCAACAAGGTCCTCCACTTTTTCTAGTTCATTACATGTGAGCTAGTATGTCGATTTAAGTATGAATCCTCCATCCCTTCCGATGCCCAAAATGGCCTTGTCCTCTCACATTTTCAATTTCGAAGTTTCCTCCCTTGCAATAAGATTCAAAACATCAGTGGGCATTAAGTGTCTTAATTTGTCCCAGTCCCATTGACATGAATACTCCATTATATTGGTTTAATTACTTACATTGGAGAACTTGCACTACACCCACACAAAAGAGTTGTTATTTAAACTTTGAAAGAAAGCATGATCATATAGACCAAGTTCAACCTTCTAGCCGATCTTAACCGTAGTCCTTCATGAACTTTTGGCTTGCAAACAGAGTCCCATGAGACAAGGTGAACTTTCATTTTCTCCTTCTCGAGACCCATGACGAACCACCTAATCTTTATATCAATTGCCTCACACACTGAAACAAGGAGAAAGGGTGGTATGCATCTCATAGGTGGGGATTACATTCAATACGGATAAGGCAAAAAATGAAACCCTGAAATACTTTATAAGATATAAGATGGATTGAATTCCAAGTTTCACACAAATTCACCCTAAGGTCCACACTAGTGTTATTTTAAAAGAAAACTCTCGATTTATGCTTGCTGATTAGGGGTTCCCTTGAGACACACTTGCATCTGTGTTGTTAAGACACACTTCATGATGAGGTCGATGTAGCTATCCGGAGGGTGAACAACTACCATAATTTCTTTCCAGAATTCCAGTCAATACGATCATATGCTTCGACAATATCAATTGGGAGGAGATCATTCTTTTTCCCCTCCCGGTTTCATTTGAAGGGTATTGAGATGATTTGTGGATTTTATTTTGAGGTATTGGATTGCACTTGTGTTTGGTCCTTAGTTGTCTATTGGTGACACTTCACGCGTTGATTTGTAATTTGCAGTAGGATTGTAAAAAAAAAAAACCCGAAACCCTTCTTCTCCGTTCTCTATATTCCGCTTCTCTTCTTCACACTCCCCTCCTCCTCTTCTTCTTCTTCAGCTTGTTCACCTTTCCTCCCACTTCCCCCACTCGATCACGATCGTGACAACGTCCGGCCGCTCGCCGCTGCTAGGGACCTTCGTCGGCCTGCTTTGTGGCCCGATTCGGATCTTTTGAGAGTATACACTCTGTTGCGAATCGCGGCATCTTGTCCGCCGTCACCACCTCTGTTCACAGCTTTCCATCTTCGTACGCAGGTAATGGCCCTTGAATTTTTCGATAGGCTACTCTAAACTGCAACAGCACATACTGAAAAGTACGACAAATTGTGTTTGGAGAGAATCTCCCAAGCTAAGATTAGAGTGAGAAGCAGAAGAGGGGATTCTGGGCAAAAATCAATAGTGAAACTTAGCAGCGGCCAGCATTTAGGAGATGTTTGTACTAGTTTGAACCTAATTATGATTCGATATTGATTGGTTTGGCTCCACTGTTGTTGACCATGTTGGTGCAGGCTTCTGAGCTATGGTGGGTTGGCAAAGACATATTTTACAGACACTGTATCGTCAAGCTGGGAGAAGGGTAGTGCCTACTAGTCAAACTACCTTTGCCAAGTTCACATCTTCATGTGGGGCATCCTCTGTTTTGCCTGGTTAGTCAGTAGTCGATATGGAACTCTTTGCTAACCATCTGTAGTCCATCTTTTGCAATTGGGCGACGGCCGTGTTGCTATTTGCTTGTTGTTAGCTCTCTCTTTAGTTGTCTTTTTGTGTGTGCGTGTTCTTAATATTTTCTATATTCAAACCAATAAAAATGTTACTTTGAATGATTGCAGGCAAATCAAATTGCTGGGAGACGTTTCAGAACCCATCACCATCCTCTCTGCGCCCTCTTTATCAGTATTTGCAACATTCGGTATTTACTATAACTTTTATCCTTGTATTGTTATTTCTACATTGCTGAACAAAGGTCAAAGTCTAGAATTGACATAGGAAAATTTAGTATATAAGTTCGTGAACATGTTGCGTTCGTTGGGTGAGTTCTATAAGCTAAACTTAGTTGCCTGCTATCCACAATTAAAGATACAAAGTCAAAGCATAAATTCTTTTTCTTTTGTTAATGTTGCCATCTTGGCCTCTTGGGTAGTAAAGTGAATTCTTCATATGTTAGTTTTGGTTTAGCTGTTAATTTGATTGCATATGTATAAATGTTGATTTTTTGTGGATCACTAATTTCAGTTTGAACTATACATTGTACGCCATTTGTGATATGACATGAACACGACTTGGCCATATAAGTTCTATCAGCGTCTCATGCATGTTGGAGACTAGCGAAAAGGGAAAATGACATATTTCACACTGCTTGGCTATGTAACTGTAGAACCGATATGTATCTTTCAGCGTCCACTTGAATGTTCATATCCCAGACTTTTCAGTTGACGTGACTCATCTAGCTCTAGTTTTATTTCACAAACCTGTTCATCAAATGCTGTTATCCCTTGACAATGTTGTATGATTTATGGTTTCAGGGAATTTCCTATTCAGGGACAATGCTGGCTGATTCCTCAGAGGAGAAACCTATTTCTTCTCCATTGACTCCAGTGCTAGCTTTGGATAGCGGGAAAGCCGAAGACCAGAAGGCGGTTTCCAAACCTGCTACAGTTCAAGCTGTGCTGAAGGGGATAAAGCAGGTGAGATATGTGGATGACTTGCTTTATATGCTTCAGATATACATCCTTATCTCTACGATATTTTCCTTGCTGAACATTTCCCTCGATTTCAAGTAGGAATGAGGTGACTAGGTCAGTCATCTTGGTATTCCTGTTCAAGAAATAGTTGATTCATTGTGATAAGGTTCTTTATCATTTTTTTGCTGTCTAGGTCTTGCTTGCTAATTTGACTAGTTAATAATAGTCCTCAGCAATGTAGCAGCAGTTTGACGCTTTAAAGCTACTGTCATCAACTAAGGTTGCACATGTCAGTATTGAAACGTGTGGGTTAGTATCACTATAATATTAGATACCGAGAGGTACTGTCATTAATCGTTATTTTGCAGCCATGTATTGCGCAAGAGACAGTTCACAAGTCATGCATTTTGTCTTGCTAAACATGTATTATTGCTGTAGATGTACATCGTATTGACTTTTGGGATACTGGAGCTCTCTCTGTGTCATGAAATTGAAGTAAATGCAAGTGTCTGTATTTGTAAACCTCTTGAGAGAAGAATGTAGTAATTGAACTGAATAGTTATCGCACAGAACCATTCAAGCTTATTTCTCTCCATTCCTGTCTTGCGTGCACAAGTGTAGAAGTAGAGATCATATTAACCAGACTTCAACTCTTGGTTCTTTTATTCCCTGCAAATATGGTTGATGGTGCTTTCAGATATATATATTGATGTCATAGTTTTTTGAGATTGTTATGACAAATTGATCAATTAATTTTGGGCTGGTTGATTGTGCAGAGTCCCAAGAAGGTCAACTTGGTTGCTGCGCTAGTTCGTGGCATGCGGGTTGAAGATGCATTGTTGCAGTTGCAAGTGACCGTGAAAAGGGCTTCGAAAACTGTTTACCAGGTTGGTGAATCAGTCTGTTGTTACTTATTTGGAATCACTGCATAGTTAGGAGACATAATATTCCATGACCAGGTTCATGGTGGTGCTAGACATTTTGGAGATAAGCTTGTGGAAACTGGCATTTTATGTCCGGATGAATCAGAATATTATGGTGTTAATATATTTCTTTGACTAGCATTTGATCATTCTGGTCAGAGTAGCATCATTAAGTGGATTGTAGTAAGAAAAAGTAGTTCTGGACAAATAAACATGCGAACAAGTTAACTGATTGAACTATCTGGAGCATGAACTCTGTTCGTGATATTTTATGAGTGATGACCGATCCCATACTACCCCCCATTAATTGAAAATCCATAACTCCAATTGCTACTGCCATAGTCATTTTCACTTTCTCTTTCACTGATAGCAATGATCATGGAACTGATGTATATCTAGATCGTTTGGCCTAATGTATTGTAGGTCATACATTCAGCACGGGCGAATGCAACACATAATCATGGTCTGGATCCAGACCGTCTGCTCGTTGGTAAGTAGTATGGGACAAAAACTTTCCTACTTTTTACTTGGGTGCTTTGCCTCTATTATTCAATAGCTTTTCTTGTCGTCAACCGGCTGCAGCTGAGGCATTCCTGGGGAAGGGACGCTTCATAAAGAGAGTCTCGTATCATTCCAAAGGGAGGCACGGAATCAAAGTGAGACCAGAGTGCCGGTTGACGGTTGTGGTTAGGGAGACTACCCCGGAAGAGGAGGCTCATATTGCCAAGCTGAAGGTAAACAACTTCCGCAAGCTGACAAAGCGAGAGAAGCGGCTTGTCCCTCACAAACTTATCGAGATCGAACCAGTTTGGGGACGCAAAAGCAGAAATCACGACCCGAAAGCTTCTGCTGCATAATCTGTATTCTAAGAGATGCTGTGAGCTGGAAATCACCTCCAGTTTATGCCACAGGCTTTAGGGAGTGCAGGATTTAGCTGACGATTCTCTTAGCAGTTAGTTTCTATTTTTCCATAGAGATTTACACTATGCTTCTGATCTATGTTTAGAGCTGTTTTATCAGAAGAAAAAATGAGAAGCTTTTTGGGCCACTGTTGGCATAAACTCCTTTCATGCATAATGAACAAAACTGTACTTTTGCTACCTTGGGAAACAAATCATAGCCGTTGGTTTTGTGATTTGATGGTAGAGATTAGCATAAACTCCCTAAAGCCTCTTACAAAAATTCTGCTAGGATGTGGATAACAGTTTCAATCTGATCCAGTGGATCCTACTTGTTCAACAGCAATCCAGCATTGTGCACTCCTTTCAGATTGCTCTGTTCTTGCCCTGTTTTATCTCTGACAAAACCATTGAAAACACAGCACGAACAGGGTACTCCGTTCTCAGTTTTCACACTCATCAACTTGGATTTGTCTGCCTTTTGTGGGTATCATTTTCAATCTTCAGTTCTCTCCCCATTTCCTCTTTCCTTGTCAGAATCTGATGTTTGAAGTTGGAAAATTTGTTCCCTTGAAGTCATTTTCGCGACCCTGGTGGAAAGTGATAGCATGCCCTGAAACTAGCATCCATTGGCCTAAAAGGTTCCAACTTTATTGTTTTCCCTCTTTCTCTGCTTTTAACCTTTAGGCTGTTCATTTAGCAGGGACGTTTCCAAACAACCACCAAAAACTTGATGGTTTTGGTGGGGCTACTGCAATCGGAGCACAGAATGCTGGGCTGCGACTTCATGGAAAACAGCTCTGTGAAGAAATATGTGGAAGATGAAGATGGTGTTGGACTGTTGGTGAGTTCAATGTTCTTAAGTGGAGAAGTAGTAGAGTGGAGGTACGTAGAAATGTGTCCAGGACAGTTTGTTACTTACTTGCAAACAGAAGGCAGGTAGTCTATATATCCCACGGAATTCTAAAATGCGAAAATGTTGTTTTTGGCGATGGTTTGGCAGATTCGGGCATGGGACGCTGGTGTACTGGAAAATCAACTATACAGTGTGGAGAGAAATGTGAAGCAGGGAAACATGGGAATGATGGTTGATGATGGTGGCGAGATTGATGCACAGAAGGTAGAGAGATTACTGATCATCCAGTTTGGTTCATTAAAGAGGATGAACGTATGAGACGGTTGATGGATGAGGTGATAGAAGTAAGGGGGGCTTATCCGTCGATCCTCCCCCTCTCTCCGTTCACTTCCTCGCCAGTAGAAGAAGAACAATAGTCCAGCTGCGAGCTTTCTCGTTCTGAGTATGGGCAGTAGGACGGTAGGACTAACCATGTTAGAGCAATCAGAATGTAGCTTTGGGTGTTCCTTGTTCAATGTAGTTAAGCTCCATGATCGTAATACTTATTGCGCAAGGTACCCAAAGAGGGAGTAAAAAATCTTATGAGGATTTGGTAAGGGTTGTGTTAAACAACACAATCCTGTTGGTGGTAGCAGTTGCTGTGTATTTGTATTGTTTAGGTAGCTATTCAAAGTCTATGCATACGCATCAAAGGTGAGCTTGTATTTTGGAATGTTCCTGTTGCTTTCTTCTACACAAAAACTGTCTTCCTTGCAGGTTCCAAAGCTTTCCATTTGCGGGAAACTCTTACCTGCTTCATACCGCAAAATGCCAACTGTAGCAGGTAATTAGCTGAAATTCTATCCTAATCTTCCACATTCTACATTCAAACCTTGGTATGCATATATATATAAACCAGCACCAGTTCATGTCCACCACCAAGATCAATCAGTCAGGTTCTCGATCGATCGAATGGCTCCATCATCGAAGACGAGAGCAGGACGATGCAATCGGCATGGAGCTGTGGAGGTTCCTGATGATGATGATCAAGGTGGCTGCTCTACGCCCAAGGGTAAGAGTTTCAGGATCCCAGAGGCACTGTCTTGCCCACCAGCTCCAATGAAGGCAAAGAAGCCACCTCCTCCAAAGTTCTGCTCAAGAGTTTCTACACCTGCAGTCGCCTTCTTCGCCCCCCTGGAGGAGGAACTAGATCTCTTCTTCCTGTTTGCATTTCGTAAGATCTGAGGAAATATCAAGTTGTTTGTCTGCAACTTTTTGAGAGATGCAGAAGAGGGTTCCACACTTCCACTTTTTTAGTCAGTGAGATATCATGGGTTGGGAATCTGCTTCTTATTGGTTTCACATCTTTTCCCTCTTTACTATTGGGACATATAAGCACAGTTACTATGTGAATGTTGTTAAGAGAGGATGAGTGATATATATCTTTGGGTCACTTTTTGGTGGGATGACAAGAGAGTATAAGTATCGAGACGAGAGAGTATAAGTATCTTCCTCGAGCTGATTTGTAGTGACTCATCCTAGTGTCAACCCTTTTTGACAAATCAAATTACAATTCTACTTTTATTTTATAAGGTTTTTTGTTATCATAGATTTATACACAGGCGATAATTTGACATCTTCAATAATTTTAACTACATTTATCATGTTATAGTTTATTTATAATATTATAATTTTAACATCGAAATACCCACCCCGACCAGCCCATTGTCATTCCTACTTATCGAGTTAGTCTATGAATGCCATGCTCCCGAAATAAATTCATATGTAATATCTATGTAGCAAAATTTATGTAATGTGGTTATGACCATTTGGCTTTAATAGTTTCGACATCTTTTGTAACTTATGCTTGATCGCTATATCTTGTATGATACGTAACTGTGTAAAGTGTAAGATCGACAAATTTCTAATGATGGATTGCTAAAACCCTAGTTATTTAGGATCACTTATTTATTGCCAATTTACTGAGAACCTTTTATAAATAAATAATGGTTCATACATGTATTATTTGTAGTTGGAACTTAGTTTTAAATCAAAGGACTCAATGCGAAAAGAGATTAGTTGAGTGGCTTCAATGAGAAGCTCTTAAAATTGAAGGACCAAGTTGAAACTCAATTAAAAAGCGAAAACAATCTAGAAAGGTTGGCGAGGGCTCTTTGCAACAAACAGACTCCCATCACTGGCCTGCCGGAGAAAGCCGAATCCCCAAATCTATAGAAGCCGGAAAAGCGCCGCCGCAGTCCCTCCGTTTTGGGGAACCATTCACCGGCGATATATCCCTTCATCTTACCCTAAACAAGAAGAAAACGTTCACACTGTTCTATTTCTCTCCCTCGAGATTGCGTCTCTTTCATGAAGTAAGTCCTTCCTGAAAACTCTCGTTCAACAGTCGAAGAAGGGTCTCGAGAGGTGCCTTTTGTGGTCCATCTTCATCTCTGAGCTGCGAGGGTTTGTACGGCGGCAAACCGTAAGTAAATTGGACGAGCTGATGCTCTGCTGCGTTTAGTCATTCTCCCGTCTCTTTCTTCTTCTCTCTTGTTAGGGTTCATTTGTGGTTTGTTTTGATTGCTCTATGAAAAGCTTGCTTTTCCTTTCAATGCAGAGGATACGTTCCTAATACCTTTTCGAATGGGTTCGTAAGATGTTATTGAATCTGTTAGCTGATTCTTACTGTCCTAGGGCACAGTTACCATCCCTACCCAGGTTTAAAGTCGAGAGATTCGTTCAATCGAGTGGCAGTGCATTGTTTGCTCTTGCGTAGCTTCTGCTATTATTGAAGCCTCTTGATTGTTATTCTGGGTTGTGAGTTGATATCTATATCATCGTCCTGTATCCTTTACTTATGAGGAGGGCATTGATTAAGAAGTTCTGCTAAAATGTCCAGATTTTTATGTGGGATTTGTTTCTTCATTTTAGGTATGGCAACTGCTGAATCCTCTTCAGCTCTTGGGCCTGTGTATGCTCCAGATGACCCTACTCTACCTAAACCATGGATGGGAGTGATTGATAGAAGCACTAATGTAATGTACTACTGGAATCCTGAGACCAATGTCACACAGTATGAGAAGCCATCCTCTTTGCCTCCACCTTTGCCACCCGGCATGCCTCCAACTGGTTCAACCCCTAAATTGGCTCAGATACCAGTGCCTCATTCAGCACAACTTAATGGGATGGCCGGTCATGGTGCCCAGCAGGCTGTACAACCTTCTCAGCAGCAGGGACAACAGGTCGGTCAATTGCATCACCAGGCTCACTCCACGCAACCAGTAATGCAACAACCACAAGGGCAGCAGATCAATGCCTATTCTCAACATCCTCAAGCAACACAACAGCAAGGACAACTCGTTGCGCAACAACAAGTTTCTAGCTATCATGGCGCACAATCGGGGCAGGTTGCGCAACAACAAGGGCAGGGAAGTACTCAAATGATGCAGCATCCCAGTCAGCAAATGTTATCGCATATGGGGCAGCAAATGCCTCAACCTTCGGGCCAGCAGTTGTCACAGCAATCAGGCCAACCTATGCCGCAGCATGCTGCTCAGCAAATGCCCCAGCAGATAGGCCAGCACATGCTACAGCATCAGAGCTCACAGATGCAACAATCACAAGGACAATTTGGCTATCAGAAAATGCAGTACATGCCATATCAACAAAGCATGCCTCAACCTGCCCAGCAGTATGCAAACCAACATACATCCTCATTGCCAAGAACAGAGGAAGCTGACCACCAACAGGCTAGCCAGACTGGCTATCCTACTACTCAGTATCTTCCTACTGGCGGATCGTCGGCTCAAAACTTGCCAGTTGGAAACAATCCACTCTCCATGCCCCCTGGAGGTGCTCAATTCAATCGAGGTCAGCAATTTGCTGGCCCTTCTGGACCTGATTTAGCCTATCCACCACCAACTCAAAGGCAGCAAAATCACATGGGCCCTCCTGGAACCCACAATCAGCAACCTAACATGCCTCATGCAGGATTGAAGATGGGCTACGAGAATAATGCCCCTGGTAGGGCTGGCAATGACTACTATATGAATGCGAAAATGGAGGGTACTATGATGAGTCCTCATCAGCCGAACGGTGCTGGTATGCCTATGGCAAGGAATCAACAGGTATTATCAAACTGTACATCAGTTCTTGTCCTCCCTTATTTCCATGTGCGAAGAGACTAGTTTGTGTCAGCGAGCATTGAGCTATGATGAAGAATTGTATGTGATGCACTGAGAAAAACATGTCTATCTATACCTTGATGAGCATTATAATTATCCGGTGCATTTGGTTGATTGAAGTAGCCTATTTTTCCAGGATGCTAGAATGGCTGTTGCCCCATTTCAAAGTGCTGGACCTGCTTATTCAAGTGGATTTAGTCCACCTGAGCATACAATGCACAACCTGTATAAACATGGAAATAGTGGTGCACAGTTTCCTTCTGGTGGAATGATGATGCCTCCTTTCAGTGGACCTGCAGACATTACAAACTCCTCGCCTGCTGATGCTTATCGCCAAAAGCATGAAGTCACAGCAATGGTCTGTACGCTGGCTTGTATACAAAATATTACTATCTCTTTGAGTTGTTGCTGATTGAAGAAGCAACTTCAGCAAAATCTTAACTGGTTACTGCCTTGGGCTAATTGATATGTTTGATCCATATTAGTCATCAACAACTCTTTGCTTTTTTCTGTTAAATTCCACAGGGTGACAATGTTCCCGCGCCTTTCATGACATTTGATGACACTGGTTTCCCTCCTGAGATATTGAGAGACGTAAGCTAAATTACTTGTGGTCTTGTATTCTGTTGTTATGCAACTCTCAGATATTATGTTCCACGCAGCTTTAGCTTCTTTTGCATTTCTTAGTCGGTGTTTTGGTAAAAGCTATTTTCGGCCTGAACTCCTTGATCTCATTAGTTTTCACTTGTCGCAGGTGCGATATCTGCTCCAGAGGAGGAGCATATGTCGTACGCTGCTCTGCCAACTAATACATGCAACAACCTATTCTGATTTTTGGAGGCTGCAAAACTGGACAGTTGGAGCCTTTGTTGTGCATCTTCCAGAAGGGTGGTTGGCCTTTGACCAATTCACACCTGAAATGCTCCTCATTTGTCTTTATCTGCCTCTCTTTAGTTGCTTCAAGTTGCTTCTGTAAGCAACAATTTTCCCATGGATTTTTAATGAGTTTTTCTTTTAAATTTTCCATCACTACTTGTTTGTTTGAGTAAACTTTTGTTTTTCCAGTATCAATAGAGCATATGTGTATAATTTTCCCGAGTCTAATGTCTGCACATCTGTTTTGTCTCAGATACATTCTGCTGGCTTCATGTGTCCTACCCCAATCCAGGCACAAACATGGCCAATTGCACTGCAGAGTAGAGATATAGTTGCCATTGCTAAGACAGGTTCTGGAAAAACGCTGGGTTACTTGATCCCAGCCTTTGTCCTTCTAAGACAGCGTCATAACAATCCTCAGAATGGTCCCACCGTGTTGGTTTTGGCGCCAACCAGAGAGCTCGCCACACAAATTCAAGAGGAGGTGAACAAATTTGGGCGATCGTCTAGGGTCTCTTGCACGGTGGGTTCCTCTTGCTGTTTTCATTTAAGTTGAACAATTTATTTTTGGTTGAAGGTCTAATAGGTCCTTCAACCCTTGCATTGGGGTCTATAAAGTCTTTCAACTTCACTTTGGTTTTACTATGCCCCTCAGTTCTAACAGTTTTCTCTACGGGGCAATTAGATCTTTTAACTTGCTAGTATCTGTTTATAAGAACAAGTTAGATAGAAAATAGAATTGTTGTTTTACTTATTTAACAGCGTAGAAAAGCTGAGGTACCATTGAAAAGGTGAATTATATGCTCTGTCAATTACCTGTGAAGGCAATTTGGCCTTTTTGGCGCATGCCCTGTATATCAAATTCAAACTATGTTCCGCGAAAAAATATTAATGTCTTTGATTTGAAATTGTCCTTACAAAAACCCGAAGTTGTAAGTTGAAGGACTTGATAGACCAGTTTGAAGTTGAATAATGATCCCGAATATAAAAGTTGAGGGACTAAATAGACCTTTTAGCCTTTATTAAATTCCGGATAGCTGCACATTGCATGACTTAAAATAATTGATTTTACAGTGCTTGTATGGTGGTGCACCAAAGGGACCTCAACTGAATGAACTAGATCGAGGAGCAGATATTGTTGTAGCAACTCCTGGCCGACTTAATGATATCCTTGAAATGAAAAAAATCGACTTCCGTCAAGTTTCGCTCCTTGTTCTTGATGAAGCAGACAGAATGCTCGATATGGGTTTCGAACCTCAGGTACGTAAGATTGTGAGTGAAATGCCCCCACGAAGACAAACACTTATGTACACTGCAACGTGGCCAAAAGAGGTGAGGAAAATAGCAGGTGATCTTCTTGTCAATCCTGTTCAAGTCAACATTGGCAATGTTGATGAACTTGCTGCTAACAAATCCATCACACAGGTAATTCACCCATCTCCCCTGATTTTGGAGTTTGTGCCGATCATATTTTGTTCATTAAACAAAGCTATGTAAATCTGCAGATTGTGGAGATAGTCCCTCACATGGAGAAAGATAGGCGCCTAGACCAGATCCTGAGAGCACAAGAGAGAGGATCAAAGGTCATTATCTTCTGTTCCACTAAGAGATTGTGTGACCAACTTGCACGAGGTATTGGGCGCCATTTCGGTGCCAATGCAATCCATGGAGACAAGTCCCAAGGAGAAAGAGACTGGGTTTTAAACCAGTTCAGGAGTGGTATGTCTCCTGTCTTGGTTGCCACTGATGTTGCCGCCCGTGGTCTTGACATCAAGGACATTAGGTGAGAGCATGTTTCAATGGACAGTTCGCTCGGAATTGGCTTCTTGCATAATATCAATAATCAAACTACTTGAGATTGTAAATCCTATTTCTTACCTTCACTTTTCAGGGTCGTGATCAACTATGATTTCCCTACTGGAATCGAGGACTACGTTCATCGAATTGGCAGAACTGGAAGGGCAGGTGCTACTGGCGTGTCCTACACCTTCTTCTCCGAGCAAGACTGGAAGCACGCACCTGATCTAATCAAAGTCTTGGAGGGAGCCAACCAGCAGGTGCCCCCAGAAGTGCGGGACATCGCTTCACGTGGTGGCCCTGGCTTCTCGAAAGACAGAGGTGGGATGAACCGGTTCGATCCTGCTCCAACTGGTGGTGCTGGAGGGCGTTGGGATGCTGGAGGCCGTGGAGGTATTGGGATGAGGGATGGTGGTGGGTATGGTGGTCGTGGCGGTGGGATGAGGGATTTTGGCCCGCGCGGTGGTCCACCAATGAGGGATGGAGGGTTTAGTGGCCGAGGTGGTGGAATGAGGGATGAAGGCTTTGGAGGTCGTAGTGGTGGTGGAAGGGATGGTGGTCCTTTTGGTGGCCAACGAAATGACATGTTTCCCGGTCGCGGAAACAGAGGCCGAGGAGGAGGGTTCGGCGGTAGCCCCTCTGGCTGGGGCGGCAGAAACGATCGTTTCAACAATATGGACAACCGTGGACCCCCCGATCGCTTCAACAGCATGGACAACCGTGGACGTGGCGGTCGTGGTGGCAGTGGCAGGGGAGGAAGATTTGATGGGAGGAGGGAGATGAGCAACAACCGGAGTACTAGGGGTAGAAGCCCCAGCCGCAGCCGTAGCAGAAGCCGAAGCTGGAGCCGGAGCAGAAGCAGAAGCCGGTCTAGAGATAGGAGTCGAAGCTACAGCCGCAGTCGCAGCCCAAGACGTAGCCGTAGCTACAGCAGGAGCCCCCGCCGCAGTCGTAGCTTCAGCCGTAGCCCTGATCAGAGTGGTGAAAGATATGTGAGGCGCGAGAGGCAGCGAGAGTCGTTGTTTGACGTGAAGGAGGTTCCAGCTGCTGAAGGTGTGGTGGCAGCTTCTGAATCAATCCTGCCAGTTGCATCTCCGGGTCTAGATGCTAAATTGGCTCTTCCTGAAGCAGAGCAGCAGCAGCAGCTGCCCCCGGCGGAGGCTGCTCTGCCAGCTTCTGAGAATGCTGGGAACGTGGTGCCTGTCGACGATGGAGGAGGAGCTGCCGACGGACTTGAACCAGCTGCCGACGATTAGGGTGTGCCTTGGCTTGATGTGGTTGTTGCTTTGAGGAGAAGGGTTTGTGATTTGGAGATTTTGCCCATTTGGCTGTAGATGCAGGTTAAGGTATTCACTATTCAGTAATAGCACTGCCGAGCAACGCTTGCCAAAAAAACACTAGAAAAGACTATAAATTTAGCAATCCTCGGAGATTATTTTTTTAGTTTGAGCCGTATTGTTCGACACTAGCAGCTTTCGTGATCGTTTTGATACTGCTCTCCGTTGTCTTTCAACTCAAATGCACATTAGATTTACCATCAAACGTGCAATAGATTTGATAACGAGTCAGCCTACGAAACACACGACCGCAGTTCAAATGAAACTACTGTATGCCATATTTGTATCAGTTGCTTGCGATAGAGTACTTGGTCAAGAAACTACGTCGAACTTTTAACGATTTCATCGTATGGACCAGGTCTCGTTTGCCTCATGGAATTTATCATTGATTTGGTACTTAAAAACCAAACATCATATAGACTTTGTACACAATCCGTGGTTTGCTTGATGGATTTAGCAGGAAAAATCCGTGGGCCACACAGATTTTGAGGGTCCAAATCCGTGGACCTCCAAGGACTTGAGAATTCCACCTCAAGAAGTGGGATTTGTGTTGGGGTACAAAGTTCATGATGACTTTTTACAATTTTAATCCTACTTATTTCACTAATCACCAACTTATCCTCTTTCATTTACTAATGACGTGCTTATTAATTTTGCATTCAATATTTCATTATTATTCATTGCACGCAAGCACTACATGATTAATCGCAAAGCATACTTTGCAACATTGAAAACCTTAAGGAATTGTCTGCTTGTGTGTATAATATGAAGTTGTTATTGATTAATGATGTTCATTTGTTCCGATTGTTGTAGTGGGGCGAAGCTCTTGGATGAAAATTGTTTTGTAACGAAAATTATAATGTAAAAATAATAATACTCAATAAGGACTAAGGTAAATTACAAATATAACAATGCCAAATCCATCATGAAATCCAACGAGCGACGAGCGAACGATGGTTTGTATAAAAAATCAAATAGGGCAATTCCATCATATATCCATGATTTTGTAAAATCCAGTTTTTAACCAAAATCTTCCTTTCTCAAATCCATGACGCAAACGAGCCCGAGTTTCGATTCACAGCACTTCTGTACGAAACAAAAGTAGTTGACAGGCTTCAGAGTGGTAAACCTAATTGTCAGTCTCTCACCCTGCAACGATCCTGGCTACAATATGAGTTGATTCCTTGCGTCTTCGTTCGTTTCTTGCTCTAGTTCTCTGTTAATCCTTTGATTTCGATTTTCACCCCATGATTGAAATCACTCTGTAGTCTGTTCCAGTCGATCCATAGCTATGGACAACGCCATGGGAGCTGGAAGCAGTGGCCGTGACAGGTTAAGCGATCTTCCAGAACACCTTCTTCATCACCATATCAATCAAACCTCAAAAAGCACCAACTAGTGGGATGCTTTTGGGTTCTTGGGATTCCATTTTCTTGTTGGGTTTCCAATGTGGGGCTACTAACTACGGCTACTTGATGACAACAAAGAATCAGCAGTCAGTCAGTGAGACAAAAGAATCAGTCCACCTGTATCTTGCTAAATTCCAGACCCTACCAACTTGCCTAGAAAAAAAATATACATGTATTCTGTTGCTGGATATGGGGCCAATTCAGTTTCACAAACCCACCAATTACACAAAGGCAAAGGAGGAATCTGCCGACTCTTTTTTCTGCGCAATCCGCTAAAAGTCGATACCAATCTAATCTGGACATATCTACACAAGACGCCATTGAAAAAGGGGAAAAAGCGCCTCTTGAAAGTTTCAAAGATAACTGGCCAAACCTGCATCTAACCCCACAAAGGTAACGAATTTGGCTATTCCAACTGTATAAGCATCATGTTTAGCTCTGCTTAGTTGCAGTTCGATTCGCGAATCGAGGGGTTGTTGATCATGCGAATAGGCGCGTAAGCGCTATTTTGATGCCTCGGCAACTGTCCAGTTAGCAGTTCGGGCTATTGTAGAGAACGCGGCGAGCAAGTGCATTACTAGTTATGGTGTGTTGGAAGCCGATCACGAAGGCGATCGGGTACCAGAAGCAAGGAAGTTAGGATAGGACTGAATGGAATGAAACTATGAAAGGAAGCCATCAAAACTATAAAGAACCAAGATATGCAAGTTATCATGTGAAGGTTTTGAAGTCTATCAATGAAGCTTTCTGTCACTGACTCACTGCTGCTATATTTCCCACTTAGTAAATAAATAAGAAATGGCGTAGATGAAAATAAACAGCATGTCAGCATTCAAGTTAGTTTCCGGGGGGCTCTTCTCTTGTCAGCAATCCGAGGTCAGGCCGTCGGAGAAGGAGTCGACAGCGTGCAACTCGAGTCCTCTCGTCCGCCCTGGAGCTCCTCCCTTGAGAGAGGACACATCCAACACAATCCTGCCACCGACAACATTAACACTCTAAGTTGGTCACCTGAACTGAGGTTATACCCTACAAGAAGACCAGAAGAAATCCAAAGATAAAGGACTTACAAGTTCTTTGAGGCATTCTCTAGTTCTGCAGTTCCACCCTTGATGATGATTTTGCTATCCATTGCCGACACTGAATGCTCTTCCGGGAGATTGATTCCTAGAGGCGCTGCTGTATTAGTCATTGAACTAGTTAAGCTATGTTTATCTTGTTAGATGAAGAATCTCGAGTTTAGCTGATTACGGTGGTCATCTATCTTACCTGTTTTCTGGGTAGCAACCACAGGTCCATCCAAGCCAATAATTTTCTAGAAGAAAACCAGAAACTTAATCAGCATATGGAGAATCGAGTGAGCAAATATTAGATGGTAAAGATGGTTACTTTAAGGCTTTGGTAACACTCTTCGAGGTTGTCATTATAGAGGATGTGGTCAAAGATGCCGGAGGATTGGCCTTGCTCGATCTCAGCCTTCGCATTGCGCAGTCGCTTAAGGATCTGCTCCTCAGACTCTGTCGCTCTGTCAAATAGTACTTGCAACCGATTAGATCAAGTGCATCGTAAAAATTGATGATATAAAGAGAGGTTCAGATTGGCTAATAATGTACAAACCTTGCACGAAGGCGATGCTCAAGCTCATCCATGGATGGGGGGCATATGAAGACAAAGACTGCATCCAGAGGGCTTGCCCTCACAGATCTTGCTCCTTGAACATCAATATCAAGGATGCATCGCTGCATCCAAAAGAAAATACTCAAATAATTGAAATGAAACAAAAAGGGTCAAATCTTTAGAACATTGTACATACTGGGTTCAAACCTTAAAGTCAACGCTTACACAAAATAAACAAATAAAAAGGAATGCAATAAAAAAAGAGTTTAGAGGCACAGAAGCTACTAACTCCACGTGTATCAATTACATGAGGATGCTAATATTTCCAGCAACTAATGAAACATATTAAGATTTAAGCATTACCATGCTTTGCTTGGATCTCACATAACTAAAAATTTAAAAGGTCAACGACTAGAGTTTGCAGACTACTGAAGTATATGGCATGTGCATACTTCAAAATCATCCAAACATGCTTGAAAAATACTTCAATTCATACAAAAGCATGGCTTACCTTTCCAGAATCTGACACCACTTCGACGGCTTCAATGCTGGTTCCGTAAAGGTTGCCATGGACAGAGGCAAACTCGAGAAACTTTCCATCTTTGATATCCTTCTCCATAACAGCTCTTTCAGTGAAATGGTAGTGTACACCATCCTGCTCCATGCCCCTTGGTGCTCGGGTTGTGTGACTCACAGAGAATCCAAACATGGATGGGAATTCCTCCATGAGCTTTGATATCAACGTTCCTTTTCCTACTCCGGAAGGACCACTGATGACAATTGGTGCCTCTGCATTGCCTCTTACACCTTTACTCCAGGCTACAACCTCAGCGCCAAGAATTTGTTTCTGCTCCTTGACATATGGAGTGTCCACCTGCCAAATTCATAAGTCATCTTAAATTCTAACCAAACACAAAACCCCGTTGCTAATAGTTGAGCTTTGTTTGCATCACATGATGAAAGGGATCAAGCTGAAATAGCACAAGAAGCAAATGGGAAGTCCTAGCAACCTAATTGGAAATGGCAAGGGTCATTGAATCTAATGTCCTAATGTTTCTTTTCCCTGTTGAGTTCATTTTCCTCTGAGCAAAAGGACACAACAATCTCACAAACCTACATCTCAAGTTCAAGTGTTTTAAGAGCAAACCTCAAGAAACCAAATGCAGTCATCTGAGGAAGATCCCTTCTTAATCATCACGATTCGATCTTCATTCAGTGCCGCAGCTGAATAGCCTTTACCTGGCTTTGGTTTTGTTCCGAGAATGTTAGGAATGACCCTGTAACAGAGGATTTCCATGACATAAGCCATCTTTACCCTTTACTTTAACCCTGAATCAAGCACAGGCGAAGATAACCTCGTGAACTCACCAATTCCCAGTAGTTTGATCACAGATCCGAACCACGAAGGCGTCATCACTACTACCAATGACATACTGCCAAAATATTCAAGTTGGCAATAGATGATTGCCAGATCAAAATCCCAAAGGGCAAGAGATAACGTGTGAGTTTGTTAGAGGACAATCAAATCAGTATATCATATCATACTGTTTTACACTGTATGCTAATGGAGGTTTCGCAGGCTTTGATTGTTTTTATATCAAAGCCATTCTGCAGGTTGTCAGCGTAGAAAGCTGGAGCCTCCCCCTATTACACAGAACACTTGATCAGAACAAAGGCACAGTAGCTCAAATTTAGCTTAGATTCATTGAGTATCGAATTACTCAATAAATGGAACAGATTTCCCTCCTTGTTCATTACAATTTCCAATGAGAAACAAAGGGGAATAAGAGCTCACCATGGTTAAACAGTGCCTCCAACTCAAGATTCAACCTGCAAAAAAAAGAAAAGAAAAAAAAGCGAAGAAACATGAGAAGAAAAGAAACAATAAAATAGAAGATTCAAAATCCTGAATACAGCTTCATGAAGGGACCAAAAAAAAAAAAAATACAGAACGAAGAACAGGAACCAGCAGCTAAACCTATGCAGATAGATGTTGGAGAAAACGCCAATGGAGGGAAGTTGGGCAAACACAGAAACTAAAGTACGAAGCTTTCAACCAAAAGATCCAAAACCCAGATGGCAGTTAAGTATCCTTGTGCATTAAAAGAAGAAAAAGATCCCTCCGGTTTGTCAGAAACATCTGAAAGTTCACAGGACCAAACATTTGGGAGGGGGGAACATGAAAGCGGAAATCTTCGAAGGCAGAAATCATTACAGAAAACCCATGTCCGCGGATCAAGAGATCGTTTGGTAGAATAAGAAGAAGGGCGAGCAACAGACAGGCAAGGGAAGGGAAGTTTACCTGTGAGAAGAGGAACCGGGGAAAATCTCAACCCAGAACCACGAAACAGAAATCTCAACGGAAAACAGATGAAGAAGAAGAAGAAGGAAAGCAGGTTCGGGTTATTCTGCGATTGGGATTCAGGAGGCGGAATGTGATATCTCTTCCTGGGGAGAAAGGGGGTGATTGAGCAAATATCAGATTTGGAGGAGAGAATGAAGGAGCTGGAGGAGGTAGCTTGTTGAAGACAACGATACAACAGAGAGGAAGGAGGAAGCCAGCAGCTTTCTCTACCTCTCTTAAATATTTGTTTGTGGGACGAAAAAAATAACAGGGACGGCCGTCAGTTGCAAGTTGGGGGGAAGAAGGCGGTGGTGAGTGGCGTCTGTTTTAATGGGTCACCATTCAATTCACCAAAGACGGAAGTAGAAGCCCCACATTCACTCCTCTCTCACAGCTCTAACTTTCTTGCCCTACAGAAGCTTCATCCTTCTTTCCTCCTCTCGTATTTCTTTTCCAATTAGGAAAAGTTCTCGTCTACCAAAGACCTATTTTTTTCCCCTTCTAATTAAAGCCATGTTTGGAGGATGTGATTGTCCAAATAGATGTATTGAATCGCAACTAGGATCCAAATCCATGAATCCAATCCAATCCATCTATCAAATTATCCACCTAATCCAATCCATTTAAATCCAATCCATTTGATCCAAATCCAATTGGATTGGTGGATTCATGGATCAATCCATGGATCCAAATGACAAATTACGATTTGGTACCTATATTTTTTATATTTTACATTTTGGTACCTAAAATTTATATTTTTATACGAAAAATATCATTGGAAAATTACATTTTGGTACCTAAAATTTTTCATTATGACATTTTAGTACCTAAACTTTTCAAAATTTACATTTTGGTCCAAGCCTTGGATGTTATTTGGATTCATGGATCAATCCACCAATCCATTGGATCCAATCCATGAATCCACCAATCCATTGGATCCAATCCATTTGATCCATGGATCCACGAATCTAATCCACGAATCCACGAATCCGATCCAATTGCCACCTCTAATTGAATCAATTAGTGTATTATAATTTGTGGTATTGATTGAATGTATGTATTAGATAAATCCCTTGTTTAGAGGTTTAAAGATTGTGTGTTTGGGTTGTAAAAAGAAAAATTACACTTTTGAGACCCAATGACATTAATACCCTCTTCCGTCTTCTTCCTATCTATCGTCTTCCTAGTTAAACTACCTCTCTCGAAAACCCAAATAAGCCTTCACGAGCAGGAAGCTCACGACAGCCACTGTGCGGAATGAGCTCTGCAGGACGAACTCGGCGATCCCCTAAGGACAAGTCGTCTGATGTCGGTATGTACGAGAGGAGGTCGGCGACGACGCGTTGTTGAGAAGGAGAGGATTCCGAGTCCGTCGACCTAGACGAGGCCGGCGATGAGGCTGATTACTATCTTCAAGCCATGGGACTTTTTTGTTCTCCATTCTCTATTTTCTGTAACGGCTCGAATGTGAGGAGAGATAATAAGATGCTGACGAGGGCAATTCTGGAATAAATGAAGTTGTAAGGGATACTAATTCTGGATCAAATGATAATACACTAATTGTCCCAATACATCAATTTGAAGAATCACAACTTCCAAACAATCCAAAAAAAGTGGTACACAATCCTTGGTTCACAATCTCACATACCTGTAGAGATTGGTAAATCACTCAAAATGAGTGATTATATGTGGGCCCAAAAAGAAAATACAAGTATTCAAACTTCAATTGGAGAAAAAAAATGACTAAATCTTATGATTCCATGTATTGGCTAAATACATCAATGAAAATCTCATACTCCAAACGAGTGAATATCTCGTATAGGCTACTGTTAATTTGAATTTATGATGGTGTCAGGCTCTCTAAACATTCTCGAATATATATTCTCCAATATTTATGTCTGTTATACAAAATCTTAAAATCTAAGAGAAAAAAATGGGGTTTGAAATTTGAATACACACAATCACATGCATGTTCTCTTACTTATGAGTCTTCTTTCCAAGTTTCTTGAAGTATCCTATGCCTTTGCCTCTTTGCTCCCTCTCAACCTTTCCCTTCCACTTCGGCTCTCACTCTATGGGATCCCCACATGAAAACTTCCCGAATAATAACTTTGATGCTTTAGTTGAAGAGTCTGGTTGTTCGTTTGAGCTTGTCGTGTGTGTCTCTCATAGGCATGTTTTGTTGGCTTTTTGGGGCTCTGCATCCTGGTGTGCCTGATTTTTACCTCGTGGAGCTCCTTGCTCCAGGGATGCCATATCAATCGCAAGTGCTGATTCCAGAGCTAGGTGCTAGCCCAATTTGGCTGTGTATTTTCCATCTTCGGAGTAGTGTCACACTCTAGTATCTTGTTGTGGGAGACGATGTAGAGGAATCCTTTTGATAATATCAACGGATTGAGACTCAAAGCAGAATTGAACCCTTGGGATGTTCCACTCCCCCTGACCTTCTGTAATGAAATAAGAAACCATGGGTGACCCAATCGGGCTTTGAAATCAGATATTTGGGACTGAAGGTTTGTCCTCCAGAAGACAGTTATCAAAGAATGCCCTAGTCTCTTACCCGTTGCCTATTTGCCATCTTAAACCTTGTATATGGAGGTCCCTCCAAATAGCAAACTTATCCATCCTCATGATGGGTTTGAGCCAATTGAGGCTTCTAATATTGAGCATTGGGTAAAGTATCAACCCTTATAGATCTGGGAAAGGAGAGTTCGGATTAGTCCGAGTTCTCCAACATTGTTTCTCTAGCAGAGCTTGTTGAATGCGCCAAGGTTCCTGAACCCGAGCCCTCCATGAAATTACTATGAGCTATGCTTTTCCAGGACAACCAGTGGATTGGATGATTCGTCTTCTCTACAGTCCCCAACCAAAATCTCGTCACATAACCGTTAAGACGTCTACAATTTTTATTGGGGAGTTTGAAACATGACATTTCAAGGACTGGTATGATAGAGGCTGAGGATCTAATGAGAGCGTCTTTCCCAACTTCGGACGGGGAACATTATTTCCCCCCTTGTAACCTCTTGATAAGTTTCTCCTCCTTAGGGAACTAAATATGAGTCTTGCTCTCCTATGCTGCCAACTCCCAACTGAGCACCCATACTATGTGTCTCGATAGGATCTGTATTCTGACTGAGTAGGATGACTGATTTGTTTAAGTTTACTCGTTGACCTCTCAACTCATCATAGGCTTGGAGGAGCGACATAAGAGTTGTGCAATATTCTGGGGGAGCAACTATGTATATGAATGAGTCGTCTACGAAGAAGATATGAGAGACTACTGGGCAAAGGGTTTGAATTCTGATTTCTTTCAGGTATCTTAAGGACATAGCTTTCCTTATCATACTAGAGAATCTTTATGCACAGATGGCAAAAAGAAGGGAGGATAGTGGATCTCCTTACTTAGTCCTCTTGATGGTCTGAAGTACTCGGATGAGGAGCTGTTAAGAAGAACCGAGTATGAGTCTGTTGTGACGCATTCTTTTATCCAAGAGATAAATCTAGGAAATAAATAACCACATGCGTGAATAAACATATTGCCTGAATAATCACTATCATTTGTGAATGATGATGTTTTTTGTTTCTATACGAGGAGGTTTAAGGCTTATAGTTGCTAGGCTCTGGCAGTCAGCTGTCGGCATATGATGAAGAGTAATAGAGCAGATGGTCGGTCGAAAGAAATAAGTGACGATGAGAACAACTTTCTTTTTCGTTGAATCTGATGCTTTTATTGATCAAAGAAGTAACCGATACAACGAGATAGGATCAAAGGATCCTATGGTATATCCCCCCTCTACCAGTCGTGTTCATATTATTCATGATGCTTCTCCCCTTAATGAAAGCAGATTGAGTGTTACTAATAACGAGTGGCATTACCTCCTTTATTCTTTTTGCTAGAATTTTAGCCACTGTCTTGTTTAACAAGTTTACACAAGAGACATGACGAAAATACTTTAAAGTATCAGAATTTGGAGTTTTTGGAATAAGGACACAACTGTGGAATTCACTTCACTAGGAAGAATACATGAGGTGAAGAAATCCAACACTGTTCTAGTAATATCCGCTCCATTAATGTGCCATGTTCTCTTGTAAAAACTTGAGGAGAAGCCATCAAGGCCAGGTGTCTTTTGGGGGTGCATATCGAAAACCACTCTTCTTACTTCCTCAGCTGTAACAGCCTGGGTCATAATGGCACATTTAGTTGCAGGAATCTTATTTCGAACTAGAACCTCCACTTCTTCTCTGGTGCGATTAATCTCTTTGTTTGACTCGCCTAATAACCTTTTGTAATAACCCACCACTTCCTCCACAATCTGATTAGACTGGACTAATTCCTCACTCTCTGCTAAGATTAACTTCCTAATGGCCCTTTTATGAAAGAAAGAAGTACTCTTATTCCTCACTGCTAATCAAGAGATTCTAAATTTTTGCCAGCAGAAACTTTCATAATTACGAAAATAATTTTCTAACGTAAAATAATGAGTTGTGATTTCAAATTTAATGAATGATCGAAAAACACATCAAGAGTAGTTTTTGAGAAGTCTCTGTTTACGGTTTAATATCAAGGAGAGAAAAAATGGCCCGGATTTCTTTTTTAGAAAAAAATCGAGCTCCTACCCTAATCCCCAAATACTGGGGTTGTGTATTTAACAAAAGGGCGGGAAAGTTGAAATTATCACCGCATTTTCACTCCCATGGGCATTAGCTCTTTCTTCAATCCAAAACCCTAACCTTGCCACAGCTCCACTCCCATTCCCAGAATTCCGTCCAATGGCAGCGATCGACCCTTTCGCGTCCATAGCCGAGCTATGCTCGTTATCGTCTTCCCAAGAAGAGTACTTGCGCCGCTCTCGTTTCGCGCTGGAGCCTCCACCCGATTCTCCCATCCCATTCCTCTCCGACTCCAGCCAAGACGCCGCTTCTGCCGATCTCCGCCTCGAATCAACGCCGATAAGGATGGAATCTCTGCCAGAGACCCCCGTCGAGGAGAATCAACCCGAAGACAGCCCCGGCGGTGGCGTTCAGGCGACGAGCGGCGGAGCTGGAAATGACGACGACAGCGACAAAGATACCGTGGTGATCGGTGGCGGTTCTTCGGAAGAGGATTCGGCAGCTGTCGACTTGAGCAGGGATACGTATCCACTGTTCTCCATTGAGCCCGAATCGGAGTCGACGGAGAGGATCGAAAGCCAGGACAAGGTAATTCTCTGCAATTCTGAAGAACCTAGGGTGCTAGATGGGGAATTGGGTTTCGGTGATGGTGGTGTTTGCAAACCTCTTATCACAGTATCTAGAAATTCTGATAAAGTTGGGGGTTCTGGAATTTCCGTGAGTGAGAAGAAATGGAAGGGACTAACAAGATGCCTGGGCTTATTGCAGTCGGTATCCGAGAAGCGAGAGGGTAGTAGTAGTTGTTGCAGAACTCCATTGCTGCGGACTCCGCAATCTAATTTGGGCAGCGACCCGGCTCTAGTTGTACAGAGATCGATAGTTTCTTTGCAGAAATTGGGGTCTCCATTGAAAGGATTAGCAACTGCGAGTGAGAAACAAGGGGGGAATTTCAGCAAAAGCATGTTTCTGCAGACTTCAGAAGCTAATCTGGGCATTGATCCAGCTCTAGTTCTACAGAGATCCCTGGAGAAAATGGGGTCTACCACGAAAGAACGAAAACAAGGACCGGAATCTGTTCAGGCTGTCAAGCGGTTAGCATCTGCAATAGCAATAGAACACACGGATGATGGAAAGAGTGAAGCAGCACAACGAGGGTCAGCTGCAAAGAGGAAGCTGGAGTACGTTGGTGAGGGTTTCGGCTCAAATGCTGCTGCAGAAACTAATGTGTTGGAAAACGTAGAGCACATGACTACGAGCCAGGGAGATACTTCTTTGCCCAGAAGTGGTAAAAGAGCTAAGGAACCAAGTAGATCATCTCCAGAGGTGGCTACATTATTGGGTCTCTTGAATATTTTTGCAGCAAAGGAACCTGTCCGTGATTCCAAAGTCGAAAGCATGAGTCTCATTGACATTTGCAAGATGCACGGCATGACCTTTCCTTAAGGGAAGAAGTCATTTGATTGTCCAGAAAGGTGAGGATAAAGCTGTGTTTTAGCTAGTCCGTGATCGAATGTGTGCAAGGTCGATGTTGCAGCTAAATTTTAGCACTGGCAGCTTGCAGAAGCACCTATGATTTGCCTCTACTGGCTTCCTTTGATGTTGATGAATTGTGTAAATGCTAGGGAAGGGTTTTATGCTCTTTAGAAGCTGGGTATGAATGGATGCATCCCAGTATATATATTTTTGTAGAAAGATATGGACGGAACTCTGTTAAGAGTTTTGACTTGCTAAGCAAAAACTGTATCTTCTTGGTCTTGTATATGAAATTATGAATATGACTTGACGCAATATTTTAATCCTCTTTTGGAGTATGAACATTGATCTGTCAATTCTTTTATGAACATTATCTCTCTATCAGGTATCCTATCTTGAGAAGTATTGATGGCTAGTGAGTTACTTCTATTCAAGGACCACGTCCACCTTTCCCAAACCACGAGTGAAAGATTTCAAGGTTGTCATCAGACAGCTCCAGGATGGGACTTCTTGTGATTTCTCATTAAAGTTGCAATCTTTTGCATGGTTATGGTACTGGGTTACAGAGTCTGGATCTCATCTACAAATGGGTATTCGCAATCCGAAACAACAAAGTTCCATTTGGCTTAATTTTACACTTTGGAGCTACTTTTTGACCATGGAGGTGCTTGAATTTTTACTGCGCTGCTTCAGTTTCTATCTTCAAATGATGAGCGAGGCCCTTTTCTTTGCCCTCGAGTGTAGCTTTCTGTCCAAGTTTCAAAAATTCTTGGTATGATATGGATTTGTAATTTGGTGCTCGCTTCTTCTGCTCCTTGCTGAGAATATCTGGTAAGGGTCCAATCACAGCGTTGCGGTTTGAGTTGTGGAATGCTGCAATTGAAAGCCTCTCCTTTTCAGGGTTCACTACTACCCTATGCTCTATGCTCTTGTATTCTCCATTGCTCATGATCTGTTGTCAATGCAAATTCGACATTAACAGAATTGATTTTCGATATATGACAAAGAGTCATTAGTTGTTGTAATGGATCCAATTTCTGCTATTACCTCAATTACGTCGCCAACATTAACGATGAAGGCACCTGGAACGGGATCAACAGGAATCCATTTCCCATCTTTCTTGATCTGCAAACCTTGTACTTCATTCACTTGAGTCAACAATGTCAGTCCAACGACGTCGGTATGTGGGGAGATACCAATAACCTTGCTTGCTTGCTTACATGGTGGATAATAGTTCATTCTTACACCTTGAACACCTTCTTCAAACAAAGTGAGCAGCTTTTCTGGCTCAAGTCCCAGATTCCTTGCCATGGAACTCAGCAAGATACCTTTCAGCTTTTCCAGCTCTATTGAATACTGGATCAGAGTTGCCCTGCCGGTAAAAAGGCAAACCAGAACTTTTGGTTAGTGGTTGGCCTAGAGATGGCAAATGGCTTGTGCGGGTCAGGGTGTAGCCAAAATGTTACCAACTAGTCAATTTTGTGTCATGAGACACTTCCACTAGTCAATTTAGCAAGTCGGCCAAAATTAAGAGTGAGGAAATATATATGCATTTGGCTGAGTGATTTGAGGGATCTAACCTGAAAGAAGAGGGAACTCTTGGCCAAAACCTCATGTTTCTTACATCTTGAGGTTGTGCAAGAATGTAGAGCATGTCACCCCAATCTAGCTTTTGCTCTACTGATACCACGAACGCTTGTCCATATCCTTGGATGTCACTAGGAAGTTGTGCACATTCCATCTTCTCCTGCAAAGGCCGACTGAAGAACTCCTGAATATCTGCCTTCATTTTCAGAATCACCTTGTCCGGAACACCATGATTGATCACCTGTATTTTTACATGATACCGATTATGCCTTCGATCAAGTTTAGGATCTGATCTGTTTGGATGGCAGATTTTCAAAGGAAATGATTCATGGAAACCACAATAACGCCATAAATTACCATCAAAGTATTCAACTTGCACCCAATCTATCCAACATACTTTTCAGGACTCTCACAAGCCCAAACCTAAGGATGGAATCCGACCCAGTTCATAGTTCATACCCGTGAAATCTAAACCACGTCCTTCTCCAAAATCCATCATCCAAAAACTGATTTATTGAAGAAAAAAAAAAAAGATTAAAACACTTGATTAGCCATACCTGAAAGAATCCCCAATCTCTACTAGCCGAATGAAGCTTAGCCAATTCATCTTCATCATCACACCCACCAACCAGCTTGCTCATGTCGATCACTGGAACTCGAACAGACTCGTCTTTAGAAACCCGATCGAGCTCGAGTTCAGGACGTACATACCTAGCCGGTACGTCCTTCGAGCTCCAAGCCAGCTCTTGAACGTTGGGGACAGCAAGAGAACCTCCAAGCTCCATTCCCAGCACTTGTATGAACACTTCTTCTTCTGAAGATAGAGATTACTAACCTTGTATCAGATTAACAGTGTCAGGCCACTGTGATAAGCTAATAATGAGGCGACCATGCAATTCATACCAACGGCCTGCAAGATTTGGCATCTAATTTCCGCTTCTTAGGAAGACAGCTAGGGGGAAGATAGAGATCAACATACAGATGAATTGAAAAGACAGGAAAACTAACAACATATGAACACAGTACAAAAGATGGTAAATGGGGAAAGACCTGGAATATGGCGAAGATGTGTGAAACCAGTGCTGCAGCACGATTTCTAGGTTACCTGGTGGAGAACAGGGAAATAGAGTTCAATTGTCTCAATAGGCTATTCCCTGATGTTCAGTTTCAATCAACATTCAACCATCAAACACATCTCATGAGAGAGCGACACATCTCAAGCTTGACTTGCAAAGTGAGCAACCCAGTTAAGTAACAGCAATGCGGAGGAGTTGAATTATTACCACAGATCCGCAATGTTTCACCCGTGTCGCAACGGGAAGAACAGGTGGCAGAACCGATCATTTCTTGTTTCATGCAGGTCAACTTTTGCGCAGGGGCCATGGTGGTTGGACGGATGAGTTGGCGCGATTTGGTGGCATGACGGACACTTGGAAGAACAGTTGAACAGGTGGCAAAGCGGATCCCCGACCACCGTCTAAAATTTCCCGGCGATGTTCCTCAGCTTATCAAATCCCCGACAATCAATATCCGGCGGCCTGCTTGTGCAAACGCAGGTGGGCGGAAAGACCACTAGATCGGCTTCTTCGGTGTTGAATTCATCGCCCGCCGTCAACTCTCTCATCTTCCCTAATCCCTAATTCCCAAAACCCTAAAATCTCGTCTCCCTGCCTCAACCCAAACAATCGGTAATTTCTTCCTCGTTATCGTTGGAGCTCCGGCCGGTAGTGGCCGCGGCATCAAATATGGGCCCATCGCTTTCCGAGCCATGTTGGCCGCCCATTAAATAGAGGCCCGAAATATATTGGGCTTTGGGCCCGTTAGGCTCTCTTCCTGTGTGTCTTGACTTGAGGTTGCCTCTAAACCCACTTCTTGCTCAAATCCCTCGTTCCCAAAATCGAAAAAGGTTAGCTCTCTCTCACCGGCAAGCTGAGAATCATCAGAACGCATCTGGGGATCAGAATCAGACCGCCATCGTTTGCCTCTGTCTCTAGGGTTTCCTGATCAAACATTCTCTACGCTGCAATGGCGATGGCTGCTTTGCGACGCGAAGGGAGGCGATTCGCCGGCTCTCTCACCGCTCCCCAACCAATGTCCGCTATCCGATCCGCTATCGTGTCTGAGTATGTTCGATCTCGTGTTCCTCTCTTTGTCCCATTTCTTGCTATTTCTATTCTGTCCCGATTTCGGGTCTTCTGTTTGGTTTGATTTGGGGGAATACCTGAACAACACCACCTATCACTGATGATTGACGGTCTCTTTTAGACTGGCCGACTTGAGGCTGCAAAAGTTGATTGCTTTGAGGAAATACAAAGAGTTGCTTGGAATCGATTTGGATTCCTAATAGTGTGAAATGACTCTCAATTTTCTGCCGATTTTGAGGATGTTGCGTGTTCGTGTTCTTTCCCCAATGTCAAAGAAGTCAGGAATTATGTGGGATTGGTACTTACTTGGCGGGACTCGTTTTCTCGATTCGGTGATGGGATTGATTTGGCCAAGAAATGTATGGCATAATGAACTGGGAAATCCACTACTGGGATTGTATTTTTATTGTGATTATATATACCGAAAATTTTATGTGAACCACGGTTCAGGTGAATTAAGGGGGGTTACCGAAAGCGGAGTGATTCGAAATAGTTAGCTATGCCAAGTTCGTTTCCCTACATGGTACAATGAGTGGGACTGTAAAATCTTGTTTATGAGGTGTAATTGATGTTTTTTGTATCATAAAGCATACTAGTAATAGACATATGGAGTGATGGGAAGAAAGTATGCTGGCTGTTTTCTTTCTGAACCACTTCGGCCCTAGCTTGATGGTAAAGTTATCATTTCAGTATCATTTGTTTCAATGATGTGTCATTGCCTAAGGAAATCATATTGGTGTTTTGTTTTCTCAGGGAGCAAGTGCCTCTGGGAGTGCGTTCAATCTCGACTCAAATTGGTGAGAATCACTGTCATACTTCTCTGCAGCCGTATGCTGGATAAGCCCCGAAAGGAAACAACTAACTTTTTGTTGTTTTACTTTTTCAGTTAGAAATCGGATGAAGAGTGTCAGGAACATTCAGAAAATTACAAAGGCTATGAAGATGGTTGCTGCATCGAAGTTGCGAGCCATTCAAACCAGAGCTGAAAATTCTCGTGGCCTGTGGCAGCCTTTTACGGCTCTTCTTGGTGACACTCCTGGTATGGTCGCAATGAAATCACCCATTCTTTGAAATACTATGCAATTTCCGTTGTCTACTGCAGTACTACATGCCGATTGTTGTGCTATATTTCTTCATTTTACATGTTGGGATTATGCTTTAGTTATTTCTCGATTTCTTCTCTCGTTTCATGCTGTATGTTTGTTATGTTTTTACCAGGGGTTGAAGTGAAGAAAAATGTCATTGTCACTATTTCCTCTGACAAAGGTCTCTGTGGTGGAATTAACTCTACATCAGTCAAGATAAGCAGAGCTATTCACAAGTTGACTTCTGGTACCCTTCTCTGGCTATATATTGCAGAATACTTGTTTATATGTTACTTCTATACTGATGATCAGTGTAATATTCCTTCAAACCTTATGAATAATTTATAGGCCCGGAAAAGGAAGTGAAGTATGTTATCTTGGGGGAAAAGGCGAAAGCTCAACTGATGCGTGATTCAAAGAAAGATATTGAGTTATGCATCACCGAGTTGCAAAAGAATCCTTTGAACTATACCCAGGTTGGTTTTATTTCATAAATTCATGATCTCCATAGCCTATCAATTATTTTGAATTTAGATATTTAGTAATATTGGCTGAAGTCAACAATGCATCGTTGCTATTTTCCAGTTAAGGAACTAGATTGGTATCTTATTAGCTCTTTGTCCATTTTCCTCGTTGCGGGTTGCTCGGAGGAACGTCAGTCAATGTTCTCCCTGTTATATGTTGCAGTAAATGTCCAGCGTCCATTGCTGTCCAAACTCTTAGAAGTTTGTTAGGATGAGGGATCTTTTCTTTTGTCCTGCTCTTGTTGTGCACTCAGCTAATGTTGCTTTTCCTTTCAGGTTGCCGTGTTAGCCGACGATATTTTGAAGAATGTAGAATTTGATGCTTTGAGGATTGTCTTCAACAAATTTCAGTCTGTTGTCGCGTTTCTGCCTACAATGTCGACTGTCTTGTCTCCAGAGGTGATTTAAGATTACAGTACCTTCTTTCTCTTGTTTGCCTCCATTCTTAATAAGATTCCAAATGATTTGCCGACATAGGTTGTTGAGAGAGAGGCAGAGGCTGGTGGAACGCTTGGTGCGCTAGATTCCTATGAGATTGAAGGTGGTGAAACGAAGGGAGAAATTCTCCAGAACCTTGCTGAGTTCCAGTTCTCTTGTGTAAGTTTATGTCTCAATCATTGTATTCGTGACCGTATATTGGCTTCCAAGACTGATCCCTTGCATCCTGAAGTTAAATGCCCTGAATATATACACTATAAAAAAAGACATGTATCTTATCACATAACATGGGTATACATGACTGTAACCAATCCTGTCCAAATTTTTACTTCTCAATGTTCATGAGTCAGATAACTGGGATGAACTTCTTGTCATGTTCTTTTTTTTTCCCAGGTAATGTTTAATGCAGTACTAGAGAATGCTTGCAGTGAGCAAGGTGCAAGGATGTCTGCCATGGACAGTTCAAGCAGAAACGCTGGAGATATGCTTGACCGCCTGACTATATTCTATAACAGGTCCCTTTCTTTTTCCCGTCTACATCTCTTCACATTAGTCATCAGATAATCCAGTAAATAGAATTCAGAGAGTGCAGGTTGGGTTTAGTTAATAAGATTTGTAAGAAAGCCATCCGTTCGCTTGTATCGATATCGGGATGTTTGGAGCTCAGTCACTAACGAATGGTGCATATCTCGTCGTCGTTTTGACAGGACTCGTCAAGCATCTATCACAACTGAGCTGATTGAGATTATCTCTGGAGCATCAGCACTGGAAGGCTAATCACAACAGATGGCGACGAAATAAGGTGTTAGCGGATAACCGAGTTGCAAGTTTTTTGTTTATGGGTGATATCATATCTTTTGAAGATGTTTTGTTGAGCAATTGCAATAATCCCCTTCCCCAGCATTATAGTTTCGTTTCTGGGAAATTGAAACGTGCTTTACCATTATTTACCCCTTCTGTTGAAGACTTGAAGTTGATAATTTGAGTTGAAATCAACGAGATGTCATCGACTACCAAATCAAATGTACATTGTGCTGTTGACTTTTCCATCGTATTATATTTCTGGATTTTTATGTATGAAAGCCCACAGCCCATTGGCTAGTGGGCCTATTAATGGCAGACATGTTGTCGCCAGTCTTCTTTGTTGGCCTTATACGCAATGGTATATATTTTTTTTTATGAATCATGATTATTTGTTTAATTAATTTTTGTCGTTTTGGTCGACGTTTTGGTTTTGACGATGATACGATTAGGTTAGAGGATTAAGAAGGTAGGGAAAGGGATTTGGATGGACGGTTCCCAATTTGCAAGGCATCGTTTGGTTTGTGATGTAATGGGAGTAAGAAAATATGAAAGGGATGGCCGATTACGTATAAGGCCAAGGACCTCGATTGATAGTTTAATTATGAAGAGACACCAATTTTGTGGTAACACGTGTTGGTGATTATTTCGTAAGTACCGCTTTGCTTGGGAGTGACTTATTGATAAATAAATATTCTGGTTGATATTTGGAATTGGTTTTCATTATTATCCGGTTCCCTTAGATTATGAGTTGTTAATGATAGAAAATTTCTTAGTAAAACCTCTTTTTATGGTAGCTCAAATGTGGTGTACTTTGTTTTTGTTAAGATGAAATTCCGTCGAACTTCCATCTCCGTGACGCGACTCGATGAATTCACGAAAGCAATAACTGTTATCAACGTTTAAACTAGCGATCTTTTGTCGATAGTCATTAAAAAAAAACAACACAGAAATAATTGTTATCAACGTTTAAACCAGCTATCTTTCGAATCCAAACCTACACATTTACCTGATAATGTACTTTTATTTTTTCCAACTAGTACAACTTACTCTAACCCACACCCCATACCCACTCTCCCGCTGAACGACCATTCTGACGTACTTAATTAAGTTGTTAATTCACATAAGAAGTTAATATAGCCGAGGTTACTCGTACGCATGGCGGAAATCGAGCCTTTCTCCTTCAAAATGACAGTTTAGCGGGTAATTATGATGCCAGGTGTCACGCATACACGTTTGATGGATTACCGACTATAGAGTGACTGAGAGAGTAGCTACTTAATTAATCTCTCTGGATCGATCATTAAGTTTTTTTTTAATGTAGTTTCTGCTAAGTCTGGCCGACATCTAAAATTCAAATCTCTGGTTCACGAGCTAGCTGTCTCAATTCCGTTACATGCACTAATAGTGAGTTTCACTATACTTGTCAGCGAGACTGTTTTTACGAGGTTCACTGATACAAATACAATGTGTGTTAGCTAGTTCATAAACAGGAAATAGTCAGTTTCACTATACTTCGAGGGAATACACATTACAAAGGAGTATGATGAGAAGTATTTATAGTACTTCTCCATATGGTCTAACCCTAATCCAATCTGATAAAAGAATAAGATTACAGATAGTCTGATTCAAGTCATATCAACAACTCTCTTGATCAACGGACGGTCGTAAATTCCGGTCGGAAGATAGATGTATAAAAAAAATCAATAATAGATTATTTTGTGTTGAAGTCACAATACAATCTAACAACTACTGCTTTTTGTTGACAGTGAATGTTCAAACGTAATATAATTGGTGTAGAATCATTCAATTATTGTACTTCTTGATTTTACCACTCACCAAACAAAAAACAAAATTTCTTGTATGCATGGGATATTGAGAGAGTGGAACATCCTAGAAATTGAATCATACTTAGAAATGATAATTGAATTCGAATTTTTTGAGTGTCTAATCCGGTTCAATTAGGATAAATCGAATAAACTTTTGTGTTAATTGGTTTTGAATAACTTGCGAGTTTTACTCACTTTGGAAATTGATTGGTTGGATTAGGCGCTACATTTATCGCAACTCAATTCACTTTCCACCTGATTTGTACCCAACAAAATCGAAAAGACATTGTTCTGTATGCAGTATGCTACACTGATAAATGATAATATGAATAACTTATAGATGTTATAACAATATAGTCTTATTAACGTAAATAATTTATGAAATTCATTAGTGGTTATTACAAATGTAAATAAATTGTACATGATTCAAAAATCGAACATCTCTCAACAACTCGAGTTATTGAGATTAACTGGTTCTTGACATCGTATCAGAGTCTTCTGTGAGCGAGATGTCTCTTGTACGAATCTCGATGACCATCACCTATTCTGTTAAGCACATGATATCCGGACCTGTGCAAATTTCAAATCCGTTTTGAGTCAACTTTCGTTTGAGGGGGGTGTGTTAGTAAATGATATATGACCCTTAATCGAACATCTATCAACAACTCGAGTTATTACAACCAACCGGTTCATAACAACGATATAGTTGTAACATAAATCTTCGATAATATAAGAATGCAAATATTTGGAGAAATTATTTGTGATTCTTCTCAATAAACCATAGATAAGCATTTGTTGAATTTTCTCCTAACAAAACCCATCAATATTTTGTGTGCAAAAATCATTTTCATGCTTTTAGCTACTCATACTATTCCCACCCTCCAAAATTATAAAAAAACACTCATCAATTTCCCTTCCCACACTCTTAAAACTCTCTCACTGCATTGCTCCCTATGTTCTCAAGCTCTCACCGCCGTCCCAACAACAGCCGCCGCACCGCCGCCGCCGCCGCCACCTCCTCCTCCTCCCCCCCTCCTCCGGCAACCATAGCCAGCACCCCTTCCTCCTCCTCCTCCTCTGCCAGCAGAGGAGCCCATGCCGACCACCACCACGATGACGACGAAACCGACGACCACGAAACCGAAGTCACGATACGTGACATCTACGCGCTGACCCCGCCGCGCCCCCCGCCGCCGCCGCCGCTCAGCCGCCCCTCCTCGTTGCTGATGAGCAGCGGCGAGCTGGGGACCACCGCCTCGAGCGAGAACTTCACCACCATGAGCAGGGAGTTCAACGCCCTCGTCCTCGCCGGCTCGGCCGCCGACACCGGAGGAGGGCCGGAACACGTCACCACCGCCGCCGCTGCGGCCGCCGCCGCCAACGTGAACAACTACTTGGCGAGGATCGGAGAGGACGACGACGACGTGGTGGTGGAGACGAACCCTCTGGCGATCGTCGCCGATCACAATCCGGTGATGGCGCCGTGGGGAAGGGGAGGCTCCGCCGCGTCGTCGGCGGCGATGGGCGGCGGAGGGGGAGGAGTGTCGACGGTGGGGAGGGTGAAGAAGGAGGAAGTGGAGACGAAGATCGGCGCGTGGCAGAACGAGGAGATTGCGAAGGTGAACAACAGGTTGAAGAGAGACGAAGCGATTATTAGCGGGTGGGAGAACGAGAAAGTGCAGAAGGCTAATGCCTGGATGAAGAAGATTGAGGTAAATAAATAATTAATTACTTTTCTAATTTGCAAAATCGATTAAATGCAGCATTACATCTTACACAATTGTGAAATCGAACCGGTTATTTGGATCGCTAAAAATCTTCCTAAAATTACTAAACGGGGTTTTCCCTTTTGTGTAATTAGTTATTTGTGTGATTTTGGAAACAATTAGTTTTCTAAGCAAAGATGTATTGATGATGGCAATAGATGAAGATGAATGCTTAGTCTTTAATCAACTCTATCTATCTCATATGTTTTGAGTTAATTATGAAGGATGGACAAAATCGAACATTGCCTTTATTTAATATGACTGGAAATAATCTGGCTAGACAATTATGTCGATTGCTCTTCGTAGTAAGGAAATATTTTTTTTCCACCCTTGCCACTTAGTCAGCGGCGGATCTAGGGGGGCCGCCCCCGGGCCATGGCCCTGCCCTCCCTCGATTCGGAACTAGTATAGCACGTGTAAATTTTCGATTTTTGGTGTTCGTTTCGGTGTTCGTCGTGTTACGGCCCAGCCTTCTCTACTTTTTTCCAATGTGGCCCAGTGCTCTACCCAATCCTGGATCCGCCGCTGCACTTAGTTGCTAGGGTTTGGTTTAGATGAATTCTTGTGTGGTCGGATTAGGTTGTTCTAGATATTATTTTTTGGGTGCCTTCCTATTTCTACAAAATGCGTGTATGTGGAAGTCACAATCATATAGTTATGAGTGTTCCACTCTACCAAGGACACGTCGTCATGCACGACAACAATTTCACAACCACTTGTTTTAATTAGTTAGACCTAAAATTAATCAAGTTTCATTATGTCAAAATTCCCAGCCTAATTAATAATTAACCATGATGTCTTGTCCACATTTTTTTTTTTGTAATTATCTGTTGTTCTTCTGATAATACACACTCGTCAAAACTAATGAATTAGAGTCTTCAACCTTCTAATCACCAGCTCCCCCATAATTGATAAAAATTAAAAAGAAAAAAAGGGAAACGACAAGATTCTTTATTGAAGTCTCATCACATTCCCATTAATAAGTAAATTAAGCATAATTTTTTTCCCAGATTAGGGTTAGGAATTCAATTCGTGTTGGACACCTAAACCAAGATATTTCTTTAATCTTTGTTTGTATTTGTGTACTCTTTTTCCTTACCAAAAAAAAGGAAAAACTTTTCACCAAAATTAAAGTAGATGCTAATCACTTTGATGATATATGAATGAGAAAAGATAATGTAGAAAACTCAAAACTGCAAAAGATTTTTTTAAGTATTTTCGTTTGATGATCTGGTCCCGAAAATACGATACATCGGTATAAAAGATTGAGTGGGTTCATTGTCTTACATAATACGATCATATTTTGGGTAGTATAATTTGTACAAAAGATGGCAAGACATGGGTTTTGTAATCCTGAATTTTGTATCGTAACCAAAACCTAAATGAATTAAGACTCCTGGGACGATATTCTATTGTAAATATTTTTTAACAACGGACAAATATCTAATTGGAACCAGCAATCTCATTGTTGGAAGTTTGTTTGTCTGGGTATATGCTCAAATGTGAACCAATTAATTAACTGATCTCGTCATGACATTTACCACAACTCCTAGCTTTTAGTTTCTTACCATTATTGCTTGAAAATTGAAATGTGCAGAGGAAGCTGGAGGAGAGGAGGGCTAGGGCACTAGAGAAGATGCAGAACAAGGTGGCCAAAGCACACAGGAAAGCAGAGGAGAGGAGGGCATCTGCAGAAGCCAAGAGAGGGACCAAAGTTGCCAGAATCCTCGAGGTCGCCAATTTGATGAGAGCAGTTGGGAAAGCACCAACCAAGAGGTCCTTCTTCTGAAATAGAAGAGATATATAGATAATGATATATAGATATATCTCCCTCTGCTCAAAGAGAAACCCAGAAAAGGAGGTTACTTGATAGCCAAGTTAAGTGGGGAGGGTTGTTTGGTCCTGTATAATGTTTTGAATTGCAGGGCAAGCAACCCTAGATAAGGACACCATTATGGTCATGGCTGGGAGTGGAGTGGAGTGGAGTGGAGTGGCAAGTGAAGGACTAAAACCACATAGCAAATATTTTGCTTCCTGTTGTGTGTGTTGAGGTGTTTTTAGGGTTTTTTTTTTCTGTTGTTGTTTTTAGTACTGTACAGTTGTAATGTTTCTACTCTGTAAATATACTATCCAACAAAAAATGTACTTTCATCGATAGATTAGCGTTTGGTCGAGTATTACCTGAGGATATTTACATTCGAGACTCGTTTGTCGGTAGATCGACGTTTGATCTGAGTATCACCTGTGGATATTACATTCCTTGGCAATCCCCCCTCTAGTGGCCGAGCATTTGTCTTCTCCGGCTGCATTATCCTCATTCAAGCTGTTAACGATGCTGTCCTTTTGGCCTCGGAAATACACAGCCTGGATTTCAACAGTAGAGTACATCATCAACTCTTACTTCTGAATCATTCACTCTATGAATACATAAGTGTGAAGTTAATTGAGCTGCAAAATCTGTTGTTCTGAATCATTCACTCCCTCAATTATAACAAATGAAAGTAACTATTCTTATAAGAACATGTATTGTTAAGCAAATATCGATCGTGGATGATCATCGATTACATTAGATACACAAATTAGTGTTACTTGTAACCTCTCGGCTTTCAGCCTATATTTGAATTCATTTTTATTACTCATTGTTGTACATTCATGTACATTGATAACAGAAATTTAGGGTTATATAAAGTATATACCTATAAATACAACATCTCGTTATACTAAACAAGAGATGACGAGAAAACTTTCTGTCATCTCCACTCTTCTCTTATAGTCGTTTATCTTCTTCATTAGTTTCTTTGACATGTATACTATTTTTTCCCTAAAAATTTTACTCAAACTTATTCCAGAAATGACATATCTAGAATACATGAATTATTGAAGACTCTGTAGACTAGACATGGTAGTTCATCCTGTCATTTCAATGGCATAACCGAAGACTATGTGACAGACAAATTCAATTCAATTCAGTGTCTCCACATTTCCTCTTCCCTCTGCCATCTTCTATTGTTGTTTTCTCCTTTCCATTCTTTTTGGTAGAATTTCTTTGTCAGTTTTATCTTCTTTTGCTTTCTTGTGTTCAACAAAATTAGACAGCTTATTAATATTTTTCAAACCCCTGATCCACCTTATCTTTAACCCCACCACCAATCCAGTCTTTTCCTTTCCATTCACCTCATATTTATCAATGCTTTCCCTTTTCCTTTTTGAACATATTGATTGTCTTTTCCTGAGGAGCAGAAATGGACACATATCATGCAACATTTTTTATTTGAGAACTCAGCAATGCCTACCCCATTAAACAAACACTTTCAGCAGAAGTTAGGTCTGATTAAGGAGTCCAAAAGGTTGTTAATAATAGAGGTCTCCCGATTATCCCAATGTGATGTTCCTAACCTTTTCCTCCTAATCCTAAGTGGGAATAAGTTAATTCTTCTTTTTTTATAAAACCAAACAAGAAAGTGGACTCGTGAGATTACCTGAGTTTCGTAAAATGCATTGTAGCTTCCACCCTTCATTTTGGAGGTAGACTATGATGCTGTCCCTTTTGTGAACGCGACCTGCCATACAAAGATGTGGTTACAGGAAAAGCTAAAGTTAAATAATGATGTAAGTTTTGGCTTAGGGGACCTTATCAGAGCAAAAGAAGAAACCTTTTTCTTTTCATTTCTCAAGCTATGGATGAGTGCAGAATGATACGTTGCATCCATCAAATGATATCAATGCAAGAACTAATCGCTAGAAACTGTCTGTAGTGGGCAAAGCTGTTGGAACTGTGCATATCTTTACAACTCGAAAGAGCACTTACTGTTAATAATAATACTATCCAACCATAAAATGAAGGAGTGATATAAAGTGACCCCAAAAAAACAAAAGAGCAGCACTTTTACGAGTCACTAAAACAGAACCGCAAATTGCGTAATCAGTGTCTTCCAATTGGTAAACTAATAAAGCGGGAGGGGAAACAAAATGTTTGGTAAAAATGTCGAAAAGGTCGCCTAGGATGTTGAACAAAGGAAAAGAGAAAACAGGAGATGCAGTGAACTCAACTGGTTGACGTTGTTGGATTGCACATAACCATGCCGTACATCCAACAACTGAGATCACATGACCATGTGATGCAATGGCACTAGCCCGTGCTGATGCTTACTCATCAGCATGGTAGCAAAATTGAAAATTCAGTGAACTCATCTGCAAATAAGGCAGGGAGCATTATATTTCATTCATTACCTTGTGGGGATGAATATAAAAGAGCACCTTTTTCCAGTAAGTTGATGACATGATTCGTTAGCCAACATACTACAAATCCTTCATTCCCGCGGCTGTTGAACATTTTGACGTCTCATCTTCTCGACACAGTTGATGATGCTGAACTTACAGCACAAGCAGCTCACTGAACGCCTTGTCTCAACCTTACCAAAGCCACAAAAAGAAAGAAAAAAGTGAAAAGGGTATCACATAAACATAATGCATAAATTACAAAGATTTAAGAAAAGGCAGATGCATATTGGATCTTCAGCTAAGTTTCCATGGTGATCTAAAATCTGTAGATCAACTTTCCAGTGTTAACATTGGCTAATTTGAGTAAGAAAGCAGATAGTGAGCTAAGCAAATGTCAGCATGTCCTAGATATGGATCCAAATTATAGATATGGTTACTGAAATTGACAAAAGAATGACACCACTTAACTTGCATGATCTCTAAGATCTTAATAGAATCCATCCATTAATGAGTTGGAATTTACCAAACCGACCTGCTAGTTGAACTATGAGGACCACCGAGACTTCTATGACTACATGTTCTCTCTAGGCCTCTTCCACTGTCTTTCGATATGCGGAAGGGAAAACAGAGAGCAGAACGCTAGGATCTTCAATTCATCACTTAAGCGATCACTTGCCTGGTGAAATAAAAATACTGTCCCAGTAATATGCAGCCTGAAAGGGAACTGGAAGTGTTGTCCTACTCCTAAAATTGTAAGGCACAACACAACTCCCTCCACATGAAGGTCACCTGCCCAAAAGAGCAACAAATGTCAACAAGTACTTGCAAAATTAATCACAGATTACATAAGTCATGAAAAGGAAAAAGCCACATCATTGTTGAGCACACTTACAAAAACACTGCGCTTATAGCATAGTAGGAACTTTTTAAAACACCTGAATAGTAGCAAGAATTTCTTTTTGGGCAATTAACTATTGGCAAAAATGCTTTATACTTCAGGAAAGAGGCATGTAATTAATACATAAGCATGTCTTAGAGATCTTATTCTAAGGATGTACCTGTCCACTTTGAAGTCACGTGTTAATTCTTTTACCTTCCTGCAGACCTCATTAGGTGTAGCACATGCTCATGGAAGTGCCAACCATGCAGATATTAGACTAGGCAATTGCCTATTCCATCCTTGTCCTCTACTGAAGCAGTTTGCAAACTTGATGATCACTCAGAAACTAGTCCGATTGCAATGACCCACTGCAGGGATTCCAAATAAGCTGATATCAGTGATACCAACAGAGTTCCATCTCATCTCATTTGTTAACAAATCCAATCTTAAATAGATTTCTTCGACTTGTGGATGATCTTTCCCACTAGCAACAAAGTGATGAAATTTGTTATCAATCTCAATCCAGCTAACACCAGCCTCCTTGTGTAAGTTCAAGTCATTCATAATGGTTCTTACCCTAGCTTCCTCAGGTAACATTCCTTTCCCAGCATACATATTCGAAACGAGTATGTAAGGTCCAGCCTCTTCAGGAGACAAATCAAGCAGAATTTTGGAAGCCAGCCTACCAATATTCAGATCTCCGTATAATTTGCAAACAACCATGCAAGAATAGTGCTCAACTGATGGCTGAATACCATATTTCGACTCCATTGAACTGAAAAAGCATATACCATCTTCCCACAAACCTGAGTAGCTGCAGGCTTGGAGGATCGCCAATAATGTGATCTCATCAGGAGTGAAGCCTTTTGCCTTCATTTGTTCAAACAGAAGGAGTGGCCTTTGTCCTTTACCATGAAGACTATAACCAGAGATTAAAGCATTCCACGACATAAGATCATGGCAATTGATATCATTGAAGATCTGATGAGCATCTTCAAGGCTTCCACATTTGGCATACATTGTAATGATAGAGTTTGCCACAAAAACGTCATTTTCATAACCTGTCTTGACAGCACAAGCATGGAGTATTTTCCCGCTTACTAAGGAAGGTTGAGTAGCAGATAAACTGAAGAGGCGTGATAAAGAGACAGACTCAGGTTTATTTCCATCAGATCTTAACTGGCTAAGCAAAACCAAGGGATCTACATATTCAGCTCCACCCTTGTCCATACACACTGTTAGAAAGGCATTGAATGAAGTTGTACTCATATTTGAACTTACCATTACTCTTGCCAACTGCATGTTCCCGTATTTGCCATATAATTCTACAAGAACAGCTACAACCTCAGGATCATGGAGATAACCAAGCTTTGTAACCAATCCATGAACTTGAGCTCCCAATTCTAAGTTCTGCCATTCCAAACATCCATTTAGAATGGTAGAAAACAAGTTAGAGTCACAGTTGACACCAAGTCCCAGGAACACAAAGAAAGCACCAAAAGCTTGTTGATAAAAACCATTCCTTATGTAGCTTGAGATAAGAGCAGTCCAAGTAATCAAATTCCTGTGGTTCATAGCAGAAAACACTGTTTCAACCTCTTTAACCATTCCATTCTTTCCATACATGGAAATAATTGCATTTTCAACTGATATTTCATCTACAAAACCGAACTTAATTCCAAGGCCGTGCAATTGCCTACCTTCCTCAACACCTAGAGTTTCGTTGCACATGCTAAGCGTGTTAGTGAATGCATAATCATTCGGCACCAAATCAGCAGAAAGCAGATCCACGAAAACCTCCATAGCTGTCTCACCACATCCCCCATTACCATATTCCAAAATCATCAAGTTGAAGCAGCGAAAATCTTTACCCGGTATGCTACTGTAGATTTTCTCTGCTTCACTCAACTGCCCACTTCTTGAGTACATCGAAATCAAAGAAGTGCTCACATAAACATTCTCCTCAAACCCACATTTCACAACAAAACCCTGAATTTGTTCCCCCAATATCTGGTCCCCTTGTGAGCTACACGCCTGCAGAATCACAGAGCAAGTATGCTCGTTAAACTTTTCTCCCAGTTGATGCATTTTAACCACAGCTTCAAGCATACCCGCTCGGTCTTCATTATCGCAGTACCCCTTAATCAATGACGTCCAAGTAATGGTATTTCTCACAAACATTTCATCAAACACCTTCCTCGCCAAATCCGTTCTACCCAATTTCGAATAGAATTCGACAACGTTGTTCCCCTTAAATGGGTCATCCCCGAACCCTGATTTCACTAAGCACGCGTGAATCGCTAGACCCAGTAAGAAATCGCCGGACCTGGCTGAGATCTTGAGCAGGTGAGGCCAATCACTCAACAGATGAACTTCGTCGCAAGGCAACCCATCAAACAAGGCACATCCGAGAGTAATTCCCTGTTTGGATTCCTGCGGTGTAGTAGTTTTGACATTTCTGGGACCGGAAGAGGACGCGGGAACCGGTGTACACGGTTTGAACTTTGAACGGACGAGGGAACGGTCGTTGGAATGGTGTGGCGGGAAGTAGGGTAGTCATTCTCAAATCGGATCTCGACTATTGTTGTGATGCTCAGAGGTGGACGATGAAACCAATACAACCAATGGGATGGGTAATTATCCAAAACGGTTACCTAACTTCAGTATTTGAACAAAATGATCACATAACGTTTATTATTTTTCAAAGTGATGCTACAACTTTGAAAATTCGTAACAAATGATCACATTTATCAATTTTCATCCAAAAATTTGTCCAACTTGAAATGTTAAATTAATAAAAACTAGAAATCGTGTCAAGCTTCACCCGAGTCCTCGAACCACTCGACCGTATTCGTAGAAATTATAGTTATATCCGACTTGAAAAGATGAAACACGCATCTAATAATTGGCCAGGCGTGATTTTCTTTTTTTATCTTTACGAGAAAGACATGGCAAATTAAAGGTAATTTTTAATGGAATGACGAATTCAAACTTGTAACCTATGTTTGTGTTTTTCATTATGGGTCGAGTATAAATTATACAACGAGTAAGAAAGTTGTTAAAAAGCATGTGATTTGATCAATCCAATTCTTTTACCGTGGTTTTGAGTTCTTTTTGTCTCCTCATGAGTAAAATTATTTGGCTCTCGTATATTCATACTTCAAGGACATGCCCTTTGTTCTGGCAGTTTGCAATTTCGTTGGGTTCGTTGGTGCTTAGGTAGACTTTGGTGCAATTGTGCTGGCTTAATAATTTGTTTGGTAAAGCCTGGAAGGCTAACATGATAAGATGGATGATATTTTGGATAAACTTGGATGCAAATTATACTTGTAAGTTGTAACTTGAAACCTATCCTTACATTTTTGGGGAAAGCTATATTAATATGACCATTTTTCTCAAACGTCAAAGTAATATGACTATTTTGGATAATTATCCAACAGGACGTCTACGGGCTCTAATGGTGAAGTGCAAGCTTGGGCTTTTTAGGGGCCCGTTATTTGGATGACGTGGTTGGATTTGAGCCCGGCCCACGCAAGTCGAATACCAACCTCTCAAATCCTTTTGTTTTTCCGTTGGTTTTAACTTTCATCGCCAAATCCATTTCTCTTCCAATCCTCTTTTCTTTTCCCAGTGAAGGAATCGAGCGACTGGAGAGAAGAGAAGAGAGCAATGGAGTTGGCCACCAAGTTCCATAGCTCTTCCTTCTCTATCTTCAGCGCTCCAATTTACAAAGGTAAAACCGTTGCTGCTTCTCCGTCTTCTTCTTCATCATCATCATCACTTCAGCTTTCGAAGCAATGGTTGGGCGCCGGCTTATCGTCTCGGACGGCTACTGCGGCCAAAGCTACGCCGTCGTTGAGGTTTCTGTCGAGGCAGCAGCGGAAGTCAATTATCAGTCCGGTTAAGTGCTCCGTTTCTCAGACCACGCCGGCAGAAACTTCCGCGGGTAATTCCTTCTTCCGTGCTAATTGCGGTAATTTGCTGAATTTGATCATGTGAGTGTATGGATTATGGATATAACTTACTACCGAATTGTATCAGAGAAGAAGAGTCAATTGATGAGAAGAAGCGATATAAGGAACATTGCAATCGTGGCTCATGTCGATCATGGAAAGACGACTTTGGTTGATTCCATGTTGAAGCAAGCTAAGGTAACATTGGCGAATTTCGTTTTTAGTAGACCGATTCTTCATATTGGCGGATGAAGCATGCCTGTTTAGGTTTAGGGCAACCAGAGATAGTGATGTGAACTTGCATGTTTGACAATGCTTGCTGGAACAACGCTAAATTTTGATGCGCAGGTGTTTCGTGACAATCAAATTATGCAAGAAAGGATAATGGACTCAAATGATTTGGAGCGCGAAAGAGGGATTACGATACTGAGCAAGAACACGTCTATTACTTACAAGGATACCAAGATCAATATTATTGATACTCCAGGCCATTCTGATTTCGGTGGTGAAGTGGAGCGCATCCTGAATATGGTTGAAGGAGTCCTTCTAGTGGTACTATTTCCTTCCCTACCTACTTACCCTTGCAGGAAGCCAGGAACTAAACTTGCTGAAGGGACTATCTCTTTCTTGGTTTGGGGTGTGGGATGTTTTGAATGCTCAAATATTTCTTAACTTCACAAGCTTCTTAACTATTAAAGGCTGCAGCTAGTAACTGGAGTTTGGCAGGAATTTTTCCTAGCAGTTCCCATTTATTGTTTGTTCGAGCATTTACATGAACTTATGATTTTGGGTTCTTTGAATCACAGACGTTGATTCTTATTACTGCTTGCAATGGGCTATCTGTGCTTGCTCTTGCCCGAAGTGATTAATATGGAATGCCCTATCTAATAAATTTACTTTTTTGTGTGTTGTAGGTAGATTCTGTTGAGGGCCCAATGCCGCAGACCAGATTTGTTTTGAAGAAGGCTCTGGAGTTTGGCCATGCTGTCGTTGTTGTTGTCAACAAAATTGATAGACCTTCAGCTCGTCCAGAGTTTGTCATCAACTCCACCTTTGAGCTCTTCATTGAGCTGAATGCATCAGATGAGCAGGTACTCTATGATTCACCTTCATGATTTTGTGTTTTAGAAGTCCACATTTGCAGAGCCTAGATAGATATGCAATTTCCTCTTATTTAGGTTTCCCCCGGTTTCTGTTGAGAGCATCAGGGAGAACAACAAAAATACTGAACTATTAATAAAGTAAAAATAATTTTTTCATGAATAGTAAATAGGAGTTAATAAAAAAAGGCTTCCCAGTCGGAAATCTGGGTTGTTGATGTTTTTTTAGCTTGTTGGTATGGGAATCAAGGGTGCATGTAAAGTTTGACTCTAATTGCATTGTTCTTGATCTTCTGCAGTGTGATTTCCAATCTATTTATGCCAGTGGCATTCAAGGAAAGGCAGGATTGTCTCCTGATGATTTGGCTGAGGATCTTGGACCACTTTTCGAGTCTGTAATCAGATGCATACCCGGACCCCGTATAGAAAAAGATGGTGCTCTGCAAATGCTTGTAAGTTGTTTGTTTTATTTATCATCGTTCCTACTGTGTTCTTGAATAGCAGCCTATCGGTTCTGTGTTGGGACCTACATAACCTGCTTCACCTCCATTTCTGGTGTTGTACCAAATTTCATGTCTAAATCAAGGTGGTTGTGTTTTATTTCATCAAAAGTTTCTCTGTTGTTTCCTGAATATGTTTCTTAATATGTGTATATACTGTGTCTTCATCTATTTTATAGGCGACGAATATTGAATATGATGAACATAAGGGACGTATAGCTATTGGACGTGTTCACGCTGGGTCCCTCCGGAGGGGGATGGACGTTAGGGTGAGTACTTCCTTCGTTGTTTAACTTCGATTCTTTTCCTTGAGGAAAATTCTTTATGAGGATATGACCCCTGCCATTATATTTAGCGTAACAAAACAATCGACATGATAGAAAGAGAAGGACCCAATGTCTGATAAAAGCTCAGTGTGATTACCTTTCTCGGTTACTCACTGCCTTGAAGAAGCAGCATGTGATTGCCACATGGTTCTTGTTTGCAGTTACTTCCAGTCTAAGTTTTGTTTTTCCATGGGTATTATAAATAGGAAAATGTACAATTATGTCTTCCTTTAGTCTTTAACCTTCATCTCTTTTAATCAAATATCAAGACAGGGAACCTTATGTACTGTGGCTTGATTATTTTAGGTATGCACATCTGAAGACACGTGTAGATTTGCAAGGATTAGTGAGCTTTTTGTGTATGAGAAGTTCTTCAGGGTTCCGGTAGAAAGTGTTGAAGCTGGTGACATTTGTGCTGTCTGTGGAATTGATGATATTCAGGTAAGCTTTTATTGACCAGCTTCCTACCCCCTGCCTCATCCTCATTTTCTAACATTAAGGAAAAGCTCTTTCTTATATTTGTCGCGTGGTTGTAAATCTGGTGTATCTCTATGAGCAGACTGCTAGATTTGGTCCATATATTCATGTCAAAAGCTGTTGCCTTCAACAGCAAATAACATAATTGTACCGATGGTCTGTGCTTTAAACAATTTTGATTCGTCTCAGTATCAGCTTCTACCTCCCTTCTGTTATATAAGAGCATGGAAATGTAATTGACTGTGCTGGTTTTCTAGAGTATTTTGTATGACAATATAATTTTCTTGATCAGATTGGAGAGACCATAGCCGATAAAGCAGCAGGGAAGCCATTACCTTCTATCAAGGTGGAAGAGCCAACTGTAAAGATGGCTTTCTCCATAAATACTTCACCGTTCGTTGGTAGAGAGGTTCGCTTACAACTCTGCAATTCACAAAATTTGTGGCCCATGATTCTTTATTCATTGATATTTTAACTTCTGAAAGAGTTCAAAGTATTTCCTCCATGTGATCAATATTTGGATCTTAATTTTCATTTCTTTATTTATTTTTCTTATTTTGGTGGTTCTCCTGCTTCATTGTCTTATTGTTCCTTCTGCATCTTTCTTCAAATTTCCAAGCAACTTACCAAGGTTCGGTCCTAAATGTCAGGGGAAGTATGTGACAAGCAGAAATTTAAGAGATAGACTCTTCCGTGAACTTGAGCGAAATTTGGCCATGAAAGTTGAAGAGGGTGAATCCTCGGATACTTTTATAGTCAGTGGACGTGGTACTTTACACATCACCATATTGATAGAGAACATGTATGTATAAGCCCTTTCACTTTCTGTTTAATCTCCACTAGAACATTTAGATTCTGAAATGCTCTCGCGATGATCCTGTTTCAGGCGAAGGGAAGGATATGAATTCATGGTGGGGCCTCCTAAGGTGATTAACAAAAGGGTGGATGAAAAATTGTTTGAACCATTTGAGGTAACAATTCCATTTGGTTATACTGGCGTTTTCGTTTATTTTTCTCCGTCCGAAATGGAAAACTAGGAATCTATAGGCATCGTTTATAATTGTTTTTCCGTTCTTACCATACCCTGCTCCACCCAGCAAGTAGCCAATGTCAGTAGTTACTGTTGAAATTCAGTTCTCCAAGTTTCCCTTTACCAATTATCTCTTACATATTTGACTGCAGATTGCAACCGTTGAGGTTCCTGAAGAGCACATGGGCGCTGTTGTAGAGCTTTTGGGGAAAAGGCGTGGGCAAATGTTCGACATGCAAGGAGTTGGGTATGTGGAATGTTCTTTTGTTATTATGTTCACGTAATTCAGAGTCTGCTATGACTGCCTGTTTATCCAGTTCTCTCAATAGATACATAGTTGGATATGTCCGGCTGATGGCCGCAATGCTCTGCACTTATCTTTGCTGATTTTGGTTGGAAATTTTGCTTCATTAGGTCAGAGGGTACTACATTTCTGAAATACAAAATTCCCACTCGTGGCCTTCTTGGAGTGAGAAATGCAATTTTGACTGCATCCCGCGGAACAGCAGTTCTCAACACCATATTCGATGGATACGGCCCTTGGGCTGGTGACATTAGCACGAGAGATCAAGGCTCATTGGTAATTACCATGCGTAACCTTTCTTGATAACAAACTCTCCATAATGGAATAAATTGATTCCATTGTGCAGGCATGTCTAAGTATAGGTTGCCAATGCATGTTTGATTTTACAGGTAGCATTTGAGGAGGGAACATCCACTTCTTACGCGATGGCTAGTTCACAGGACAGAGGCCAGTTGTTCATTGGTCCAGGCGTGGACGTCTACAAAGGCCAAATCGTCGGAATCCACCAGCGATCTGGCGACCTATCCCTCAACGTCTGCAAGAAGAAGGCTGCAACGAACGTGCGTTCAAACAAAGAGCAAACAGGTATACCATTAAACCGTTCTTTAGAACTTCTTTCTCCTTTCATCCCCATGAAATTCATTTTTCATTTTAACTGTTGCTGTTGGATGCAGTTGTTCTCGATACACCCTTGGATTACAGCCTGGACGACTGCATAGAGTACATTCAAGAGGACGAACTGGTGGAGGTCACGCCAGCGAGCATCCGCATGTGCAAGAACCCCAAGTTCACCAAGAAGGGCAGCAGGTGAGAGCTGAGGCCATTGGATCCTTTTATACATCTCAGACAATAAGTTAACTTTGCGGATCCTCATATTTTTCGGCAGAATTAATTCCGGTATAGTTAGAAAGATGTGTTGGTCCTTCTCTTTTACTGCATGCATTATGCATATGTATTGCCGTTTTCACGGCCTGGGAATCCAGTCATCAATTTAGGAATGAATAGACAGCATAGATCAATCTTCCAGTTGAGTTGGATGAGTTGGTTGTATATTTGTATATAACCAGATATGTTGAGAGATCCATTGTTGTACTTATTTGGACTTGCATCATTTTGATAGCCTCCAACAGTACCATATCATATGTCATCTCATTTGCGCTCAGATATTCATGAAAATCGAAGTAATCCCTGTCATATGTGCTAGAGTTTCTCGTCGAATGAAGGTGGAATCCATATTGCGAGTGTCCTTTATGAACGAAAGTGAAGAAGCGATGAAGTCGTTTTCGGATAGGGAACTTCTACCCGTAAGGAACAAGTCTCTCGTCTTACAGAGCTCTCAGCTCTGTAAGACCGACGAGAGACTGTTTGCTTAGAGATAATCGAAATATTGGGTTAGTTATTGGATGTGAACATAACGGTTGTTTTGGTTTTGATCACTTTACAGATTAGACGCGTAAATTGTTCAATAAGAACATAACCAGAACTTTGAAGTTAACTTGTAAGTCAGAAGAACTGCAAATTTTGGCCAAGGGAGACTAAAAAGAAAGAAGAAATGTTTAGTATTACAATGTACCAAAATTGGGGGTGGGATTCAACAAAAACTGTGATCCATAAACTTGACAAATTCACAGAAATCAATCCTCCCATCCCCATTCACATCAAAAGCTCCAATCATCTTCTTGCAGCTCTCCAACTCAACTCCTTCCTTCAATCCCAACTGACACATGACCCTCTGCAACTCCGTTTCATCAATGAACCCATCTCTGTTCACATCGAACACCTCAAATGCTTCTTTCACTTCCTCCAAGCTCGGCTCCTTCTCGTCGAACAACTCCAGAAGCTGGTCAGCACCCATCGATTGTTTCAGCTGCTGCCCTTCTGGGTCGCAAAAATATCCGAGCTTTCCCATCACTACCTCCACATCTTCTCTGCTAATAACCAGAGGAGCCGGGCTCTGTTTCTGCTCCAACTCTGCCTCTTCCTTCTTCTCCTCTCCTTCTGATACTACTACTTCCACACCAGCTCCAAGTCTCAGTTGGGATTGGAGGAAAAAGGAGAATCTGGAGAGGAGTTTGGGGAAGCTTCTAACCCGATCGAAGATCAATTTACAGAGAATGATATCATAGAACAGTGAAATTAGAGAAGAAGATTGGCTGGTGGAGACGACGCCTTCTTGGGGAGTAATCAAGTAATAGAAATCTAAGAAAGCCATTGTTTTTACAAGGCAAAGAATGAGATTAAACGTAGGGAGATTTTGTTTGAAAACCTCTCCTCTGTGGAAACTGTTCCCCCTTTCTCCCTTCCTTTTTTGCTCTGTTTTGAGAAGAGGAGAAAACAGAGGAGTAGTTGGTTTATGTTTGAGTTGATGGTTGTTTGTTGAATTGGAGGGAAGAATGGACCTCGTTTGTTGTTTATATACATGGCGAAAGGGGAAGGGAAGAGGAAGCTGCAGTTGGCTTGAGGAATGGGTCATTTCGTCTTGCCTGTCGCCATCGCAGAGAAAAGAAAACATCAACTTTGGTGGGAAATTTCTTGCTTCTTTCTTTCTTCGTTCCTCTTCCTCCACTCTCTAGTCAGCCCCGTGGACTGTTAAAAAACCCACTCCCACGAATATGCTAAAATAATTGACTTGGAAAATTTATATAGCTGAAATTTCCTGGGAATAAATTTATATAGCCGCCGGCGGCCGGCGGCCAGCCTCTGTGTGTTTTTCCAGGAAGTAGGAAGTGAGCTTCGTCCGACGACTACATTTTCTTGTTTGGGCTTTTGGAATGTTGCGGGAAAGCCCAAACCTAGGATTCTGATCCATGGACTTGAGCCCAGTTCATTCCGTACCAAATTTTATATCATAAGCCAAAATTTCGTGAAATAAGAAAGTTGTTGACTTATTTGTAAAATAGATTAAAGTAGAGGGGCCTGAGTGATTATTTACCGAACCGTCCCTGAAAAATCAAAATCATCGTTTCCCGGTTCTGCCAGCCTGAATGATCATATTCTTCGCTTTGGTGTGCGAAGAAGAGAAGGGAAGTGCGGCGGAGAGCAGTTTCCTTTTTCCCGATGATTGTTGCTGCCGACGGGGAGCGTCCGGCGTTTAATGAATTCGACCGGCGGTGGGTGCTGCTCGGCGTTGCTTCAACTTTGATTTCGGCTCTTCATCTCTGCTGTACTCTCTCCGTCGTTCATCTTTGTTCTGTGAGGAATGTCAGGCAGGCAGGACAGCTTAATTAATAGTCTTCACATCGGCCGCAGATTCGGTCTTCTTCTCCTTTCCGTTTTCTCTTTTCGGTGAGGCGTTCGACTCTCTGTCTTTTCCGTTGTAAACAAACGGTATGTCGTTCTCCCTTGCTCATTTGACTAGGCTCTTAAAGCTCTCCGCCGATACCAAAAACATCAGAACCGGTAGAATGATCCACGCCCATCTAGTCGTCATGAATCACACCGTTGGTAAGAACTCTGTGGAGGCCAACTCATTGATTAATTTCTACTCAAAATGTGGCGATTTATGGGATGCTCGCAACCTGTTCGATGGTTTGACTGAAAGAAACGCTGGGTATTTGCAGTATGGGATGCCACTAGAAGTGATTGGGTTGTTTAAACACATGGTGTCCGAGTCTCGGATTAGGCCGAACGAGTACGTTTTCGCTACTGTTGTTTCATCCTGTTCTGCCTGTCGAAGAGTTGAGGTGGGTATGCAATGCCATGTTCATGTGTTGAAGCTGGGATTGGTTTTCCATGATTACGTCCGAGACGGTCTGGTGGACATGTATTCCAAGTGCCTTCGCATTGATGAAGCAGTTCGGCTATGGAATTCGGTACCAGGAAATTATACTTATTCCTATCAGTTGATTTTAAATGGACTAGTTGAACATGGGTATGCAGAGCAAGGTTTGGAGATTTTGAGGAAGATGATTGATGAAGATTTCGAATGGGACGGTACTACTTGGGTCAGTGTTTTTGCGCTTTTGGCTTGTCTTAGAGATTTGAGATTGGCTAGGCAAGCCCATGGAAAGTTGATTACGAGTAATCTTGAGTGTGATATGTATGTCAATAGTGCCCTCATCAACATGTATGGCAAATGTGGGAACCCTTTGAATGCTAGGAGAGTTTTTGATGGGTTGCAAGATCGCAATGTTGTGTTATGGACATCCATCATGGCTGCCTATTCCCAGAATGAGTTTTTTGAGGAGGCATTGAATTTGTTGCCTGCCATGGAACTCGATGATGTTCGGCCAAACGAGTTTACTTTTGCTATATCCATGAATGCTAGTGCTGGATTGTCTACATTGAGGCACGGGTACCTTTTACATGCACGTGCTATGAAGGCTGGTTTTAATGATCATGCTATTGTTGGAAATGGGTTGATCAATATGTACACCAAAAGTGGAAACATAGGAGCTGCAAGTCGTATATTTTCAGGCATGAAATGTCGCAACATCATCTCATGGAATGCAATGATATGTGGCTTTTCGCATCATGGACTTGGAAAGGAAGCCCTTCTAGCATTTGAGGACATGTTGGCTGAAGCAGTCCATCCTAACTATGTTACTTTCATCGGGGTTCTCTCTGCCTGTACTCATTTAGGTCTGGTGGACAAAGGTTTCTACTACTTTAACTACCTAATGGGACAGATGGGCATAGAGCCTGGATTAGAACATTACACCTGCATGATTGGCCTTCTAGGAAAAACTGGAAAACTGGATGAGGCCAAGAATTTTATGATGATGTCCAGTATGGTAACATGGGATGTTGTTGCATGGCGTACTTTGCTCAATGCTTGTCATCTTCACAAGAATTACAATTTAGAAGAGCAGGTCGCCAAATCCATTCTCGAGATGGACCCTCATGACATGGGCTCATATACAATGCTCTCTAATACATATGCCAGGGAAAAGAGATGGGATGTAGTTGCCAAGATCCGGAAGTTGATGAATGACAGAAACATAAAGAAGGAGCCCGGGGCGAGCTGGATAGAGATACAAAATGTGACTCATGTCTTTGTCTCAAATGACAAAAAACATCCAGAAATTCTTGAGAAGGTAAAGGAGCTTATTGCATTGATCAAGCCATCGGGACATGTTCCAGATTTTGATTGTTCGGCACGATGTCCAGGATTAGCAGAAGGAAGAATACCTTCGCAATCACAGTGAGAAATTGGCGATAGCATACGGTATCATGAAATTGCCTTCAGGAGCTTCGATCATTGTAATTAAAAATCTTAGGATGTGTACCTCGGCTGCCAAGTTCATTTCAATACTGACACAGAGCTGGATAGTCTGATGAGATGCCAAACGTTTCCACCATTTTCAGGATGGGTGGTGTTCATGTGGAGATTATTGGTTGGTTCGCTTTTCGGTAGTATATAAGCCTGCTACATGGTGCATAGGCTGCTGAGAGTAGCAATTTGAGGTTACTGATACCATCCAAGGTTACTGCTCCATTATGCGTGTAAGTTGCTCAACTAGAGTGGTCAAACATTCCTCACTTACTCAGACAACCTGAAGCTGGAGCTGGTTTCACTGCCGCGGTCTCTAATAGGTACGTAAATTTAATTTATTGCTCTCCGTTCCATGTATGATCTCCATTTAGCTGTGTTCTAGACATATATAAAATTTATAAATAAAATATCACCTTAGACAATGAGTAAAACACCAAAACAGAAAATTACTCATTGTTTAAATAATCCTCCTGGAGGTTAACAATAGTAATGCAAATGGAAGATAATAACAACGGAATATCAAACATAATTGTAAAAATAACATCAAACATAATTGAGTGTCGGGCTCTTTTATGTACTTTCTTACTATTTTTCGATAGTGATTCAATTATAAATTGGGAAAATCTTTAATAATTCATCTAAATAAAGTGTAACAGATGGAAAGTGCTGATTGGGAGAAACAGGGGGGAAATACAGAAAAGACGCGGGGGCGGATTTTGTGAAGAGGCCTATTCTTTCAAGATGCACGAGTCCGTTCCAAACTATACCCAAAAAAAGACAGAAAATAGGAACACATAACGAAATCGAAATAAAAAGAATTGAGTTTTGCACATAACATTGTGGGAAAACAAGAGAATTAGCAGTAGCCTCTCTCCCTCCAGGAGAGAAAGTCAGAGGGGGGAAGGAGCATGGTGAAAACAGTTTATTTCTGAGGGAAAAAGGAAGAAGAAGAAGGGAAGGGAAGGAAGGGTGGTCTGGGGAAAAGGAAGGAAAGGGTAATGGGGTTTGACCTGCGCTACTTTGTTAGTTTGATGTGAGTTGAATTGAATTTTTCTCATTTGAAATCAGTTTCTGGATGAATGGAACGTGATTTCTTGTATAGTCAAAATTGCGGTCTGTGCATCCCCTTTCAACTTCCTTCGTTTTGAACCTTCCTCCCTTCCTTCCCTTCCTTTTTTTCCCCTCTTAATATAAAAATCCTCATTAATCTCACAGAATCATCCCAATTCTGGTCTTCTTCTCTACACAAGTTAGCCTTTTTTATCTGATTTTCTTGCAAAGCTTTCAACTTTCCTGGGAATTCGAATCGGAAATGGAATTTTGATAGGCATATTCCTTCCATTTCTTGTCCGATAAGTCTGTATCTGGATCTTGGGTCTGCTTGCCAAATCTGAATGCTTTATCCCAAAGATCACAACTTGATCAACAAGATTAAGATAAACTTTACTGGCCATAAAACTCTGGTCTTCCTTCATCCCATTTCTTCGTCTCTGTTTGACAAATCGCATAAGCCCTTTTGACCAAAAGTCATATCCAGATTGTGTTTTTTGTTAGATCGGATAGATGGGCAATTGTTGTGTAATCCCGCTTACAAGCCACTCCAAAGAGAAGACGAACAAGAAGAAGAGGAGCCTATTTGCTGGTAATTATGGAAATGGAGTCCACCATAAGCTGGTCGTATTAAAAGAACCAACAGGTCAAGACATTCAGCAGAAGTATGTGCTTGGTGGAGAGCTGGGAAGGGGGGAGTTTGGGATCACATACCTGTGTACAGACAAGGAAAATGGAGAAAAGTTTGCCTGCAAATCAATCTCCAAGAAGAAGCTCCTGACGGCTGTGGATATAGAGGATGTGAGAAGGGAAGTGGAGATCATGAAGCACTTGCCTGTGCATCCCAACTTTGTCACCTTAAAAGATACGTACGAGGATGATACTGCAGTGCATTTGGTTATGGAGCTGTGTGAAGGTGGAGAATTGTTTGACAGAATCGTTGCCAGAGGTCATTACACGGAAAGAGCTGCAGCTGCAGTCACAAAAACCATTGTCGAGGTCGTTCAGGTAAACAAAGAATTTTTTTGTCTTGCATTTGCCAATTTGCCTCGGATTATTGTTCCTGAGAACTCTGATTCCGTGCTTAATTAGTTTACTTCATAAATAAAGAGTCAATGCGATACTTTCTGGTGTCAATTATGAAGGACCATCATTCGTCAACATGAAAGCTTACAATGTGGTGCTTTCTCTGTGGTTACTTAAGTGATATATAGCTTTGTTTCTTTGAGCAGTAATTTCAATCAGAAGGAACTGAAAATCTGTGAAAGTATACCTTAACTTGAACTTATAGTTGAGTTAGAATGAAGAAATGTAAATCAGCTTTGTGTATTCATATCTTGATAAAACATCAGAAAGTGGTAGGATCCTCCAACATTTGGATTCAATTGTTGGAAACTGTTGTAGTCTGTCATTTTCGGCCCCTCCTCACTCTGAGTCCTAGCGTCGCCACTGTTGATGGTGTCTTAGTGCATCTGAATGACATTTGTACTGTTTTCTCTAGATTACCTTTTGCGGACTGCTCCTTTGTTTTACCTTTTACTTTCTTCTTTGACTTACTAAGTTGTGAATCTCTTAGGGATACTTTCTTCAATTCTGCTCGAATTCTATTATTTCATGTCTTTATTATTTTCCTTTCCTTGGCAGATGTGTCATAAACAGGGGGTGATGCATAGAGACCTAAAACCTGAAAACTTTTTGTTTGCAAACAAAAAGGAAACTGCACCTTTGAAGACCATTGATTTTGGGCTATCAGTGTTTTTCAAGCCTGGTAATGCTTTGGTCAAAACGTGCAGCTTCTTGCTCTGTACTTTCAGTTGTTTCATGTGCTGAAGCCAAATTTTTTTTACTTCTTCCAGGTGAGAGATTTAATGAGATCGTAGGAAGTCCATATTACATGGCTCCTGAAGTGTTGAAAAGGAATTACGGCCCTGAAATAGATGTTTGGAGTGCTGGTGTGATACTTTACATTTTACTTTGTGGAGTCCCACCCTTTTGGGCAGGTTAGTAACTTTCCGGCACATTGGAAGAAGGTTTCACTCTTATTTATCATATACACATGAAATAAACACTAATAGGACTATCATACAGGCAAAACCGGCTCATCTGATCAGGTTGCAACAATTAAGTAGTTAGCATTGGGAGCTGAAGTTTTTTCTATGGATAATACAACTTGTATGCTAAAAAGACTAAAAGACTGTTGTCCCCCTCTTGCAGAAACTGAACAAGGAGTTGCGCAAGCAATCATTCGATCAAATTTAAATTTTAAGAAGGATCCATGGCCCAAAGTTTCTGATAACGCAAAAGACCTTGTGAGAAAGATGCTGAACCCTGATCCCAAGAGTCGCCTCACAGCCCAGGAAGTGCTAGGTAATGTCCAGTTCTAAAAAGTTGTGATTCTTATGTAAGTTTTAGTTTTCCCTTACCTGTATTTAAATCTAATTTGGGACATGTTCCTTCTATTGTCAGATCATCCTTGGCTGCAAAATGCAAAGTCTGCTCCCAATGTGTCTCTGGGTGATGCTGTAAAAGCAAGGCTCAAACAGTTCTCTGCAATGAACAAGCTGAAGAAAAGAGCTCTGAGGGTACTCTCTCCCAAACTTTCTGAGATAAAGTCTTTTAGGGCTTTGATGTCTTTGAATTGGTTGTCTCGATGTTTACAAGTTATTATAATGCTTATGGTGGTTTTCTGTGTGTTTTAAATGTCAATAGGTTGTAGCTGAGCACTTGTCCGTAGAGGAAGCTGCCGGTATCAAGGAGGGCTTCCAGGTGATGGATACCAGCAACAATGGCAAAATTAATATCGATGAGCTAAGAATTGGCTTGCAGAAACTTGGCCATCAGGTCACTGAGGCTGATATTCAGATTCTAATGGAAGCTGTAAGTGACATGGTTATTACATTCTCCAAGTAGTGTGCTCATAATGCAAACGACCTCTCAAAAGTAGAATCTTTCTTCCATGAAAAAAAAAGAAGATATTTTATGTGTGATTTCCAACATGCTGTATGTTTCGATTTAGAGTTTGACGAACCCTTCTTTCATACACAGGGTGATGTTGATGGCGACGGATATCTGGACTATGGAGAGTTTGTCACCATTTCAGTCCACCTAAGAAAAATGGGGAACGATGAACACCTTCGCAAAGCCTTTGAGTTCTTCGATCGAAACAAAAATGGGCACATAGAAATTGAAGAGCTGCGAGAAGCTCTGGCAGACGATATCGATGCAAACAGCGAAGAAGTTATCAGCGCCATAATACGAGATGTCGACACAGACAAGGTGAGGAGGAGTCTTTCAGTCTTGGATGGCCTTGCATTTTGCATCTGATACCAAAAGTATAGATGATAGTTATTTTCCCATTTGATTCATTTCTCAAGACCCAGTCAATTTATTTGTTACTGAACTGAATCACATTATGTTTGTGCACAACTTGCAGGATGGTAAAATAAGCTACGAGGAGTTTGCGGCCATGATGAAAGCCGGTACAGATTGGAGGAAGGCGTCGAGGCAGTACTCGCGAGAACGGTTCACCAACTTGAGCATGAAACTAATGAAGGATGGATCGTTGCAGGTGACTGGAGTTTGATGGTGAAACGATCATCATTGCCTACACCTGGGATTCTTTTCTTTCTTCATCTTGTTTTGTGTATTCATTCTGTGCATTACAAGCTTTATAGACTTGCGGGATGGGTGGGATCATATGCCTTTCTTCAGTAAAAATTTTGTGGTTCATGTTTCCTCATTTCCTCAAGGCAAGGATTAGCAGGAGATAAACAAGAGTGAAAGAAATGGATGAAAGGGAGGGACTGTTCTGTTCTATTAATATATTGAGTGTAAATATGCTTATGAAAATTTGTGCAAATCTCCTATCAAAAAAAAAAAAGAAAAAAAAAATTGTGCAAATCAATTTTTTTTTTCTCCCCCTTTCGGCACTGAAAACATTTCGTTCTCTAGTTTGCGTCGTTTGATTTGGATGCGATTCTAGGCCAAAATTTTGGGTAACAACTATCAAGCCCAAAATTTGATTCTCGGGCTCTGTTGTGGGCCATTGGACCCGAGAAGTAGTTATCAGGCCCACGTGCCCCTGCGGACGAGTACCTGCTGCAGCTTATGCAACTTTCAGAAAATAAAAATATGGGTAAATGACCACATTTGGTCACTAGAATTACTAAATCTTGTCATGTTTAGTCACTAGAAAAAAATAATATCAATTTTGGTCACTCGAATTACTGAAATAGGTCATATTTAGTCACTCTCCGTTAGTCTCCATCCAACTCCGTTAAAAGACTCTGTTATGTGCTAACAGGAGCGCCTAGTCGGCGCCATTTTGGGTCAGAAATGGTCAAATCCGACCTGCCACGTCACTAGACCCGCCATGTCTTACACCCAATCCAACCCATGAGCCCAACCCAACCCTGAACCAAACCCGACCCACTTAACAAAAGCAAACCCGACCCACTTCTCCTTCCTCTCGTTCCTCATCTCCCCACCTCCACCTCTCACAAGCTTCCACCACCACAATCTCCCGCCGCAAAATGGACACAGAGCGTCTCCACTCAACAGCCGCCGCAGGCAGCTACCAAGACGAAGAGAACACGTTGACTTTCTTAGGCTGCAACTGCTTCAGCTCCTTATTCTCTGGATGGGGGAACAAAACCGCCAGCGACGAAAGCAACAATTACCTTCTGATACAAAACAGGGGAGGAGCGAAAACAGGGGAAGGCGAAAACCAGCAACAGAAGTTCAATTGATGGAGGTTTCAGAAGTTCAATTACAACGTCGAGAGCTACGTCCTCAACTTCGATTGCGGGTTGGACGAGGAAGAGTATGACTACGTTAATGGGTTTTCAAGAATGGGGTTTCTCGGATCTGGTTGGTTTCCATGGCGGCAGCGGGGGAGAAGTAGGGGATAAGTGGTGGGTGAGGGATCGGAGGCCCGATCGAGAATGGGGTTTCTCGGATCTGGTTGGTTTCCACAGTGGTAGCGGGGGAGATGCAGAGGATAAGTGGTGGGTGAGGAATCGGAGGTCGACGACGGTGGTTGGCGCTTCTGGGTTTGGAGGAGAGCTCGTGGAGGATGTAGAGCAAGTATTGAACGCGAGAGCCGGTTGGCACCGATGCCGACGGCTGCTGGGGGAGCACAGAATCCTCATGTTGATCTGCTAGAAGGAGAGAGATGGCGGATTTGTTTTGTTAAGTGGGTCGGGTTTGGTTCAGGGTCGGGTTGGATTCATGGGTTGGGTTGGGGTTATGATATGGCTAGTTTAGTGACGTGGCGGGTCGGGTTTGACCATTTCTGGTCCAAAAAGGCGAACTTGTATTTTTCCTGTTTTGGACTATGATCTAGTTGTTTTGAACTTGTATTCCTTCTATGTTGAACTTGTACGTAGCCAGGTATTGTCGAATCTGTATTTCTCCTGCGTCAAACTAGTATTCAGTTGTTTTGAACTTGTATGGCGTCTATGTTGAACTTGTATACCGGTGGAGAATGTGGAGACCGATTTCGACTACGATTCGGCCACAGGATTGGTGACGGTCACTCTGCCTGTTCCACAGAAAGAGATGTACAGATGGCCCGTCGAGTTCCAAGTTTAAGAGGCTTGAGGATTTGGCATTCCGAGTCCCAGAAATTTCAGCCATTGATTTTTCATTGACTGAGAAATGTGGTGATTGTGGTGTACTGTAATCCCCCATGTGGTGCATGCAAATGTTTGAAGAGTAATAAGAAAGTCTTCCTTCTTTGCTAAGTAACCCAGCAGCGGGGGCGAAACGTATAAAAAAACTAATCTATGTCGCCCGTATAAAAATTAAAGCAGCGTTCGAAATCGTAACTATAGGAAATCCCCCATGTTATTTTTCAACAAACACGATCAACATAATACAAAAGAAAATTAGAAAATGACAACTTAACAGTCTGTTGTTTGTGAATTGTGATTCACTCTCGCTACTGTCACTTGACAGCAAGTAACGCCCTCACATTTTCCCGCGTCAACTTAGATAACAAAGTTAGAACTAACTAACCTACTCCACTCCTACATAAAATACCCAAAACGCCCCGCTCCGCCCCACTGCAATTTGCACTGCCCAATAACCCGTAGCCACGTGGCCGAAAGAGCAAAAAAAATCTTCCACCGAAAATGGAAAATGGAAAATGGAAAATGAATAAAAAGGACCTTGTGGTGGGTACAGTGAGTGTTTTTTTTGGCGGATCTGTCGGTCGAGTGTCGGCGTGGGCTTTGAGGGAAAATTGCCAATCTGGTCTCTCTTTAATTATCTCGATTGGATCCAAATCAAGAGAAGGAAGCAAAGCATCTTCCGCTTCTTCTTCCACATCTTCCGCTTCACATCCTTCCCTTTGCTCTGGGAAAATGGAGCTCGATGCTGATCATGGCGGCGGGGTCAGTTCTCCCTTACTCGCTGAATTGCAAATCGAAATTCAACTGTCCTTTTAGATTTTGAGTTAGCTTATTCAATTCCAATGCAATCTTCCATCCGATCCAATCCGCAACTCTAGAGTGGATTCGATTGACTGCTTTTGTTGTTGCTGTGTGGATCTGTTTTGATGTCCTTTCCTCTTTGACTGTATGTTGAGTGGTGGACTGATAAACGGTTTGCTTGTGGAAACAGACCAAGGGGCTAAAACAGCAGGTGTGCCAGATCTGCAGCGATGGAATTGGGAAAACTGTGGATGGGGATTCCTTCGTTGCTTGCCAAGTTTGTGCCTTCCCGGTCTGCCGGCCTTGCTACGAGTACGAGCGGAAAGACGGCACTCAGTCCTGCCCACAGTGCAAGACTAAGTACACTAGGCACAGAGGTGAACCTTTTCAGTCTTCAGACCATTCCCGCTTGCTGTTTATCGATTGTGGATGCAGTATTTCATTGTTAAAACGATCCAATGTGATTTTTTCTTCAGGAAGCCCGCCGATTCACGGGGAACAGGTGGATGACGGGGAGCTGAAGGATTTGGGGAGCAAGTCAGCTTCTCACCCCACAGCAGGGATTCAAGATGAGAAGCACAAGATCGATCGGATGCTGGGGTGGGAGTCTGGTTCTGGCCGTAAAGACTATTTCCCTTATGCAGCCAGTAGACCTTCGGTATGGTCTTGGGAAGTTGGATCATTGCAGTTGGATATGTTTCATGTTGCTCAAAAGTTTGAATCTGTAAGAATCGATTTTGTCATTCTCTTTTGTTGTTTCAGATGTCTGGGGAACTATCTGCTGCATCTCCTGGGCGTTACTCCATGGCTTCTCCTGAGAGTGGCAGCAGAGGTATTGGTGGTACTTTACCTCGCATAATTGTTATTGTATTTTGTTTTGTGTTGTGTTGTGTTGTGTTATGGTGTGTCTATGTTGGATCGAATCTTGATACCGTGAGTCTGATATATGCAGCCACCATCAGACTGGGGGATGGACAGAGGGAATATGCCGCCGGTGGGTTCGGCAATGTAGCCTGGAAAGAGAGAATTGATGGTTGGAAGATGAAGCCAGAGAAAAGTGCAGCTCCACCAAGTGTTAGTAATGCACCTTCAGAAGGCAGAGGCGGTGTAGATTTTGATGCCAGCACTGATGTGCTTATGGATGATTCCTTACTGTGAGTATCATAGTCCTAGTTTCATGACGTCAAGTTGGAAGACGATTTGGATTATCTCTTATAGCATGTTTGTCGTTGCTGCAACAGGAATGATGAAACTCGTCAACCGCTTTCCAGGAAGGTTCCAATTCCTTCGTCCAAAGTTAACCCCTACAGGATGGTCATTGTGCTGCGGCTTGTCATCCTTTGCATCTTCTTTCACTACCGGATAACAAATCCAGTCTGGGATGCCATTCCCTTGTGGTTGATTTCTGTAATTTGTGAGATCTGGTTCGCAGTATCATGGATATTGGATCAGTTCCCCAAATGGTTCCCTGTGAACAGAGAGACTTATCTTGACAGGCTATCGCTTAGGTAAGTTTTCTCTTTCTTTTGCCTTATTTAAACTGGGCTCAGAAGTTGTTCTAACCCCCAGCTCTTGCATGCTCTGCAGATATGAAAAAGAAGGAGAACCATCTCAATTAGCTTGTGTTGACATCTTTGTCAGTACAGTGGATCCTTTGAAGGAACCTCCACTTGTCACAGCTAATACGGTGCTGTCAATTCTTGCAGTAGACTATCCCGTGGACAAAGTTTCTTGCTATGTTTCAGATGATGGAGCTTCTATGTTGACTTTTGAAGCCTTAGCTGAAACAGCTGAATTCGCTAGAAAGTGGGTTCCTTTCTCCAAGAAATACAGCATTGAGCCACGAGCTCCAGAGTGGTATTTTGCTCAGAAAATTGACTATTTGAAAGACAAGGTTCAGCCTTCATTTGTCAAAGACCGAAGATCCATGAAGGTGAAGTGTATTTACTGTCTGAATCCTGGAACTAATGCAGGCATTACATAGTTCAATTCTGATTGAAAATAGTATAATTGCAGAGAGAATATGAAGAATTTAAGATTCGTGTCAATGGGCTTGTGGCCAAGGCACAAAAGGTTCCGGAGGAAGGATGGTTCATGCAAGACGGTACCCCATGGCCTGGTAACAATACCAGAGATCATCCAGGAATGATTCAGGTTTGTGCATCTGGTGCCGATAGTATTAATCAGAACGAAGTACTTTATCATGATAAGTTCCTACATGTTTTATGTGTTGTGAAGGAAGCTTTAATTTGGTAGCCACATGTGACCTTTTATGGTCCTTGTTGATCAAGATTAGAGTGTTGGTTTCACAAACCACCGCTGAAAACAAGATCAGGTTCAAATGAAGTATCAATGCTGATCTCGCCTGACCATTTCTTGTTGCGCCTTCGTCTGCAGGTTTTCTTAGGCCACAGCGGAGGGCTCGACAGTGACGGCAATGAACTTCCACGGCTAGTATATGTATCTCGTGAAAAACGTCCTGGCTTTATGCATCACAAAAAGGCTGGTGCCATGAATGCTCTTGTAAGTGGTAGTGATTAACCTTTGTTGTCCATCTCTCATTTTTGGAAATGGTTAGCCTAATTATCTATCTCTCTGTCCTACAGGTGCGTGTTTCTGCAGTTCTGACTAATGGGCCGTTCTTGTTGAATCTTGATTGTGACCATTACATAAACAACAGCAAGGCATTGAGAGAAGCTATGTGTTTTCTAATGGATCCTAATCTTGGGAAATCAGTATGTTATGTCCAGTTTCCACAGAGGTTTGATGGTATTGACAAGAACGATCGATATGCCAACAGAAACACTGTGTTCTTTGATGTAAGTCCCAGTAAAATACTGCCCAGCTGTTGTATGTGAACTATTCAATTGATCAGAATGCTGTTGACAGTTGTTTACGTGCAATGCGTTCTTGACTTATTTTTATGGTCTTATAGGTCATTTAACAAAACATATGCCTTGATTGTAGATGAATTTGAGAGGATTGGATGGCATCCAAGGACCTGTCTATGTGGGCACAGGGTGTGTGTTCAACAGGACAGCATTGTATGGCTATGAGCCTCCCTTCAAGCCTAAGCATAGTAAACCAGGGTTCTTATCTTCATGCTTCGGTGGTTCCAGAAAGAAGAAATCAAGCCGAAAAGAAAAGAAAAACTCGAGCAAGCATGTTGACCCTACTGTCCCAGTCTTCAATCTAGAAGATATAGAAGAAGGGGTTGAAGGTAACTAAATTATCAGAAGCTATTGTGTTTTTTCTTAAGGATGAATTTGGAAATTTTGTTCGGGAAATTTAAGTCGGTAACTCTGGTGCTGTTATAAGTCATTTATTGCAGCATGCTTTCTTCTTCTATAACATATGATGCAATTTATTCTGTTGTTTGCTTCTCCTAGGTGCTGGATTTGACGATGAGAAGTCACTGCTTATGTCACAAATGACACTAGAGAAGAGGTTTGGCCAATCGGCAGTTTTTGTTGCTTCAACACTAATGGAAAATGGCGGTGTTCCTGAATCTGCCGAACCAGAGGCTCTCCTGAAAGAAGCTATCCATGTGATTAGTTGCGGGTATGAAGACAAGACAGACTGGGGACAAGAGGTACACAAATATAATTTCTTTTGCTTTTTAGAAACAAATTTACCTGAAGGAGTTCAGTAACTGCAGAACAAAATTCTCCTACTGAAGCTTGTGTTCCTTTATGAACAGATCGGATGGATTTATGGTTCAGTCACAGAAGATATCCTGACAGGATTCAAGATGCATGCTCGTGGTTGGAAATCAATCTATTGCATGCCTGAGCGCCCTGCATTCAAAGGTTCTGCCCCCATCAATCTATCTGATCGTCTGAATCAAGTGCTTCGATGGGCTTTGGGTTCAGTCGAAATTCTCTTCAGTCGCCATTGCCCTATGTGGTATGGCTATGGTGGAAGGCTTAAATTTCTCGAGAGATTTGCCTATGTCAATACCACCATTTATCCTATCACATCCATTCCTCTTCTAGCCTACTGTACACTGCCAGCTGTCTGTCTCCTTACCGGAAAGTTCATTATTCCTCAGGTAAGCAAACGCATACATCATTCTCCTTTTAATATCATAAACTTCACCAGTGTGTTTGACTCATATTTGATTTGTGGCTATGATTTCAGATCAGTAACATTGCCAGTATCTGGTTCATATCCCTCTTTCTTTCAATCTTCGCAACGGGTATTCTGGAAATGAGATGGAGCGGAGTTGGGATCGATGAGTGGTGGAGGAACGAACAGTTCTGGGTTATTGGAGGAGTGTCAGCTCATCTGTTTGCTGTGTTCCAAGGCCTGCTCAAAGTCCTAGCTGGAATAGATACCAACTTCACCGTGACGTCCAAAGCATCCGACGAGGATGGAGATTTTGCTGAGCTGTACTTGTTCAAGTGGACGACTCTACTGATCCCACCCACCACTTTACTCGTGATCAACCTCGTCGGAGTGGTTGCTGGAGTCTCCTACGCCATTAACAGCGGTTACCAGTCATGGGGACCTCTCTTTGGTAAGCTCTTCTTTGCCTTCTGGGTGATCATTCATCTCTACCCGTTCCTGAAAGGTCTGATGGGTCGTCAGAATAGAACCCCCACCATTGTTATCGTGTGGTCCATCCTTCTTGCTTCCATCTTCTCGCTGCTGTGGGTCCGTATCGACCCGTTTACTACCAAGGTCACCGGGCCTGATGTTGAGATGTGTGGAATCAACTGCTAGTTAGAGGGAAAAGAAAAGGTACAGTTATTCTAAGCTGTAGCTTGACATTCGAAGAAGAATCACGAGGATGCCTGCCTGCCTTCCTTCCCTGGGCGTTTGTTGTTTAGCCATGTGAAGAACTTGGGAGACGTCGAATTGTGTTGATCAATGCAATAAGGGTGGATGTATTTATATGATAAGATATCCTGTGCTGGTCAGTTATTGCTTTTCAAGTTCTGATTCTTTAGTTCTTTGGACATTCAGCGCCATTGCTCCGTTGTAATTTATACATGTGTTGGAATTTGGAAAGGACGGTCCTTTTTAATTGTTTGATAGTTACTTCGGGCAGGGTAGAGCTGCTACTGTTTTTGTGTAATCTTGTATGTTGAATACTGGACATGAAATGAAAATGGTTTTGATACCCAACTTTGGCCCTCCTTCCTTGTTCTGCCTTATTATCGATTCTGATGCTCAACTCACTCTTTAGTAGGGTTTAGCTAGGTGACTGAGGGTGATATATTGGAGGATATTCTTTGTCTCATATCTCAAATAGTTTTCTGGTATTTCGTGCTACATTTTAAGTATTATGAATAGAGCTGCCCATTTGGTCGCGATACAAGCCCTTCCGTCGGGTGGTTGTTCATATAAGAACGGACTATTGATGCTGAGTTCTTCTGAGTGTGAACTGAGGCTTGCTGCAACGTATTATCAGAAATTCTAGATTCTCTGTCACAGATCACAACATCTGATGAACCTATGCTAGGTTTTCCATGAATCACCATCAGTACTGTGGTAGGTAGGTGAGCTTTACTTCAATCTTTAATGAGAACTTGTGAGTGGACAGTGTGGTGAATGAAAACAAAACAACAGAATCATTTGGCATTTTGGCAACGGTCAAAACCTATAATCAACCTCTGTTTCCCAAAAAAAAACAGAGACCACAGTTTGTTTGTTTGTTTGTTTCTAGGAGCAGAGAGCTAGAGACCACTGTTTGCGTTCAAAGTAAACAGAGACTACTGTTGTTGGCTGGCTTCCCTTTCTTGCAACGTTTTTCCCTTTCTGGGTTATCTACCATAGAATTTTGAACATGAAAACTATTACTAGGAACAGTTTGTAAAAGAAAAGATGTTCATCTACCAAAATTGCAACGGTCGTCTTCTTTAACAAAGTCAGCATAATTAAAACTGGATACTGTGGTGATGTGGTGCAATCACTGCCTTTATTGATTTCTTCTTTCCTCCTTTCCCCTGATTGCTGTTCAGAATCAGATGGAGGGATATTCGAATTAAAACCCGCGACGGAGTTCGTGAATTTGCTGCTCTCTTCTCCATGCATAATCGAGAAAATGCAACTACAGAGTATCTTCTAATGAAGTGACACGATCGATGAATTGTGATCAATTGTTAAGCCACAATGCCGATGAACATTCGAGTAAGTAATTTGAAGTAACTCAACCACACAATGAGAGTCGATCTGTAGCTCTGCTCGTCGCCGGACCTTTTCTGTTTATGGGATACATTCAAAACTCTGCAACCAAATTTACAGAAAGAATCAAGTTCGATGATATACATCGACTCCAAATCCCAAAAATTTGTAGCAGTAGCTCGCGGTATCCTCACTTCTTTGCCTCTTCCCCTGCTGCCTTCGCTTCCGGTTCTGGTTTCGCTGCTTCCTCCGGCGCCGTCGGCGCCGCCGGAGGCGGAGGCGGGACTGCAGCAACCCCGCCGTCGATGCAGCTCCGGCACTTCCTCTCTACCCATCCTTCAACATCATGCTCGCGGCTGCTCAAGTGCCTTCCCCCGCAAAGCCGGGCCACCATTCCGGCGAACACCACGACGATGGTGATCACCGCCAGCACCACCACCAGCGTTTCTATTGACCTGTGGGGATAATACCCACCTGCAGCAGTTTCCGAAGGCTGTGACATTGCCGCCGCGGAGGCGGAGGTTTCCGGTGCCGAAGCGCCGTTCAGCCTTTCTTCCAACATGATCCTCCACCGCATCGTCATTTCCTGAGCAAAGAAAACAGAGATATTCCGACGGCCGGAGTGATGAAATGAGAAACAGAGTATGGGAGTGAGACAGTGAGTGTAAAATTTCCGGCTTTTAAATTTAGTTTGGTGGGCTTTTGGAAAGTTGGACTGGGCCAGAACTTCAGGCCCAGTTAGCTTCACTGGATATCTAATGCAGAAAGCACAAGCGTAACTTTATTTTGAAAACAAAAAGGAAGACAAAGGGACGAACGAGTCGTCTAGTCTTTCTCTCTTCCTCTTGCCGTCTCCTTCATTTCTTCTGACCGAAGCTTCCGATTCTGCGGTCTCTCTCTGTATACGCGGAATCGGAAAATTACCGCTTACCTACCTTCCTTCCTTCTTCTCCGATTATTCTCGCCGGCGCTGCTAACCTTTTAAATTGGAGAAGAATTGAGGAGCCAGGAGATAGATAAGGAGAGAGGGAGCTTCGCGTCAGCGATTTCCTCGTTTGTTAGGAGGGGGGCGGGAAGGGGAAGCTTACTATGGGGACGCCGGCGTTCCCAGATCTCGGTAAACACTGCTTTGTGGAAGAATGCAAGCAGCTCGATTTCTTGCCTTTCACTTGTGATCGCTGCCGCCAGGTGCTTCCGTCCGATAATCCTTTCATTCTCTTGCTTCGGCTTGAAATTTTTTTTCAATCTTCGGTTCCAATGCTTCTGTGGATATGCAATTATAGTTGGAAACAAAGATCTCCTTTGCTGAATTTGTGTATCGAGAAGCTTGAATCGTGATTTATTAGAGGTTTTAGTTTGAAGTGTGTGGGTTGAATGTTCTTGTTAAGAAGAAAGGATTGTGGGTGTTGATGTTGGTGGCTGCTTGATGCTTGCCCAGGATTCAGTTGTCTAGAACGGCTATCAGATGGCTCTATGTTTGTGTTTCGTCTTGGAATTCGATCTTTGCTTTTGGTAGTCTGGAGTTGAAATTGCTGTTTGGTTTTGCAAGAACGATTATCTGCTGAGAACGAAGTAGAGAGTCGATCATTTAGAATGCTAAGCTAAGAATCTCCTAGTTTCTTGGTCTTACTAATGACTGTGATGTGGCATTCGGAAGGAAAGATCTTAAATATCTGATTACTAATGAAAGGGTTCTATACATTACAGATTGTGTTTCTGTTTCTAGCTTCTTTTGCAGTTTCTATCCTTGGGATGTGTTGAATCAAAGAACTGAGTTATACATTTTGGATTAAATGATGGAACTTTAGTCTTAATCTGTTTTTGGAGGAGCTTTCTTCTGGTCTTTAGCACTGGAGGAGGTTGCAGATGTTGTTTGGGATACTAAAACAGCTACATGGGAAACAACTAACAGTATCAGATTGCAACTTTCAGACATTGATTTCTTTTTTACTCCTTTTCATTGACCCTATTTCTGTTCAAACCCCAACCAACCAAAGCTTTACGACACTTCTTTACTAGTTGAATTTGTATAGCTTGGTGTTCTAGCCACTCTTTAATGGCTCGGCTAGCTGTGCAACAATTAGGAAGATGAATTTGTCAATTCCAACGTCTGGAACTCTGGATGCTGAATTGAAGCATGCATTGCCTTTGTGAGATTTGGTTTCTTTATGCTTTCTAGCTAAGTCGGGGCTAAAGTAGTCTTGAAAGTTGCGTTGTTCAAAAAGATCTGAAATTTGTACATTATCCTGATCATGTACTGACTTATGGGATGATAGGTATTCTGTCTGGATCATCGAAGCTACCTCAAGCACAACTGTGCAAAGGCTGATAAGAAGGACGTCACAGTCGTTGTCTGCCCACTCTGTGCCAAGGGAGTTCGTCTAATCGGCGACGAAGACCCAAACATCTCATGGGAGACACATGTCAACACAGAATGCGACCCTTCGAACTACGACAAAGTCACGAAGAAGAGAAAATGCCCTGTCCGAGGCTGTCGAGAATTTCTGACATTCTCAAACACAATCAAATGCAGGGATTGCACAAAGGACCACTGCTTGAAGCATCGATTCGGCCCTGATCACACCTGCCCTGGTCCCAGAAAACCCGATGCAGGCTTCCAATTCATGAGCCTTCTCAGCAGGAGCAAAAAGGAAGAACCGCCAAGACCCAACAACCGAGCTCCTTCTACAAACACATCTCCAACAACAAGTTGGACCTCAAACTTCCTAAGTGCAGCATCCAACGCCCGAGCCTCTGCTGAAGCTGGAGTGTCAAAACTGAGCCGGGAACTGAGCCAAGTGTGGCTGACAGCAAAAGATGGCATTGGGCCAAGCGGCGGCAGCAGCAGTGGTGCAGGAGCAGGGATGGACGAGGAGTGTCCCCAGTGTGGTGCAAAATTCGCGTCGGTTATGAGCCTAGTCGATCACGTAGAGAACGTGCACGAGAAGAAGAAGAAGAATCAACAGTCCCGGGTTTTGAAGTTGCCTGTAGATGTGTGTCCAAAGTGTAGTAAGGGTTTCCGCGATCCTGTCGACCTTGTGGATCATGTGGAAAGGGACCATGGCGGTACCTCTAAAGCTTAGAAGGTTTCTGTTGCAGGTAACTTTTAGTTGGAGCTGGGAAAGGAGGTGTGATTATTGAGAAATGTGAACTGTAATTTGGTCTGTAAAGCTCCTTCCTTTCTCGCTTATTTGAACACCAGAAATGTTGTTCTGTGAGTTGCTGGAAATGGATTGAAGGAGGGGAAAGATTGCACCATTTTTACTGATATTGCATCCTTAAAGCTTTGTTCTTTATCCATCTTGTTGTGTTGAGAGAGAGAGAGAGAGAGAGAGAAATCAACCTCCATAAATGGTATATTATAACTGTCAAAAATGGCGGGAGACAGCCAGCCAAAGAAGAGGACAGCACAGCACGATTACAGAAGGGCATATGTCAGAGAACGAAAAAGCACCTTTCTGGCATTACTATGCTGGAATTCGGGATTAGAGGATAATTAATTATATTCCGTCACTACTACTACTTACAATCCTAATTATTTTAATTTACAATAAGTCAATAATAATCCCCCCATAATTAACTAAGAAAATTATGCTAAACTATAACGGCTTACAAAATACAAATTCAATTATGCTATTGTCATTAGATTTTCGTTTAGCCAGGTTAGATTTGGGAAAATGCCGGAATTCCGGTGGATCTTTTTGCATGGCACAGCGCCGATCTTAGGTATCATTCTGTGTTCAATTCTCCATTCTTCTCTCGTTTAATTCTCCTCCAATCGGGCGATTTCCCGATTCCGGCTTTCGAATTCTGTAAATCACTTCATTTATGTTCTTTCCTTCCTGCGATTACTTTCTTCGACCCACTCTCTCTCTCTGTCTAGCTCTCAGTTCACATTTTGGGATTTGGGGAGGGTTGATTTTGTTCCTTCCCTAAAACCCTTCTCTCTTGGGTTGAATGAGAAATGGGTTTTGATTCTTGAACGATCCTTGTTAGTTCTTGTAGCTCGTGTAGCTCTGGATTTGGTGAGGTCAAATTGTATACTGATCCATTGATCTCCCAATGTTGTGATATTTTACTACAGGTTGACCATCAGGGAACCCAGTTTGTGAACGAGCCTGGTCTTTCCTTTCCCTTCTTAGAATTACTTGGTTCTAGGAGGGAAGGAAAGAGAGGTTTCGTGGTCGTAGTTGGGGGGATGAGTTCGTGAGCAGAGTTCTCTGAACATGAGTGCCGTTTCTGGCGTTTTATCGCGGCAAGTATTACCAGCCTGCGGTAGCATTTGTTTCTTTTGCCCTGGTTTGAGGACAAGGTCCAGGCAGCCTATCAAGAGGTACAAGAAGCTCATTCGTGACATTTTCCCCAAGAATCAGGTGAGGGACTTGATGTTTCCCTGTTAAAAATTGTATGAGAGTGAGATTCGGGCCTGCTTAGTGATGCCCCTCTTCTTGCTTAGTGATTTACCATTTTGAGGATAGTCGCTTTTTGATCTGTCAACGATATTGATGGATGTTTCATGGCAGGAAGAAGGCCCAAATGATAGGAAGATTGCTAAGCTTTGTGAATATGCGGCTAAAAATCCTTTGCGTATCCCCAAGGTACAGTTATTTTTATTTCACTCAGGTGATAGCACCTTGCTTTGGTGCGAGCATACTTTGAGATTGGAAAATGTGTGGCGATCACATTGGACCGTTGCAGTCAGTCAGAGCTTATACTCCAGTTGAAGCTTGTCCTTCATTTATAGAAGGATCACTTACAATATAATGATAAGAATACCACAGAACCGGTAATTTTCGCATGCTAATATAATTGAACTCCTTTCACCAGTTCCTTACATCCTGAAAGCCTGAAATTATGTATTCTCTCCTGACGAAAGCAAAACAAAGGCCTCATAGGTCAATGGCTAAATGAAACTATGTATTGCTCTTGGTTACTGCTTTAGGCACAATATTATTGTCGTTCATCTCCTTGCTTTACTTTTAATGCTTAAACATCAACACCTTTCTTACTGTAATTTATTTGATTTTGAACTGATATAGGAGTTCTAAGAGGTCCTATGTATTTCTGGCAACTTACTCTAGTAACATTTATTGATTAAAATCATCTCTTCCAGTTCTGCAAGATTCTTTAATTTTTCATCAGTTTGATCATTGAGCTGCTCTGCAGATAAAAATGTGAATAAAGGATAATGGTTTGCCCATTTAATGAAAGTTTTAAGCTTGTTGATCAGATTGCAACCTCTCTTGAGCAAAGGTGTTACAAGGAGCTGAGATATGAGAACTTTCAGTCTGTGAAGATTGTGATGTGCATTTATCGGAAATTGTTGATCACTTGCAGTGAACAAATGTGAGTCTGTCCTACTTCCATTGCTTTGCTTAGTGTCTGTGTGCTTGACATGCTTCTTAAAGATCTATTTGTTAAGTTGTTGATATCTAGCCATTGCTGTAATTAGTTTATTTATGGTGGTTCATGCCACTTTCGATCCGGAAAGCACAGTGCTGTCTCTTTAAGACACTTTTCTGACTTGAAGTGGGTCTAGCATTTTCTCTTTAGAACTTTGCCTGCCTATTATTTATGGAGATAATTATGATCTTTTCCTCAATAATCATGTTATAGTTTTCCGGCATGGCTGTCACGGTGGTGCTCCTCTTTTAGGAGAAGTTAATTGGAACTCTTATACGTCATTTTTGCCCCAGAATGAATAGTCCAAGGGACATCTGGGAGTATACAAAAATGACATTTGGCCCAGAAATTTTGCATTTTTGGGATTTGATACCAGGTGTACCATCACCTGGAGATTTATGAATCCATGCAGTGCAGTGAGTGGTAGCATGTTTCAGTGTTGACTTTTGAACACTCCCAGAGTTGAATATTTTTGTATTGCTATTGTATATCCAATCTCTAGAGACAGTTCTCACATAATAGAAGAAAACACCTTAGCATTTTTATTTTGGAAATGTCAGAGAGCAGTTTTCTTTTATACTTATTCTGTGTATGTTTGGTGCTCCACTTTGAATTAATCAGTGTACGTCTGTTGTTATATTCCCCTTTAACTCCTGATCTTATTTGCTATTGGTGACCACTACACAGGCCTTTGTTTGCTAGTAGTTTAATGAGCATTATTCATACCTTGCTTGATCAGACAAGGAGACAAGATTTGCAACTTTCTGGATGCGAGAGTCTTTTCGACTTTGTAAATAATCAGGTAAGTTATGCTGATTTCATGCATCAATGGCTACATTTACTTTTTTAAGGGGGAAAATCAGAGATTATGCTCCTTCATGGCAATTTCTTGTGTATCTTTCAGGTTTTATTAATACTGGATGGAACTCATTTGATTACATTAATTTTCAGAAGGATGGAACTTACGCATTTAATTTAGAAGGCTTGATACCTCAACTCTGTCAGTTAGCTCAAGAAGTAGGAGAAGATGAAAGAGGAATTTGTCTACGGGCAGCTAGTCTGCAGGCTCTTTCTTCGGTGGTATGCATTTCCTTGTTGGTAAATATTGTTTCATTAATTTGGAGGCTGTAGTGCCTTCAAAAACCGTAACACAATCCTGAACTATTTTCCAACCCATCACTTTTCACTTAATATCCATCAACTCTTAGATTTCTAGGAAATGAACCAGGACTATTTACTACACATTTCTGGATCAATCTCTTTTCTTTATATGCTAATTGTTCTAAGAAGACCCAGTGGTCATCACTTGATGTGCTAATGCCGAATGGCTTAAAAGTTCCTTGGGTTTCCATAGTAGACAGTGGTCATTCGTAGAAAAAAGTAGACATTACATGAAGGAACACCGAAAATTAATTTCCTCATACTTTTTTGTTATACCTTTCCATTTGTGAGCGCCATATAAGTTCCTTGCCTTTCTATAGGAAGACATTTGGTGAACTTTTATCGATGATTGCTTTTTATCCCATTGCTTAACCTCCAAGATTACCAATGTATCTAGGCATGGAATATTACTTGAAAAAAATGGTTCTCAATGGCTTAATCTTTCACTTGTAGTTGTGGTTTAATGCAAATGATTCTGTACTGAGCTGATTCTTCCTCTTCGTAGGTCTGGTTTATGGGCGAACATTCACGTATTTCAACAGAATTTGATAATGTAAGTTCTTCTTATGCCTTCAACTGTTAGTATGAGCAGATTTACTAAATTCCAATAATATGCTTTGCATATTATTTTAGCACCGGAAAATTCTACACTCTGTGCTTATTTACATAATCCTGTGTACAATATCGAATGTCTTCCATGCTATTGCAGTGCTTGTTTGCCTTTAACCATTCAATTTTGTGTGGTTATATTCCTGATGATGGATTCTTCAAGTTTTAGATGCTATACCATTATAGCTTCTCAGAGTGAAGTGTGAGTACGGCTCAGATTTGGTGCTTTTGTGTTCCCATAAAGTGGACACAGGAAGGAGATGGCCAATGGAAGAAGTTCAATAGCTTATTTAGGCATATCCACTAGAATGGGACTCTATTATGTTATATTTTCTTATGGAAATGGTTTTTTTACTGGATATGCATTGATCTAGTAGGTTTTGGAGCTTGGAGGTCAAATGTTTTACGGTTTTGACATTTCTTTTGCATGATTGTGCAGATCGTTTCAGTTGTTTTAGAAAATTATGGAAAGCCAGAGGATGTTCCTGAGAAGCAAGGTAACCAGAATCAATGGGAGCAAGAAGTGGCTAAAAATGAGAACCCAGGGCCTACTTCATCTGAGATGCTTACCAGGGTTCCATCGTGGGGGACAATTGTTAAAGAAAAAGGAGAATTGAACGTGACGGAGTAATTCCAAAGCCCTTAATTGTTGATTATTATGGACTATCTATTGTTCTCATTAATTAATTTTGAGACATTGTCCTTTTGGTGGCACAGAGAAGATGCCCGGAACCCCTGCTTTTGGGCTAGGATTTGCTTGCAGAACATGGCCAAGCTAGGGCAGGAGGCTACAAACATACGGCGAATTTTGGAATCTTTGTTCCGATATTTTGACAGTAGCGACCAATGGTCCGTTGATCATGGTCTTGCCTTTCAAGTATTGATTTACATGCAAATTCTGATGGAAAAGTCAGGTACACCAGCTGTTGCTTTTAATTTTTTAAATTGATTACTGGGACCCTATTCATGGTTTCCATTTTGCTTTTCTCATGGCTTCCACTATATGGACTCTGAACTCTGTTTTTTTCCCCCTTCTTTTTCTTTCCAATTCTCTTTGGGACGTTAGGGTATAATTCACATGTTCTACTGTCCATGTTGATTAAGCACCTGGATCACAAAAGTATCCTGAAAGATCCGAACATGCAGCTAGACGTATTGAACGTCACCACCTCGCTAGCACAGCAAGCAAAGATTGAGCCTTCGATAGAAATTATTGGTGCAGTTAGTGATGTCATAAGGCATTTGAGGAAGAGCTTACATTGTTCTGTTGATGATGCAAACCTTGGGGCTGAAGTTAGAAGTTGGAACAAAAACTTGAGAGAGGCAGTGGATAAATGCCTCGTGGAATTGTCAAATAAGGTGGCACTCGTGTCCAATAAAAAAAAATTGGTTCACTTTCAACTGTTTCCCTTGCTGGTTTCCTTATTCCTTGATATTTAAGTAGAGAATAACTGAATATTGGTGTGAATAGGTTGGAGATGCAGCTCCGATTCTTGAAATGATGGCTGTGGTCCTGGAGAATCTTTCAGCTGTTACAATTATTGCAAGGACCACAATTACTTCTGTTTATCGAACTGCTCAAATAGTTGCCTCATTGCCAAATTTGCATTATCAAAACAAGGTAACATGAGCTCTGTCATATCTCATTTACGAGCTTTGCATGCTACTTTCTCTGTTTCATTTGACCCATGGCTTTGTTGCAGACGTTCCCTGAAGCGTTATTTCATCAGCTGCTTCTGGCCATGGTCCATCCCGACCATGAGACCAGAGTTGGAGCTCACCGCATATTTTCTGTTGTTCTAGTTCCTTCTTCTGTTTTCCCTCGGCCAGTTTCAACTGGTCTTGATTTAAAGAGGCAAGCTGAAGTTGAAAGGACGCTCTCTAGAACAGTCTCTGTCTTTTCTTCCTCGGCTGCTATTTTTGAGAGGCTAAGGAAGGAAAAAGCTTCAAGCAGAGAAAGCTCCTCTCATGGATTCAAAGTAGATGTTGGCTCTGCAGGGAAAATTCAGAATGGCATGCTTGACAGATTGACGTCCTCTGCCAATCAAGTGAAAAATATTGCAAGTGATGCCCCTTCATTGACTGATGAAAAGTCCATCCCCAATTTAAATAAGGTGACTGGGTTCATAAACAGCTTATTTTCCCCCCACCAATGTGGTTCTGTTGGAGTATCTAATCATGTCTTTGCTTTTGTACGTTCATAGATTCCATTGTTCATTAATATTTGACTCTAGTGTCTTATTTCCGAGGTGGAACAGACGGTTCCTGTTGTAGACAATGCTCCTGATTAACCTTTTAAAATTCTCATGCAATGGTCAACGTTGTTACTCATTTATTTTGTATTTGTTGCACAAGTTTATGTTCCGCTCAGGCATCCATTCCTGTTTCTGATACAATTGACCAAGCATTGGGTGAGAACCTAGTTAGACATATTCAAAATGATTAAATCTGTAATCCTTCAAACATTATTTCCAAGGACATGATAATATATTTTCATATGATCTACTTCATATTTCTGTGTTTCAGCTTCTTTGGTACTGAATTTTTTCATGACTATAAAACTGCAGGATGCTACTATTTTGAGGCTCAGCAGTCACCAGATTAGTCTCTTACTGTCATCAATTTGCGCTCAGTCGATTTCTCCTGAAAATATGCCTGAAAACTTTGAAGCAATCTCTAATACGTTTAGTTTGGTGCTGCTATTTTCCCGAGGCAAGGTACTTTATTTATGCTGAACATCATTAATCATTTTTGTTTTTAGCTAGCTGTTCCATTGTTTGGGGGTGTTGGAATTGTGATTGAGTAAACCCGATATTCGTTTATCATTAAACACTATGCGAAGCAACCAAAACCAGAGAGCATTGGCAGAAACATGATGGACTTATGAAAGTGTTGGAAGGCCTGGTTTTGCATCACTTCTTATCAAAGACTCAAAGCTTGGGTTCTTAGTTATATGTTTTAGATTCGAAGACCGAGTTTAATGCACAATAATTAAACAGTTCCATGCTGAAAGCAAAGTTACGAGGAAAATATAGCTCTGCTTGTCTGAAACATAGGTAAAATTAATAGACAGCCTATCGGAGAAATTGAGTTTTTGTCCCCTAGCATAGTTTTTTTCATTGGTTGGACTATGAAAATAACTTCTCTTATGGTATGTCCTTTGACCTATCTTTTTTGCAAAGAAACCTTGCTTTTGCCCCATGTTTTTGCTTTCTGCAGGAGAATGTTTACTAGTTGCACATTGGACTTAGTCTTGGAGTTCCATATTAAGACCTAAAAACCCTTTGCGTCTTCGTAACTGATTGATAAGAAGTGATGCAAGTTTTGGCTTTTTGACACTCATTTCATCCTTGATTACATGTCTGCTTAGCACTCCATGGTTTGGTCGATTAAGTAAAAAAAATCCATTTTCTGTTCCTTTTCCTGTTAAGGACAGTCTTTTTGCACTCTGTGAATGTGTGTCACCTTGTGCGGTTGTGCCCTTGCAGAACTCAAGTCACGAGGTTTTGGTACGCAGTTTTCAGCTTGCTTTTTCCTTGAGAAATATTGCTGTCAATGAAGGTAGGTTTTCTGGCTGTTATCTTCTTCTGTCCTAGGGTTAGACCCTGACAAGGTTGAATTTCTGCTGTGTGCTCTAAAGTTGGGCATGTGCTGATATTTTCCAGTTACACATATATGTGTGAACTAGTCCACGACTGAGCAATTGATTTTTCATTTAAATTGCAGGGCCTCTTCCCATATCACGTCGTAGGTCACTCTATACCTTGGCAATTGCAATGATTCTATTTTCATCGAAGGCCTATGGCATTGTTCCGCTTGTATCGTCTGCCAAGTTGATACTCGCAGAAAAAATGGTACATCTACTGTTACTGATTAAACTGAAGTTATATGTCTGTGTTGTTCAATAACTGCTGATGGAATATTTTCCTTTTTGGTAGCCACATCCCACACGCACAAAGCTGATACCTTCCTTTTCACCTCTTCTCTTATGTTGTACCATCATCATTTTTTTAACCTCCCTCTCTCGATTCAGGTGGACCCGTTCTTACATCTAGTTGAGGATCGCAAGCTACAGGCTGTAAGTGGTGAAACTGCTACCACCAAAATTGGTTATGGATCTAAGGAAGACTGTAACTTGGCTTCAAAAGCAATTTCATCTGCAAGCATCACCGGGGAACAAAGCAAGGAATACTTTGCTGCTGAGATTGCAAAGAGCTTATCAAATTTGTCAGAAGTGCGTGCAACTTTTGTCCTGTTGTTGATCTCATTATATTGTTGTATTCATGAGTACTTCGAAATAACAAGGGATGTCTTTTGCAGTCCGAATTGTCTTTTGTCAAGCAGCAACTCCTTGAAGAGTTCGCGATAGATGATACTTGTCCACTTCCAGCTCCGTCATCCAGAGATAGTGCTCAACAAACTGATCACCTTGATGCCAAGGACGACGACCCTTTGGAGGTACCCTAGTAACTACGATTTCTTCCCAATTCTGTTGCACCATTGGTTCTATTTTGGAGAGCAAAGTTCTTTGTATTCTTAATTAACATCTTAAGCTTGCATCTGCTTCTTTATTTAGACTGAAGAAGATTTTATAGAATCACAGGAAGGTGAGGCCAATCTTAGGGAGCCGGCCTCGGAAAGCCATGATGTGCTGAGTGTGAACGAACTTCTAGAATCTGTATGCCCTTCTTTATCACGCTCTGTTACTAGAGGAAGCTGATTGATTTCATTGGATCGGTGAATCTAAAATGGGAAATTAGCTCCGTCGTTTTAGCTGCCAGTTGGCCTTCTTTCTATGGGAAGCACAACTTCTTATTGCAGTTTTCTTATATGTTGTAACCAACAGGCAACAGAGACAGCAAATCAAGTGGGACGAATGTCTGTAACTGCACCAGATGTTCCTTACGAGCAAATGGCCCTTCATTGTGAGAAGCTCCTGTTGGGGAAGCAAAAGAAGATGTCTCATGTGATGAGTCTCCACTTAAGGCTGGTGAGTTCCGAAAATCTTTCCTCCACTACAACTTCAACAAGTGTGCCTCTGCCCTCTTTCGATTTTGTTTTGGAAGGGGATCTTAACTGTAGAAAATGCAGCTTGACGAACACTCCGCCCCGGTCCCACAGAGACCACCAGTTGCCCCTCTTGCTTTGCAATGTGCAACTGAGTATCAAAATCAGGGCAACAGTACTCTCCGCCTGCCTGCATCTAGCCCTTACGATAACTTCCTTAAAGCTGCTCGTTGTTGAGGAATCCCCCGAACGCGCGCGAGCTCGAGTTATCACAAGATGAGTTTGCTTGCTTACTCTGAAAACAATCTGTCTGTGTGTATCTCATCCATTCTTTGATTCATTTGTTTCAACTGGCACCAATTTTCCGGCGGCTGTTTGATTCATTATGTTTGTTGTTTATCATGTACAAAAAGAAAAGAGCAGAAATATGTAATGTGCAGAGGGCAAATTCTCATTATTTCATTAAATCGAAATACAGTCATGGCGCGTAAACTGCAATTCGACTAGTACACGACAGAGTCGCGCGCGACACTGCGTGATAGTTAGTACGATACGATATCACAAACACTGCCACAGGTTGCAAATGCAACCTGGGCTAGTTGATGACTAATAGATCATGGAGGCGCAGCTAGAGGTTCCAGTCTTGATATAACACATAGCCGTCGGACCCAAAGCTTCACCGGCTCCGCCTGCACTGCCTCCGCAACTACCCAACAGGACATCGCCGGCGGCGGACAAGCACAACCGGCATGCTGACGTGGGATCCGCCATACCCCAGTCACGTGTCGAGCAGCTACCGTACCCGAACACTCGCAGTCCGCTCGACGCCGACGTCAGCACGCTGCAGTACCGCTGTTGGGGATTATCCGGCACATTTTCTGTCAAATCTTTGACGAGATTCGCCACCGTCGCAGCATCGCTGCCGCCGCTCGTGGAGTCGCAATATGCGGCCTCATCGTCGGCGGCAGCCCCAACAACCAGGAGAAGAAAGACGGATGACGACACTACTACTGATAACCTAATGACAGCCATGGCCAGGCAACGTTGATAAAAAAAAAATTATGATATTTTTAGTGACGAAACTCTCTCGTGGAAATGTGTGTTTGCTTCGGCAATGCCTTTCTGGTCGCTATAAATATATATAATAATGACGGGTCATAATTTTTTTTGCTGTGTATTTGATTCCCGGTGATTAAGAAAACGAAATTTATTGTTCTTGGAAAGTTAGAATTCATCATTCGAACGTGTTTTAATTTTTAAATCAATCTGTTTCTCTTTCGTAACAAATTCGGATCATGCTTTTGCCGCAGGGGTTGAGAAACGGAGAATTTGATGGCGGGGCTTGAAAAGTTGTCAAAATAAGGCCCTTAGCTTGATTATTAGCCACCATCTGACTTTCTAGCGACCGCTTGGCGGCGAGGTATGCTGAACCGCCGGCGAGCAGGACGGCTACGGGGATTCGATAACGGCGGTACGATGGGGCTGAACAAAGTTCACGTTGGACCATTAAGGGTGGGGTGGGTTGGCTGAGGAATTCCAACGAATGAATTTGACTCAATTGTATTGTTTTGATATATTTGAGTCAAATTGACCTGTTTGGCAACATAAAATCTGGATGGAGCAATTTTACTTGGGGAATTTTGAATTGACTCGTTTTGATGCAATTATAATTGTTTAGAATGGAGGCAGGTCATTCGAGTTTACTTTTTTTGATTGGCTGGTTTTATAAAATGAGTCAATTAATCAAATTGTCTTGTTTTTCAGTTGATCCATTCAAACAAACTCGATGTACCAGTTACAATTGAAGTATCATGGGTCTCCTACGACACTTATTCTTAAATGCCATTTATCATTGTTTGAGGTATTTTATATATGATGGTGTTTTCAGTGCACTCACTTTTTTTAGTGTATTTAGTGCACTCGCTTCATAACCGTCCTTTTAAGCATGTGATTTATGTCAAAATTATGTCAATCATCACTTATGATGTGATGAACAATAACACACCTGAATTTGCACAAAAACCATTAAGGATTTACTTTAATTTGAAAGATTTAGAGTTTAGAGATTTAGGGTTAGGGTTTACAATTTTGGGTTTAGGGATAGAACTCAAAATTGGAGGTCTATGGCTTAGGGTAATCCACTAATTAGTTAATATCATATGTTATATCATCATATTACACTAATTCTACAAATTAAAATTCAAAATCCAACGCCTTAAGACTAGTTTTTGAGTTGGGTGCATTGAACGCACTCATTTTTGTGAGTGCACCGAAGTAGTCACCGTGTTAGGGTATAGTATCATGTCCAAAATCTAATTAATTCGAGATCTAGACAGCGTTTTCCTACTCAAGGTATATCGTACCCTTGAGTTCCGGTGGAGGAAGAGTTTGGTGAAGGGGTGGATTTGGTGAAAGTGGGTTCATGGTGCACCAGGAAGAGGAGAGACTCCGTCATCTCCGGAGCAGATTCTCGTTGCTAAACTGAGAACAGACAGCACCGCTGCGAAAAGGCCAAAGATGAAGAAGGTGGTGGAGATGCTCAAAGAGATCACCCAAATGGAGTGATTATTCAAGGAGAGAGTTTTTGTTTTGATTTGATTTGATCCAACATTGTGACACGATGGATGGATTAGGAATGGGATGGGACAATTAGCTAGCCTGTCATTGAAATGAAGCGAGAAACACATCCGTTGAAAATAAAAATAAAAAAGAGTTCTCGAGTTGGCCAACTCAGATGATAGATTACGAAGTTTGCCTGCTGGTGTAAGTTCTGCAACTATACCCAGTCAGTTCCATCAGTTACGTCACATACTGATGATCAGATCAGTGCGAGCATCACAATACACAACCATTGAACGCTTACAACAAAAGAGCTTCAATGAGTAAAAAAAAACAAGATTTATTATGATTCAAGAAACAGAATTCACAGCCAAATTCCTTTTTTCAGGGGAAAAAATCTTGACATCAAGGCCACAGCCTTGATAATGATGGAGAGTATTGAAGGCCAAACATAATGTAGTTGAACTAAGTTATTTTCAAACCCATCAACTCATATACTAAAAAAAATATCATGAGAGGCAACAAGCAGTCAATCTCGGGACTTAACGATGAAGTTTTGGCGACTGATGGGGTTCATCACAACTGGTGGACCGGCAACGCGAGGCCATGCCTGGAATTTCTTGTCAGTTTCCTCCCACCATTCCTTGTTCGAGACTGTACCCGGAGTGGAGCCTGGGATTGAAAGAAGAGATGAAACATCGATTGAGAGCAATGCATTTAAGTAACGAATGTGACTAGGTAAAAAAAATGGCAACTTAGACCTTACCGCCAAATATCTTCACATCAGATACAAGTGTGTCGCATAAATAGGCAATTGGGAACGATGCTGCTATAGCACCAATTACGTACTTGCCTGACATGATCAACTGCAAAGGAGTGGTGAAAATCAACCATTACAAAGGTTAGCCTTCGAAAAACTTATATACTTAGATAGTCATCTCTCTCAGCTATTGAACCCATACCCATTATACCAACAGTTAATTCTAACAATACAGGTGTTCGGAATGGCTGATAAAACTGATGCTCCAAGAAACCCACCGCCACCACACAACTAACAAGCTGCCTAAGTTATAAACTTGAGCTCATTACCACTGGCAAACACACTCCATATCGTAATGTGGGGACAACAACGTTATTCTAGTGTCTCCAGAAGGGTAAACACAAAGAAATGAGGGTTAAGCTAAAAGCCGATAAATCGAGCGATAAACGAGATAAACGGAGAAGGCAGTAACCTAAGGTTGTTTGGCACTTGGAAACTCAAAAGATATACTCCACAAGCATGCATCCATCTTAGGCAATATATCATTCAATTGAAGTATTCCCACGATCAAACATTCAACATGACATATTTTTACAATTGAAGGTTGACATAAACTTTGCATTCCAAAACACAGATACTAAGAATCACAGGTCAAGACGACATCCTAATCGATCAGTTATGTGACAGTGATGCCCATCAAGAACACATCAGGAATAAGCGGTAACTCCCTGGTCCCTGCCCCAAACACATCCACAATCTCCCCTTTTCGATGGATCAAACAAGCCAATACAATCAGAGTCGATTTAGTTAGGGATTTGAGCAAGTTAAACATCTCACCCAAAATCGAGAAAATTCCACTTTGCGACAACAATCGAGGAAAAGGTCTGCATATTTCAATGTATAGAGACACCGCACTCACACTCAACCAACGAAATACAAACGTAAAAGGACAAAACCCTATATCAATCGATCCCCAATCCGTATCCCTAATCCTACAGAAAGCACACAGTCTGACGAAGCATGAAAATGACAACGAGAGAGGAGGAGATTTGAAGGAAGTGGCTACGCACCAGAAATGAATCGGAGACTGGAAATCGTCGATTGGGGATGGGAACGCCGAGGACTCGAGACCGAGGCGGGAATCGTTGGACTTTTTTCCAGAAAGGAGATGAATGGAGAACCAGGTTAATTGAACGCGATATAATGCCCTGCTGGCTGCTGCTCGACAATTTTCTTTTGGTTTTAACTTTTAGCGAATCCCTTGGACGACGGTGTCGTTTTAGGCTATTCCATTTCCCCATTTTTCTCACATTTGATGATTTATTTGCAAGTTGCAACCCCATCTAAAACTAAACAAGTCCTTGTAATTTGTTTTTCATTGCGTTAAGTCCTTGTATTATTAAATTTCAACAAAAGAGCCCCTTACAAAGCCGGCAAAGTTCACGTCCGGTCCGATTGCTTGCTGCTGATCCGCCCGTCTATTCTTCTTAACCAATTTGGGCCGGGGCCTGACGGGCTTCAAAAACTGGGCCTGCAACCTCACCGTCTCCCTCAACAGCCCAATCAGCCTCCCGTCAATCTCCGCCCCTCCTCCTTCCTCCTCCGCCGCTCCCACCCACCGCGCCACCGCCTCCCGGGTACTCACGCAGCCGCCGCGGGGCTCCTTCCTCAACACCAGCTCCGACTCGTAAATGTTCTCCTTCTTCCCTTCCCTTTGAAACGAAACGGCGTCAAAAGTAGCCTCCCGAGGCGCCAAACGCAATGTCGTTTCAGCGGACAACGCAGATAAACAGCGTCGTTTCGCGGTGAAAGCCAAAGAATCAAAAGGGTCGTACTTGTGTATATGTAAATTGTCGAGCGCGGCAGGAAAAGGGGGGAAAAGCGAGTCGATCGTCTGGTAGAGGAAAGAAAGCGTGAAAACTTCGACAATGGCGACTGAAAGTTCGGAAGCGACGAGTAGCAGCGAGGCCATCTCAGAGTTCATCCACACGCCGTTCTACTGGTAATGGGAGTACGAATTTGCTGGTGACGATCTACTTCAATGCCTTGCCAGCAATCATATTGCGCAAGCTTGTGATTTTTTTAAACAGCAATCGCATTTGACTATTTCTAGGGTTTAATTAGTTCGCTAGGATGTGGATTTGGATGGTGTGTGATTTTCATCTTGCTAAGCTTAGTTTCGTGAAGGGCAGACTTTGTCTCATTATCGTTTTGAAGTTCTTCAAGTTTAGGGAGATCACTTGGATAATAGTATGCTGAAGGTTTATGAAAATGGTGATCTCTTGAACTATGTGTTCTTGGTGTGGTGCTGTTTATTGCAGTGAGGAGAACATATATTTTCTGTGCAAGAAACTCTGCGAAAATGGGAAGGCAAATGCTGATGGGTCTGATCTTTTTGTTGTGTTCATCTCCAATGAAAAGAAGGCGGTAGGGTTCTTAAGCAATGTCTTCACGAAATTCGTTTTACTGATTTGGGACAATGGCCATCTTGCTGCATCTTTCAAGTCTTTGTTATTTCATTGTAGATCCCGCTTTGGAATCAGAAGGCGAGTACACGAGCAGACGGGGTTGTGCTATGGGATTATCATGTCATATTAATTCAGGTGGATTCTCGCTTAACACACAATATTTGTGAAGATATGTTGATCAAGTTAGCTGAGGGGTGAAAAGTGAAAACAGAGTTTGGCTTATGGTCAATATCCTTTTTGACATCCTGAATTCCCTTTTATTGAATAGAAAGTGCCATTCGATGTATGTGCAGAGGAAACGAGATGGTGATGATGATGAAACTTCTTCAACTTTGGTATGGGATATGGATTCCTCTCTTCCGTTTCCTTCACCTCTCGATTCCTATCTGTCCGAAACAACGAGGCCATCCTTTGAGCTCTTCTCTGACTTTCAGAGGTAAAGTGGAAGTCCTGATACGAATTTTATCTTCTTTGATGAGTGGATCAGTCCGTGGCTAAAGTGTTTCTTCATTCAATTTAGAAAAATTATTGATCACGACTTCCTGAAAACTGTACTCATGCTGTGAATGTTGTATTACTGGGTTTATATATATCCATGACAGAGCCAAATGTGATGCATTCTTCAGTTTTGAACTTCTTCCATGTACTGGTAGTGCATTGATTTTCTCATCTCTCAACCAACCCAATTTATTGTTTCACAGTATATAATACATTGTGCAATGTTAAAAAAAAGTCTCACTTGTTTTTGGTATGGTAACAAAACAGTAATAATCACTTTGTTATCAGGTTTTATCGTGTCGTGCATGCTCCAGTATTTCTCCGTGGATTTGCTTCTGACAGAAGTCATATGAAAGACTCTGCGGGTAACTGGAATGCTCAACCTCCTGCGTATGAACCCGTTGTTGCAGAAGGTAATTGACTTGTATGGATTGGTAGCTAGTTCTTAACGAAATGTATTGAAACATTTTGCTGTTGTTTGGGTTGCCCCTTATCGCCCATACATGCATGACTATTACTTACTTTGTGACTTCTTTGAAATCTTTTGCAGATGGAACTGTTAATAACCTGAAAGAGTACATGGATATTCATGCACCAACCGAGACGGTGGCAATCGACGAGCTGACAAAGATGGTGTTGAGGCAGGATCAGAAGCATGGGGTGGTACTGAAGGAGAGCCAGGTGAAGGAATTCTTCTCACAACTGAATGTGACCAATGCTCTTTCCGATTAGCAAACACGAACGGTGAATTCTCGGATTGCCAGATCAGCAGGAACCTCATCAGCTGTTTGAGAATATACTGAACTTTATGTATGCATGCTTGACATTTCGTGTTGCATTTGCTTGTATGCTTGATTGATTCGTGAAAATTGGTAGAAGATAGAGAATCTACTGTTTACTATTTAGGTCTACAAAAGTTTAGCAATTACCTGGTGTCTCAAAGGTTTCCATCCCCTATGGTAAACCATTGAATTGGAATGGATTGGATTGACGGATTATCTCGATATTGTATATCTTATCATCATCTAACAAATAATTAGTAAAGAATATTATCTAACTATCATTTCGCTTGGGAGGGATTAGATTATGTTAGTTGAGCGTGAATTTAGGATTGTACTTTAGGAAGAGTCTTAGGCCTCATAATTTAATTAGGATTATACCGCGATTTGCCAACATCTAATCTTGATTAATTATAATTGTCATTAATTAGCCACTTGTGTGAAGTGAACTGTGAATGTGATGTGTTTCCGTCACCAAATCTCACTTACTCGTCGGGACGCGCTATTGCTTTGCACTCATGGAATGGAAAAGTTAACCGACGGAGGAGAATCCCAAACCAAACCCCACTCCGACGTCGACCGTCGACGTCGTCGTCGTCGCCTTAATTAGTGCGTTTTGCTTCATCACAATCACAAATGAAATAGCTGTAACCCAACACTTTGATTTAGGCGACGCACCATCCAAATTCCAAGCTCTCCGACGGAGGTTCCAATAACAACTACGGAGCAATATTATGTTATACTATTAGTGTTTGATATGTAATTTGACAAAATTATATCGCTTATCAGAGTCGTATAAAGTCGGACCCATATGAGGGGTTATAGTCTTATAGAAGTTTGTTTCTATACGCATATTAAAAATTTTAAAAGTTAAGAATTTTATATGAAGTTTAATTAGAATTTTGATCGTCCAGCAACCTGTTGTTTTGAACCCTTCTTAGGGTACTTCGACAGTGTGATGAAATAATGTAGGTTAAAGATTTTTTGAAAGTAAAAAAAAAAACAATGGTAAAAATGATCGAGCAACATGATGATCAAAGTTTATTGGTGTTTTGGAATGACCAATGAAGAAGAAGAAAGTAGTAGTTATTAAAACTTAAAAGGCCAACAAGAGGGCTGTAGCCTGTAGGGCCCATCAAATATTCCCTAAATCTTGGGTTATCAAGTAATTAAATCACAAACTAACTGTACTTAACAGACACTGAAGAGACAAAGAGGATCGTGGAGTTGGTACTAGCAGGAAATTGAAAACAGCTATTTAACAACTACTGCGCAAAAAATTGTATTAAAAATGTTTACATTATTATTATATGTATATCTTCTTAATTTATGTCATTAATTTGATAAAATTCTGGAAATTAAACAACAAGAACACTCGATTTTACGTGGTTTCCCTGAGATTCAGGACTAGTCCACGGGAGAGGTAGAACTCTCCGGAGTCAATCTTATTCAGCTTAGGTTTTCGTACTACAGAGATACAATATATATATGTTGTGCCCCCGGCTATAATGCAACCCTAGCCGGTCTATCTAGGTAACTCCAGTAATAAAACACATTTACTAAAAGCTACCTAGATAAGACTAAGTCGTCAATTAACACCCTCCCTCAAACTGATGGTGCTTTCGCAACATCAGTTTGTTAGACAAATACCAATGACGACTTGAACCCACAGCCTTTGTCAACAAATCTGCAGTCTGATCATCTGTTGACAAATAACTTAGCTGAATAACTCCTTCGGACACAAGCTCCCTTATGTAATGAACATGAGTCTCAATGTGCTTAGTCCGATCGTGCAAGACAGGATTAGTGGCTATCCTGATTGCACTAGTATTATCACCATAAAGCTTCATAGGCATTTTACACGTCACACCCAGGTCATCTAAAAGTCGCTGCAACCATACCAGCTCCGAGCTCACCTCCGACATCGATCTGTATTCTGCTTCTGTAGATGACTTGGACACTCTGTCTTGTTTTTTACAACGCCAGGATACAAAAGAGCTTCCAAAACGAACACACCACCCTGACGTAGACCTTCTAGTATCTAGACAACCTGCGAAATCTGCATCAGCGAAGGCCTCTAGCACGGGTTCCCCTTGGTGCGGAAAGAAGAGGCCTACATCCTGCGTACCCTGTAAATATCGGAGAATCCTGTGAACGGCATCCAAGTGCATGGATCTAGCAATCCCCATGTATTGACTCACCACTTGTACTGCATAAGCTATGTCGGGACGAGTGGAGCTCAAATATCTTAGACTGCCAACTATAGTGCGATAGTTAGTTTGATCATCCAACAAATCACCACTCATCCGGCTTAACTTAAGATTCTGTTCCATCGGAGTCGCACATGGTTTGCAGTTATCATATTGATGTTCAGCCAACAAATCGCGAACATACTTCCGCTGCCCCACGAAAATACCATGTTGCGTCCGCGCTATCTCCAGCCCGAGGAAGTAAGAAACATCACCCAGCTCCTTTAGCTTAAATGCTCGATGCAATGTCTCTGTCAACTCCTTGATCCCCTCATGATCGCTCCCGGATATGATCATATCATCAACGTACAGTAATAAAACTGTGAGACCGTGTACTGTAGTCCTTAAGAAGAGAGAAGGATCATTCTTACTCTGAGTGAACCCTGCCTGAATGACCGTACCATGAAATTTCTCAAACCAAGCTCGTGGTGCTTGTTTGAGACCGTAAAGTGAGCGCTTGAGACGACAGACAAGATTTGGACCACCTTTGGAGTATCCAGGAGGACACGCCATATAAATAGTCTCCTTAAGATCACCATGGAGAAAAGCGTTCTTGACATCTAACTGCACAAGAGGCCAGTCTTTCATAGCAGCTACGGCTAGAACACACCTCACCGTCTGCATCTTAGCCACCGGAGCAAAGGTCTCCTCGTAATCAATCCCATATTCTTGACTGAATCCCTGGGCTACTACTCGGGCCCTAAACCGTTCAAGTGTTCCATCCGGTCTCATCTTCACATTATACACCCATTTGCTGCCTACCACCGACATCTCCGGTGTACGTGGAACAATGTCCCATGTCTGATTTTCCTCAAGGGCATCCACTTCTTCGGTCATGGCTGCGTCCCATTCCGGAATCCCACATGCCTGCTTATAATTTGCAGGAATGGGAATGGGATCAACATTAAAAGCCACGTAGTCATCAAGACGAGGAGGAGGCTGGCCGCGTGTCACACGAGTAGACCGGCGCGGGGCAACCACTTGGTCATGTGATGTCGAACTTCCTGCGCTACCTGAAGAAGAATCCGGGGAAGAGCTGCCACTACTGGGCGAGCTGTTGCCACTGCTTGATGATGACGAGCTGCTCGCATGGGACAAGTTGCCTCCACTAAATGAAGTGGAAGTGCCACTTTCGCCAGGTGAAGGAGTGCTGCTTTCATCCGGACCCAAAGAGGAGCTATTATCATTTAAAGACTCACTTTGGGACAAAGAATTCCCACTAGTGGACGAACTGCCCAACGCCGAAGTAGAGGAAGTGGGAGAAGAATTGCTCCTTCCCATAAGCGAAGTCTCCCCAGCCACAAGTAAGTCCAGAAAAGAAAGACTACGTGCAAATTGGTCACGAGAAGCTTCGGGAGTTGAGTAATACATCACCTTCTCCATGAAGAGCACATGATAAGCAATCCGTAACCGTTGACCTTCCGGATCATAGCAGAGATACCCTTTGTGACGATTACTGTACCCCAAGAAGACACACCGAGCAGTTTTGGGACTCAACTTGTGACGCTCCCGCTTGGGAAGCAGAACAAAACATAAGCAACCAAATGTGCGAAGAGCACGATAATCAGGAACACGAGAGTACAGCTTCTGGTACGGAGAGATATCATCAAGGACAGGAGTAATCTGGCGATTAATCAGGTACACAACTGTATTAGCAGCTTCAACCCAAAACCTCGCAGGAACACTGGATCGAAATAAAAGAGCACGAGTAAGCTCAAGGACATGGCGATTCTTCCGCTCAACTATGCCATTTTGCTGAGACACTCCAGGACACGACTGCTGACTGAGAATTCCTTGAGAACGATAGAAGGCAAGAAGATCATTGGAACTGAACTCACCACCGGGATCAGAACGGATGATCTTAATCGTTTTCTGAAACTGAGTCTGGATCATCCGGATAAAATCCTGGGCATGGGTGATTAACTCCGACTTCTGACGAAGGAAATAAATCCAAGTATACCTGGTGTGATGATCGATAAACAAAGCAAAATATAAGAAACCATTACGGGATGGAACTGGCGACGGGCCCCAAAGATCAGTATGCACTAGGTCAAACGGAGCTGCATACTCGGTAGAACTAGTAGCAAAGGAACGCTGTGAAGCCTTTGCTTCGACGCAGCTTATGCAGGATGGAGGAGAGAAGGAGGAAGACGAAAACTTTCCAGGTAACAAACTGAGATTAAACATCTGTAACAATCGTGCTGAATGAGGATGCCCCAAACGGCAGTGCCACAAATCCCAAACAGAATCTCTTACATCCTGACGTAAAGAATGTTTAACAGAAACAACCGGAAAGGAAGATAAATGAGAACTATCATCTAGAGTATCCAAGTCCTCAACACGCGTCCGGACAGCATCCTGGAAAGCTCCCTCCCGCCGATCAAACCCCTGCTGGTCTCTAGCCCGCAGCCTATCCATGACATAAATCCGTCCTTCCTTACGGCCCCGACCGAGTTCCATCCCCGTCTTCGAGTCCTGCACCACACACCCATGATTATCAAACTTAATATGACAACCCTCTTCTGCCAACTGTCCGACCGAGATCAAATTAGGAACCAGACTAGGAACATGAAGAGTGCGACAAAGCTGAACACATGAGTCCTCTACTCGACCAACCCCGGTAATAGGAAGAACCTCTCCATTTGCCACTTGCAACCGTTGAGAGACCGGGCGAATAGATTGAAAGGCGCTGCCATGGTTAGTCATATGATGGAAAGCAGCAGAATCAAGAAGCCAACGATGAGAAGTACCTGAACCAGAACCAGCAGAGAATGCCGAACTCATCACCTCCTGAAGAGCAGCGTGAATAAGCTGGGTGAGCTCCGACTTAGAGACACCACCTGTGGAGGAGGTGGTCGACGCGGGAGCAGCAATGGGAGGAGCCATCGTCGTAGCATATGCAGGAGCAGGTGGACCAGATGAACGAGAAGAAGGGTGACGACCCCGCTGACGACAGTTGCTGAGAATATGACCAGCCTGTTTGCAATAATTACACCAGTTTCTCTTCTTGCAAAACGGTTGAATATGGCCAGGCTCACGACAGTAATGACAGATACGAGCGGTATGAGGTCCTTGACCGCCTGGAGTAGAGTGAAACTGGGGCCTGTAGGAGGACGCAGCAAAGGCAGCTGACTGATCAATGGACTGAGCAGAAGCAGAATCGATCTGAGCTTGACTTTTGAGTCGGATCTCCTCACGATAGAGTTCACCTAAGACAGTGTCCAAGTCAGTCACATTCCGATGAAGCAGAGAGGCACGAATAGGCTCATATTCGCGGCGGAGCTTCATCAAAAAATGCATAGTTCGGGAACGAGTACGTTCAGCAATGGTGAGAGCCGGGACAGGAGTATCGGAGAGAGAAGCAGACAACAAATCACTCTCAGTCCATAAATGCATCGCCGCCTGATAATAAGACCTGATATCCATATTGCCCTGGGACAGACCTGCAAGAGCAATTTCAAGTTCGAACTGGCGTGAAGCATTGGCCTGAGAGTTTGTTGTAGTCAAGTGCTTCCACATGGCACTGGCAGTAGTAAAACGACGCAGACTAAGACCGGTGGGAACATCAACACAGGCGACAAGCCATGTAATAACCTGGGCATTATCGGCTTCCCAATCAGCCGAAGCCTTCTCATCGGTGGGGGCAGGTTGTGGCCGAGTCCCGAGCAGAATGGGCAGCAGACGCTTGCCCTGAATGAACGTGCGGAATTGGAATTCCCAAAGCGGGAAATTCTTCCCGTCAAAGCGAGTGGTAACCAGATCACTTTTCACTGACTCCATTATGATGCAATAGACAAATGGACAAGAGGCACGAAGATATGAAAACCAAATCAAGACAAACCAGCCAAGATGGAGAAGCAGTAGAGACCAAATCCCTCAGAGAGTCACCGAGAAACCAGAGCACCAAGACAAGCAGCCGAAATAAATAATAGGGCACCGAAAAGAACCAGGATAGGAAGCCGATAGTAGGGTACCGAGAAAGAACAGCCGATACTAACCAAATAGAGAGCAGCCGAGAGAATCAGAGCGCAAATAAAGAACAGTCGAGAAGATACCAAGAGGCAGCTGAGCGGCGGAGCGACACAAAGCAGCTGGAGATGAAAGACAAAGCAGCGGAAAATAAGAGGAGAAAACCCCAAATAAGCAGCCGACGATCCTCGGATGAGAGGCTCTGATACCATGATAAAATTCTGGAAATTAAACAACAAGAACACTCGATTTTACGTGGTTTCCCTGAGATTCAGGACTAGTCCACGGGAGAGGTAGAACTCTCCGGAGTCAATCTTATTCAGCTTAGGTTTTCGTACTACAGAGATATAATTATGATATAATGACACTTTTCTAACTGTCATAAATAAACAATGAAGCCACAAGCATGAATCAACCGTATATTCCACGACTATTCTCGACAATAAATCTTGTCATATATATCATCTTGACACTTTCAAAATTCCATTAGCCCAACAAAATCATTTTGCATGGGGATTTTTTTTTTTTACGAAAATAAAAATAGTGAGTAAAGAGTTGTTTGGTTACTTTGGTTGTATTGGTAAATCGGGTATTTCGTTAATACAATATTCCGTGGTGGAGTCGGGATTTGAAATTATGTGTCTTTTTTTCTCGAGTACGTATTACAAGAACTAAGTTTTTGTGTAGTGGCAAGATATTGTTAAGGCGTGAATTATTTGACCCCCTTTGCATAAAAGCATAAATATGAATTTTTTTACATGAAAACTTACACGTGCCATGTGACAGAGTCAAAAGTCCATGCCCCCGCCTATGGCAGCATCATTTTACTTCTTTATGATAGTAAAATTCATTTTACATGTTTGTCTACCAGAAGAACATATCCCGATCAACCATGAACAAGTGTTTACGATCGCGGTGCGATCACCCACAAAACGAGTTAAACCAAGAGTACAATTTTCGAACGATGAATACCCTAATTAATTATTAAAAGGGAAATCTCAAAATTTTGTCCCATGGATGTTATATAACGTGGGATACATAACTGGGAAGCAAATTTTGAAGAGATCAAACTAGGGATTGAAAGAAAGAATATTTTAGAGATAGATAGGAGTGTTAATGCAGAATAGATTCCTGATTCCATATGGGGTTTTGAAGACTGGAGTCAAATATAATTAAGTTATTATGATAATTAATTAAGCAGCGAGTAGTGTGGAGATGATCATATGGGAGGTTTTGGAGCATAATTAACGATCGACATTTGGAATCTGAACCAGAGATATCAATGTTGGTTGAAGTAGAAGGGGGAATATATTGGACCTGGAAATTGAAACTGAACTCAACTGAACTAATTAATCAACATGTAAGAACTGATCAATAGAAGGTGACTGAGAGACTTGCAGTTGCAGCAAATAATGTCCCCTCAGATTAAACAGTATCAAGATTCGTATCAAAGAAGGACTGGAATATGGGGACGAGAAAACAAATTAACAAATGAAGGTTATTAAGATTATATATAGGGTGGCTTCTAACGACATATAGAGTAAATCTAGGGTACCATTAGTTAGAAAATGATTTATAAAATATTAGATTAACTGGATTTTGGGACATTTCACTCTACTAGGATCTTCTATGTCATATTTCTCTAGGTCTCGAAATAGTGCATCTAATATATTGGATGTATCTCACCGAATTGGAATCTCGATCGTAGTTTCTAATTAAATTGATCTTATATTATATGCTTTAGAGAAGCGTAACTTAAATTTTACTGATTGCTAGGATCTATGATGTAGTATCATGTCTCAAACTTCGTTAATTAATGGTTTAGATACTGTTTTCTTATATAATGCATGCATATGATTAATCATACGATGGGAATAACTTGGTCTCTAGCTAGGTTGTCACTATTTTACAAGACAAGAGTCTCTCACGGGATAATTTCGTCAATATTTCACTAGATAATACTTAGAAATTCTACCTCTATGTAGAAACGAAGTTGAGACTGTAACTAATTTTGTAATGGTGGCATCTGTTCCAAAGTGCTCTTAATGTCTCTATAGCAATTCGCGTATCCAATATTTTGTCAGTACTTCTCGTATTTTACGATCGGCTATCGTTTTCGAATGCAATTTCTATGTTTTCATCGACCCTAATTCTCAGCCGTTGCCTTTTGTTTTGCACCGACCGGCGAGTCCAACACCCTTTTTTCGACATAAATTCCATTATCCACATCGCCGTCCTGCCGATTTGACCGGATGCTTCTTCAATTCGGTAGTTTTCCTTAACCAGTATTAGTGGATATAGATAATAACGAGAGAGAGCTTCCTCTTTTTATCATTTTAATCCTGAAATTATACCGTTATTATGCTTACATTTGGAAGAAGTATTATTTAGATCCGCATAACGTGCTAAGTTAATAAACTATGAGATTGATACGATGTATTTTCGAGTTTAGTTTCGCATCAGAATCTCTCAACACACATCAGGTAAGTTCCCGTCATAAAAGGTATTGTTTGTTACAACTTATATGGAAAAATTGAACAATTGGAGAAACAATAATTAATTATAATAGTGCAAGTGCAAGCAATAATAATTACTGCATTACTAATTTTGTTAAACAATAATAACAATTTAATCAAATTTTCATATTTTCCTCCTTTCTAATTCACTTCCCAAACTTAAAAAAACATTGAGAAAGATACCTAACAAGCTAATACAAAGGAAGAAAAACACCCCTAAACTCAGCTCGCCCACTCACTGAGTTCACCATTCTCGACTCAGTGAGCCAGCTCGTTAGCACCCTAGCTAATCCATCCGAGACCACCGCCGACTGATCGTCAACCACGGAGCAGAGGCCTCGACTCACCGCCGACAAACTCCCCGTTCCTATTCCTCCCGACGAGACAAGAGTGAGCGCACCGCTGAATCTCCCCCAAATTCAAAAACCTCCTGATCGAATCAGATCTGGACACCAATTTCAGAACCTCCTCGAACTCCGATTCGTCGCAGGGGATCCGCAGCGGGCCGGCGTTTGCGAAACCGAACTCCTCCTCGGCCTGCGCCAGGACGCGGCTGAAGATCGGATGGTTGAGGTGCGTCGCCCGGACGACGAACCTCCGGCAGCTCGCGCCGACGCAGACGGCGACGTGGCCCGCCGGGACGTCGGATGGAGCCGCGCGCGCGGTTCTCGACGGCGATGAATTCGAGGAGGAGGCGTTGGCTCGGGCCTTCCTGCGCCATTGCTTGAGCATCTGCTTGATTCTTACGATGTGGCGGATTTTGTTGGATTTCGGCATTGCAATTTCGCTCCTCCGCCAAGAAGATGAGAAAAGGAAGGCCGATGAAGACGAGAGAGAAAAAGAATAAAGCTGTGGTTGGGTCCAATTAGATAAAAGAGAGAGAGAATAATCTGTTTTGTTTTACTAACGGTTGGGAGAGAGAGACTCTGATTAGTCGGCGGAAGTGGGAGGAGATTAGAGTGGGGAGGAGAAGGGGTTTTAAAGAAGATTGGAGTACGGAAATGCCCCTGGACTTGGAGATTCTTACGAGATTTTGTCTGTTGGTTTGTTTTCCACTATCATTTGATGGTAGTTGGTTTCATGGTTAGTGGCAATTTCGAGAAGACCTGATTTATCCGATTTGTTTGGTCTGTTTTGAGCGGGTCAGACTTGTCATGTAAGGGGGGCGGGACGGGGCGGACATGTGTATCATTAATCGACCCGACCTGTTCTGACCCGATTCATTCTCGACCCGTTCTTGTCTAAATTACATATAATCTTAGTCAAATTACTTAGTATTCTCCTCTTATTACATTATATTTTAGCTATAATAAAGTTGTAATTAAGTGAAAACATCAATTTCTTCAATAATTTAACTAGATTTTATCATATTATGGTTTCTTTCTTGGTTTTTTAATGAAAATAACTAATATTTCTAATGTTTTTGACTTAATTACATACCCATTGGGGCGACCTGCCCCGATCCGTGCCCCGTAATAAATTAACCGACCTGGACCCGACCTGCCATGGGGCGGGTATGGGTATCGAGATACCCGCCTTGGACCTGCCCATTGCCATTCCTATTAGCAACCTTGCAACCCATCAACGGGTGCGTTTGTTTCCTTTTTTTTTATTACAAAAGATAATCAATATATTGATACAAAATATAGATAGTTTCGTCCTGGAATTTAACCAAGCTAGAAAATCAAAATAACGACTCGCAGTCGGGTACAAATGAAGGGTCTTTTTAGCAACCAAGTGGGCTATCCTATTACTCCGCCGACCTACAAACCGCACAGAGAAACCTCCCAGCGACTCCAAAACACCTACAATTTCTGCTAGAAGCGCCCCAATTCGGCTATCCCTAGTATCCGACTGGTTGATCTTATCAATAATCACCTTAACATCTCCTTCAAAGCGCACCTCCACAAATCAGGAATCCCGACACCAAAGAATAGCCTCTCGGAGAGCTAGAACTTCAGCAACCAATGGATCATCTTAGTAATTTAAGAAAAATATCTTAGTAATTTAAGTAACTGAAATTTAAGTTGAAGAGTTCTAAAATTTAAGTCGAAAAAGATAAATTCATTTGTTATTTGATAAGTATATATTCTGTTAAATTTTTTTTTTTTAAATACATGATTTAGTAATAACATTAGTTTTGAGCTTGAAGACTTCATATTCGAATATTGTAATTAGTACCTAACCACAATAAAAAAAAGTATATAACCATTATACAAAAATATGATTGTTAGGTCCATCACTAGTAAGTGTAATATCCTCACTTTATTTTGAGTATTATGCTCAAACCCTTTTTTTTACCTCTCTATCAGGTTCACATGGAGAACCTGTTGACTCAATGATGGGTTATTGGGCCCATACAGTTAAGAAAACAAAAAGACCAACTCAAACCCAGCTCCTGAGCCCATTGAGAATTGGGCCGAAAGCACGAAATTCAAATTAAATGTAACAATTCAGATGGCCCGGCCTAAGCCTTGTTCCATTACCTTATTCGGGCTTTTCTGCCTTTCTTTGGGGTCACCACCACTCACCAATATAAGGTGGCCCGTCTTGATTTTCCGTATTTGTTGATCGGTTTGCAAAATTGCTTAGCAAACTTAAGAGCGCCCGAACTAGAAAGCTACAATTTTGCTTTACTAATCTTGAACAATCTAAGATGTTTTCACGTGTAACGTTGTATTTTGTTCACTGATCGCGCGAGAGTTCGAAAGACAACTTCAATACTTCATTCTGCACTATCGAAAAACTTCGTCATCAAACCATTGCCCAAACCATGGTTCGCCCGTCTCTGGGCCAACCTCACGATGCTACATACTAGTAGTATACTCATCTTATACGAGAGCGCAAAATAAATAATTCGTATTTCTCATATAAATCAGATCAATTCAACTATATATTAACAACGATTTGTTTAAGAGTTATCGTCCTAACTTCTCCCTTTCGGCACATGCTACCGACGGGGATTGTCATCATTCCCATTCCCCACACCAACGTACTCTCCATCCAGGACCTCTCATTTTCACTCCAAACCCGGCCAAGTTTTTATTGAAGCAAAATCTTTTATCATCAACCGCCCACTTTTGGCCCATGTTCATTTTTCGGTGCTCCGAAGTTGACAACTCGATCGGTGCTAGAATTTGGCTCATCTCATTTATTCTCAAAAATCCCCTGCTTCTCGAACTATACTAAATACAAATGCCTCTTCTTCCATTTAGTTTTCCTTTTTCCTAAGCTACTTGGCTAACATTTCAATTGTAACTTTGTAATGGAACTCAAGCACACACATTAACCAAGGCTAGAAGTAATGACGAAACTAGGTAGAAGATAGGAGGGGTTAATAACTCTCGTAATTTGGAAATATAGGTAAAAAAATTAGATGTAAATTCGTACATTTAAGTTGTTTTATATTAATTAGAATATTGGGGGTTACAGATTAGTGGGTACCGGGTAGCAACGTTGAGTTTGGAGTAAATTTATTTAGGGGCGAGTACGGGTATGGATTTGGGTAGGATAGCATGAAATTCATACCCTACTCGTATTCGATTATTTTTTAATCGGATTTTACACTAATTCGGTCAACTCGAATTTTGCCCGTGTTACCGGTTTGGATTCAAGCGGGCAATCGATCTCTTGGTTATTTTTGCCAACTCTAGTAATGACAGAGATCCGTGGAAGATAGGAAGGGCTAGAACCCCCCCCCCCCCCCCCCCTCAACTTTAAAATATAAGCAGAATAAGATCTAAATTTGTACTTCCAAGTCGTAATGGACCTCTTGGTTCTTGGCTACTCAAGAAATTCTCCCTCATTCGAAAAATGTATAACTGAAATCAAGCACACACATCAACCAGAGTTAGAATTAGCAGGGACGAAGCCAGGTGAAAGTTAAGAGGGGCTATAGTCTTCTCAACTTCTCAATCAGCACGATTCAAAAATCGGTCTCCTCATTCCAAAAATCTGAATCTATAAGCAAATCGGGTTGAAAGAGAAAGTAAAATAACTTAATCAATTACATATTTGTTTCCCCATTATCTCACATATCTCAAATTGGGAAGGTAGAGAAATCAAAGTACATCTTTGAACCAAGAGGGGATTTCATTTACATGGAGGAAGGACCACCTGCAGTTCCCTTCTTAACTGATGGTGCAGAGAAAGGTAGATAAAAGAGATAAGATTCAAGAGAAGCTTTGCAAAGTTCAACGGATGCATTCATTTCTACATCTACATATACATAATACGTACAAGACTTGCAACGCATCCACTTAAATGCACACATGGAAACGAGATGATGAACACACAAGCCGCCTGGCTGGCTCTGTCTAGCTAGAGTGGTGGTGGTGCTGCAGATGTGTACGTAGCAGAGCTGTAGCTTCAGGATCTTGATAAGTAATAAGGCTTGATATTGATGGTAGACGTGTTCGAAATCTGCAGAAGGTTTCTGTGGCCAGAGTTGTACAGTAATGAGTAGAGATGGAGAAGATGATGCATGTCCATCCATGCAATATTGAACCATGATCATTATACATGACAGCAGTGGGTAAGGAAGTGAGCAAAGTTCGTACATCGACTTCTCTCAACAAGTCGAATTATTGGATACCAGTTATTAGTTCATGACATGATATTAAAGTTGATTTGTTCGATCTTGATGTGAGGTTTTCAAGTACTATGACTTTTAATATATTTACCGTTGTCTTAAAATATATGGTATAGTGGGTATATGTAAATTTCAAGTTCATGAGTAGTAGTCATATATAATATTATACCTATATAATACAATATAATAATATTATGCTTATTTTTTTTCCTAATTTTCTGGTTTTCTCACATGCAAGTGTTGCTTCAATGTTTTCTAAGATACATATCCCACTTGATCTCCATTAACATCCCATGTGTTGGAAGGTTAAGTAATTGATTTATTACTCAATTAACACTTGTTAATTATAACGGAACGAAGAATCGAAACATGGAAAAAACTATAGAGCACACGAATTTACATGATTCACTAATACGATATATGATTAGTTAACTGATTCACGAGTATATGATTAATATCCATCGTAATACATATTATTTAGTCTCGTTTTACTCGTTCACAATTAACCTCGACCGTTGGATCAGATTGATAGGATATCATTAGGGGGGATGTGGTTATATGGTCCTAACATTAGATGGAATCATGGAACAAGGCATGATGATTAGATCAACAAGATGGAGAACAAATCGAAAAAACAAAAAAAAGAGAAGAACAGAGAACAGAGAAACATACAAATATACATCTGTGATCCGTACGATTGATTCTATATATATGTTGAAACACAAGTACCCCACATTCTCTGACAACAAACTACATGCATATGTTGGAACTCTACTGTTCTCTTTTGATCTAATCATCTTGCCTGCCTTCAAATATACATTTTCCTCTTTTCTATTATTCTTTTCTTCTTCTTCTTCTTCTTCTTCTTCTTCTTCACATGAGTTCATTGCCATGCACAGATCTGGTGAGTCTCAGACTGCCATAAACCGTAACAATGATCTGTAACATATTGGGTACAAGGTCGAAATTCTTGAATCTCCAACGATTCGAATAAGGAATGAACTGATTCTTGACATGACATATACGAATCATAACAACTAAAGAGATGAAAGATAATCCACACATTCCATTGCTTCAAAGTTGAAACTTCTCCCACAGTGAACCATATCTTTTTTGGGTGTCACTGTGGGGAAAACCATAAGGTTGCATTTTATACAGAGTTGAGACTTGAGACTCCCCCATTGCCTTAAAAAAATAATTTGTCACATGGGTAGTTTCCTAGGTCAGTCATTAGACCCTCTAACCCAAAAAAAAAAAGGACCAAAAGAAAAAACCCAGATCTAAAACAATGGGGAAAAGGAAGAAAATGAGAGAGAGAGAGAGAGCAGTAGCATGAGGGCTTCACAGCAATGGAGAGAGAACCAAGATGTTGAAAAAAAAAGATGAAAACTTCATCTTTGGGCCATCTTTGATTCTCTTCTCCACATGTCATGGATCCCATTTTGTTGTTGCATCCCAAGTTCCCAACTATTGGTGTAGCTGACTTGATATTGGGACGAACTGGTTCTTCCTCTCCGATGCAGACCTCACTGCCACTCACCGGAGCATGGAAGTGAGGGCGCGAAAAACGACCTCCTCACAAGGGATGGTGAGGCCCATGTCGTGGTCGAAACCAAACTCCTCCTCAGCTCGTCTGAGGAGGAACTGGAACTCGGGGTGGGTCAGGAACGAGATCGGGACGATGTACCTACTCCTCTTCTCCCCGACGTAGACCGCGAAGTGGCCCTTCGGGACATCGAGCGGAGGGAAACCTTCATCGTCGTGATCACTGTTGTTGTTGTTGTTGTTCTTCCCCAAGCTGGAGCATCTCTTCAGGATCTGCCTCAGCACTTTTGCTTGTGCCAACTTGTTTGGCTTCCTAATTGCCATTTTCCTCCCTTTTTTTTGGTTTAGTTATGAACTACTCTTACACCCTCTCTTCCTTGTTTCTTTTCTCAGGTGAGGAATGGAGGAGAGGAGTGTGGTTTTTTCTGGTTTAGGGTGCAATGGGGAAGAAGGGTATTTATGGAGGAAGAGAAGAGGAAGGGAACAAAGGACAAAGCCAAATGAGATAGGGAGTGGGACATGTGGGAGTGTGGGTACAATTGAAGGACACACCACGGGTTGGTTTTCTACAACTTCTCCTAATTAAGGGTATATGTTTATTAATGTGTGGAGGAGTGTGGAGATTGAGGTAAAAAGAGAGGGAATGAGAGTTAAAAATAAAAGGGAGACATTGTGGGGAACCATCCTCACTGGTTTTACACTTCTTTGTTGCACCTCCTAATGGCAACCTGGCCCTCCTTCTCTCTCTCTCTCTCTCATCAAGAAACAAGAGTGTAAACTTCTATCCAACCGGGATCATATCAGGACGATTGCGCGGTTATAATCGAATTGATCTATGATTGTTGTGTATCTTATTAATTAGGTCGAGCAACATATATCATGTGCGTTTAAGTGGAGTGTCCAGCTGAGTTTACAACATTGATGGTTGCAATTTTGCTTGATACTTGGAGGGGGTAGATTGGCGTGATATTGTGTATGCGCAGTTAAAAAGGACAACATTATTGCAAAGGAAGTATATGTGATAACTGATAACTCCTTATGTCGGGTTGAATTGCTAAATGGTATGGGTATCACATTTATAAAAAAAAACATATCATGTTTCTATTAATGATTGTCTGAGTGTATACTACGCGATATGATGAAAAGTTCATTTGTCTCGTACCTGCAACGAAATCATGAAGTTCTATTACAAATTATTTTCATAAAGATTAATCACAATTGTCTTACTTTTCACATATATACTTTTACATTTTTTCAATCACCTTGTACTTCATTGTAACCGGATTTCGTATGACATTTCGAGGAGATGAAATCCTTAGTATTTCAAATCAATCATTCCAATACTAAGGAAAGTACAAAGTAATTAACCGTTTCCATTTCTACCTTTTTTTTTTCTTCTTCTTGAACCAAGAATTCTCAATAGAATAACAACAACATGAGTCAACAACGGCTACCTAATTCACACAGTTTGACTGACTGACTGACTGCCCATATAAAGAAAGTTAACCACCCCTTTCCAAAACTTGGCAGTTTCAATTATAAAAATAACAACGGTAAAAAAAACAAAGAGGAAAAGCTGGTATTGTATCAGACCCGATTTCAAAACTGTGGAATTCCCCCAGCTTATAAAAATCAAAACTCTCAGGAGATTCAAGAGATCGATCAAATCATCAGGTCGTTTTTAGGGTTTGTCCATTTGCTGCAACTAGCTTCCCAACTCCACCGTTATTATTAATTGGTAGATATTTAGGGCCTTGTCACCTGTTAGCTGGATGCATTTCGTCGGTTCGGGTTTGATTGCTTAATCGATAGATATTTACACGTCTTCTCCATCGCTAGTTATTCTCTTTTCACATTTTGCGTCCGTCACAGCCATGAATCTCATTATGAGTTGGGCGACTGAATAAATGTGTTCGAATTTGTAATATTTTAATAATATATTCACATTTTGTATCCGTCACAACCATGACTCTTATCATGAGTTGGCGACTGAATAAATGCATTCGGATTTGTAATATTTTAATATATTTTCACATTTTGCGCCCGTCATAACCATGGATCCTATCATGAGTTGGACGACTAAACAAATGTGAGATGTAAACACAATGATTACGCCGGATGACGAAATCGAATTCAAATGCGTAGCGTTTACATCTCACATTTATTCTTATCTCTCTGTTTCTCGACTTTGTCTTTTCCCTCGTCAGCTTATGTGCCTAGATCACGGACTTAACAATGAAAGGTGTGGTACTGGACAGTACAAAACTGTTTTTTTCACAGTTTTTTGGTTGTTTGTTTGTTAATATGGTTGAGTGCAGCTTGTGATTCTCTCTGTTTTCTGTGTGTCCTTTTCTGCAATCTGCCACATATAAAATGTAATAATAAGATAACAGAGTAGTGTTTCTACACTTATTTAGCAATCCCATGTGGTCTTTTTTTACTGCTGCTATACTTTATGCAGGTCCTTGACCCTGTTGTTGCCATGAATGGCCTCCCCCAGTCCCCACCCAAAATCCCATCTACCCTATCTTTTTATCCTTCCTTTCCCATCAACCTATGGCAAACCAGTTAAGATTCTTAATCCTCCCTCAAAATGAGTTTTAGGGTTTGGTTGTTTGAAATTTAGTCATCATGTTTGAAAGGGTCCTTGCAGCTATGATTACATGTTGGATTGTCCTCTCATGTGTTTTCACCTAATGTATAGTCCGTACAATCTATACGAACGAGAAGACGATCCAGTGACATCAACACACTTTGTTTCCTCCGATATTTTGGTGAATTATATAATTTGAGGAAAACCGAATGCCTATAAGAGGTGAAATGCCCTCCTTTCCATCCTAATTATCTTGTGTATTAAACTAACACTCGCAAAACAAACCGAGTGTGGATCAGAAACTAAGACAAACCACCACGAGTTTCTTTCATTTTCCCCAACTCCATGGTGCGACATCAAACCATTAGTTTGGCCAGATTGATACGCGAATTTCTTGTGTTTTTATAATTAGATGCTACTATGAAACATGAATTTGGAGTCAGAATTTCCGAAACACGGAGTCCAGTTCAACTAATCACCAAGCACTTGGTAAACCTAATCCTTGAGCAGTTTTCCAAATTTCATAAAGGACAGAAAATGAGACCAATTATACAAAGCTAAGCTGTCTGCATACCTCTTTGTCGACCCAAATTGCTTTCAACATTCTCCTTAGCTATTCTCCTAAATTCAGAGGTTATCCATTATCCATATACTTTGGTACTTAAATCTAATCTACTTGTGTGACTGACAACTAAGACTATGAGCCCTTTAATCAATCCATGAGGTCAGCCTCTTTCCTTGGTTGAATCTGTCACATACATATTGAATAATATATGAGTTTCAGACAACTGGATTCCGGCTAACTGTATATTAATACCAGGCATTTATAGCACACCATAATGTGAGAGGAAGCAACTAAGAAGCAAAAGAAGAATCAACAGCTACAAAGACTGCTCATCATAGAACCTTATGCAGCCAGACCAGGACTCTACAATGGAGAAAACAAATGGATATGGGATGAAACAGACACAACACACAACCATATAAGGCATCATAACTATATCCAGAAGAGCAATGTTGGCTGCCACATGGAAGAGAAATCTAGTGTCAACAATTGCAGGCTAAGACTTGCCATGTGGTCCAAAGCTGCATACGACCACCAACAAAATTCTCCAGATTGATATAAAAACTAGTTAAAAGGTGCACCACTGGTATCAAATATCATTTTCGCTCTCCTAGCTCCAGCACTGTGGCTCCATCTCAGAAACAGACTTGCAGGCCTCCATGTTCTGAGGCTGAGAAGGCCGATCTGCAAATACAACAAAAGATTTTAAAGCTTTGATATGTTTCTGTCTCCTTTCTTTTGTTTTTCCTCACTGGTGTGCCCACAAATATATGCTCAATGCCTGCATCATTATCTCTGGATATATTGCTTTTCTGCAATAGATTCACACCATTGCTTAACCATGCTGTTATCCATAAGAAGACTCGTCTAAGTTTTAAGGGGTTCACCATCCGAGGGGCAAAACATTAACATGCCATTTCCAATCATGTACTGCAAGGACAATAAGTATATTGACAGAGTTGTAACCCCAGGTACTCGAGAGATGCATGTACTCCTAGTACCGCGACAACGACGTCAATAATCTGTTCACATTGCTTATACAGCTAAGAGTACGATTAACAGTGTCAAAAGAAACAATTACCCTGATGGTCCTTGTCTGGAAGAAAGGCTCTTCCTTTCCCACGTTATGTGAATCAGATGGACTGCGGGAATAGACAACGAATGAATGTAGCAGGGGCGACTGGAAAGGCCCACCATTACTCACAGGAATGAGTTGTGCTGCTGAGTCCAGAGGAGGCTGAGGTATTTGTTTCCTTGTAGTTGGAAAGAGACCCTCCTGCCATTTTTTACCCTTGGGCACATGAAGGCCATGTTACCTTTGCCTGCAAACCCTACTGTAAGGACAACTTTGTAAGAATCATGTAATATCAGTTTCAACTACCTTCAAATAGCAAAAAATTTCTCAACTACCCATATTTTCCTATTTCCAACCTGTAACTGGCTTCCAGTTTCAAAATGAGAGGAGCTCTGTTGAGATATTTTTCTTTAGATTTCTCTTTCATTCCTTCATTGCAGTTGTCCTGCCCAGTGCCCACTTAGTTCATACTAGACATTGAGGTCCCATAATCATTGCACTGAGAGATGAAGCGAAGAGATCATCAATGCATGACCTTGCTGTACTGTCATTTCTCCTTCCACCCCTTATCTCCTTTCCAAAAAACCAGAACCTTATAGAGTTATAGTGTGCCAGTAAATTAACATAAGCTGTGACCAAGAAATTCTTCCTACAATCCACTCACTGTGAGGGTGATGACATGACAATGTAAAGAGAGAAAAGGTAAACCGCTAACTCACATGGGAGGTAAGGATGCTAGTCAGAAGAAACACTAGAAAGGGGTTCAAGGCTGCAAATTGCCAGTTAAGAACACCGCTCTATCAATCATGTCATTAGTCTTCTAAGGTGGGTTTCAATTATTATGCCATGAGAAACAATTAAAGATGATGTCAATCGAACAACATCGATAATGAGATTAGGACATCCACAAGAAAATGCCTGGAGCAAGAAAGAGAGCGGTTTAGGTAGCTTCATAAAGGAGGAATCAACATAGATGTATAGAGATATACATGAAGAAGGGCCCTTTTGTATATAATACTAACAAATACAACAGAGAATCAAAGATTGGTTGTTATAGTATACCTGGTTTGAGCCAAAGGAGGGGACAAGGGTGACAACGGTGTTGAAATGACCATGACAATGCCTTCAGGACCCATTCCAAAGCGTCACAAGTACTAGTTATGAGTACTCCAGAAGGGCCCTAATGTATAATTACATTAGTGGTGATGTAGCTCCCTTAGGACCACCTCGACATAAGCACATGAAGCAGGTTAAAAGGTTTAAAACACATATCTGTGCAAAGCTGACAATACTTAACCGCTGCACAACAATAATATTGAGGGGGAAATGTGCCTTATGCCACCTCTTCGGACTACAATTTTTCTAGCATGAGCATGAACCAGATGCTCCAAAAATTGCAGAGGGGGTAATCTTTTTCCTCATCATCTGTATCTCTGATATTACTAGGAACTCTTGGCAGTTTGGTTTTGTAAGGTTAAACTCTTGTAAAGCAACAAGTCTGTCCTTCAAAAGGCCTGAGGATATTTGTAAACTGGAACAAGAATATTAACTAAAATCAATATGTAGCCTCATCCTTGATCGATATATCAATTCATTGTGTCAAGTCCGAGGTTACACATCAAAGTCAAGGATCCATGTGCCGAAACACGACTCCAGAAACTCAACTAAGCAGTTACTGGAGCTGCAGCGAATTCAATATGTTCTATTAATGATGAAATGTGGGAAACATAATTATTAGCACTTTTCGGTTATTTCGTATTAGTGTCGGTTTTGATTGATTGGGGGATTATTTGGGTAATTGGGGGAATAAACAGGTAGTTAATTGTTATGTTTTATTATTCGGGTAGCAGATAGGAATTAGACAGGTTATATATTCTGTAATAGGGTCTTATTTTGGGAGGAAGCAATTACAGAACCTAAAACCTAAAACCCTCTCTCTCTCCTCTCTCTCCTGCGGATTCACTCTTCCTCTTTTCCCCTCAAAAGCTGCGGCAGCAGCAGCCCCAAATTCTTCCCTCTTCTTGTTCTAAATCCCTAATTCTAATCCCTAGTTAGATCAATCCCTAATTGATCTAGCTAACTTTCCCAATTCCCAACCTGTAGGAAATCTTGTTTCCTACATCTGGTATCAGAGCCTGGCTCGAGAGTGAGTTCATCTGAACTCTTGAACCAGGGAAAGCAACATGGTGACAACGAAATCGATGAAGGCGGCGGAGGAGAAGGCTCAGGCAGCCGAGAAGAGCACCGGGACGGGCGGCGTTGATCGCGACGAGGTGGTGATGGAGGACCTCACTGAGCTGGAGGCGGTGAAGGAGGTGGTGCACGAGCACTCTGATGCGCTGGCCAGGCTCGAAGAAGGCCTGGCAAGAGTGCAGGCTGATGCGAAGAAGGATGCTGACGATCTGCGTCAGAGGCTGGAGGACCTGATGAGGGCAATTACCTCGCTGCAGGCCAGGGGGAGCGGACCAGAGAGGGCGCCGAACCCGGAGGAGCTGGTGAACGAGGGAGGCGGCGGACCTGGCGCGGCGGAAGAGTCGGCGGGCGGTGGGAGCACCGCGGCAGCGGCGCTAGAGGCGCCGGCGGGGGCGAAGGCCGCGGCGGCCGGGGCCGGGGGCGGAGCCGGCGGCGGGTCGGGTGCGGCGAGGGCGGCGGCGGCTCAGGTGGTCGCGCCGAGTGAAGGGGCCGCGGGGAGCAGGGCGGCGAACACCAGGCCGGCCAGGGCTGATCGGACTCCACTAGGGCTGGGCTCGGGTCTGTTACCGACACCCACGGCCCAAGAAATTGCGGCCCGAAAGGGAAAGGCTAAGATGGTTGGGTATGACGCAAATGGGCCTCCTATGAATGGTGGGCCGGGACAGATGGGCCAGTATACGAGGGTCCATAACGGGCTGGGATGGCTGGACCAGGAATATGGGCTCGAGTATGACCAACTAAGCTTGGCGGGCCAGCAGGCCCGGTGGGCTGAACAGGAGATGAACCAGAAGGGAGATGGTGGGCCAAGCAGGGCCGCCGACCAGGTGGGCCCAGGTGGGGCGGCTCCTTTTGGGCCGGGTCAGGCGGACGGGCCAGGAGGGGGCCGGACCGAACCGGAGCGGACCGGTATTGGTCGGATCAGCGTTGACCGGACCGAGTTGAGCCGAACCGGACCCGGACGGACCGGGATGGGTCGACCCGAGGTAGGTCGAACCGGACATCGACCGAGTCCAACTGCCCAACCGAACCGGAGGGCGGACAGCAGGGTACCAGGAGGAGGAGAGGGCCATTATGAGGCGCCTCATGTCCCAGGGGAATACCCGAATCAGCCGGGTTGCTATCCGGGTGACTATGGACCTGGGAATCCTAACCAGATGCAGTGCTCTCAGTGGGGGCAGCCATGGAGAACGCCAGGAAATGACAGGTATGGGTCCCAGTATCCCAACTATGAGGGAACGGATGGGATAGTTTTTCGAGCTAAGCCTCCTACCATTGAGTTTCCAAAATTCAATGGGCAGGAGGATGCAGGTCTTTGGTTGTATGCAGTTGAGAGGTGGTTTAAGAATCACCCAATTCCGGAGGAGAGGAAAGCCTACCTGGCATCGTTCTATCTGGAGGGCGATGCGCTCCAATGGTGGGAGTGGATGGAGCGATCCTATGCAGCAGCAGCAACCTTGATCACCTGGCCCATGTTTCAGGAGGAGCTCCGGTATCAGTTTGGGAAGTCAGATGGGTGGGCTCCTGAGCAGTTGGCAAAGCTGAAGCAGACCGGCACGGTGGCGGAGTACCGCGCGGAGTTCTTCAAGTTGGGGAACCAGTGCAAGGGAGTCTCGGAGGACACCTTGGTGGGGCTATGCATGGCGGGTCTCAAACCCGAGATAGCAGCGGCAGTCAGGGTGTTTGAGCCCGATTCTGTGAAAACTGCTTTTCGTCTTGCAGGTCATAAGGAGGAAGAACTGGCTAGCTGGAGAAGCACCATTGGCCGCTTCTCAAAGCCAAGTGGAGGAGGAGGAAGCAGCAGTGCTAGTGGCGGCACAGGTGGGGCACCCGCGGGCTCGACTGGGGCCAATGCGGGCGGTGGAGGACCAGCTCCGGTGGCCAGGATGGGGCAGCGGGCCATACCGAAGGGATTCGTGCGACTGACGCCGGCAGAGATTGAGCAAAAGAGGCGGGAGGGCAAATGCTTCAACTGTGATGGTCGGTTCACCATTGGCCATCAGTGCCCGAAGCCGGATTTGATGATGCTGGTTGGGCGCTGGGAAGATGAAGCAGAAGAAGAAGCTGAGGATGATGGAAATGGAGAGGAAGATGCCTAGTGAGCTGGAGGAACAACCTTGGGGACAAGGTTGTTTTTCGAAGGAAGAGGGGATGTGGGAAACATAATTATTAGCACTTTTCGGTTATTTCGTATTAGTGTCGGTTTTGATTGATTGGGGGATTATTTGGGTAATTGGGGGAATAAACAGGTAGTTAATTGTTATGTTTTATTATTCGGGTAGCAGATAGGAATTAGACAGGTTATATATTCTGTAATAGGGTCTTATTTTGGGAGGAAGCAATTACAGAACCTAAAACCTAAAACCCTCTCTCTCTCCTCTCTCTCCTGCGGATTCACTCTTCCTCTTTTCCCCTCAAAAGCTGCGGCAGCAGCAGCCCCAAATTCTTCCCTCTTCTTGTTCTAAATCCCTAATTCTAATCCCTAGTTAGATCAATCCCTAATTGATCTAGCTAACTTTCCCAATTCCCAACCTGTAGGAAATCTTGTTTCCTACATGAAATGATACATTGCACACTGCTGCTCTTTCTTAATGTACAGAATGACATTTATAATTATCCAGGTACAGGATCAGAGGTGAGATGGCAAAAACTTGAGGACAAAATAGGTAACAGGTGAAATGACAAAGCTTGATAATATATTAGCTTACTGGTCCAACTATTCTGCTACAAATCTGAGAAATCTCTAACTCTTTGCTTGAGTACTAATGGACATGAACTTATAGGATTTGAGATTTCTGCGCACATATGGTAAATTACTGGTCGGAAGAGGGTTTCAACTGTTGCTGTTGTCCTTCAATCACGGTTATCTGTCGTCTGAGTTTTGCAATATGAGTTTGCACCTACAACATTGGACCTGTAACTGTCAATACATGCAACTGATGCACTTCCTGGAGTAAAATGATTTCTTGCAGTTTATGATGCAGTTCAAAACTAGAACAGATGAAGGCAACATAATGAACAGAACAGTAGCATATCTGCATGGAGCTCGTGGATCAATATGATTCCAACTTTGAATGCAGAAATTTGTTACTAAGCTTCAAAACTGATCAACCGGCAAAGGAGAGGAGGTTCATCCAAACATGTGAAGGAATTCAGGCATCAATAGTAAAATGTTGTGTAACCAGAATTGCAACATTTCAGATCAATGTTTTAACATGACGCTGCTCTGCTATCATGCAGGTGTGAAATGTGCTATGCTCGTAGGCAAAATGACCTTGATAGTGGTAACGTGAAAATGAAAGGTATACAGATAGATCCCTAGACAAGTGGTTAAGATGGACAAGATAATGAGAATTTGACAAGGGCATTGTTAACAGATGCAAGAAATTCTGTGGAAGGATGCAACAGTAACTTGGATATGCTATCATGGTAATGATTGTCCACACAAGGGAACAATTGAGAATGAAGCTGAATGATAAAAATCTGACCTGCTGGCGAGCTGCAGCAAGTTGTAACAACTCATCTGCTTCAGAAAAATTGGTGAACCATTGGGTTAGCGGATGGTCCTTAGTGTCAACTCTCTTCCTTTCACTTGGGTCTTCAGCTTCCACCACAAACACATAAAACTGAAGTAATTGAACAAAAAAGTGTTGGACTGAAGATGCAGTAACTTGGCCAAAAGACATACCAGGAGTAGGTAAAGTAAAACCAACAGGCAATCTAGGCACGCTCACAGCAGGATGATTCTGCACCCGAGCTAAAAAGCTCTCTGAAGGCTCAGGGAAAACAAGCTCATCATAGGATTCTACTACGACTGGCTTCTTGATTGACAAGGAAGTAGACTCATCTTCTGGGTACAACTTCAATTGATGATATCTGCAAATAAGTCTAACCCCTCAGAAAACCCAGACTCTCAGCTATGTTAAGCTCAATTTGGAACATAATAGAAGTGCAAGGTATACCACCACAAAACCAAGTTGGTTTAAGTAATAACTGAAGTCTGAAGGCACAATTTAACACTAGCAAATAATAAATATTCAGTAAACACTGTGGAGGACTTCTCGATCTATAACTTGCTTCATGTGTTCTAGTAATTAAGAAAGTACATGCTACAGGCTTCTCCACAGAAAGAGACAGCAATTGGCAGATAAATCAAATAACAACAAATAGACCAGATTCAAAATGTGTTCTATAACTCAGATATCCAAAGAACAGAAAAGCAACAGGAATTGGACAAAGGATCTCACAAGCTTAAAGGCTTCTCGCAAACATCACTGTGGAAGTGAAGCGTTATAGCAATCTCAAATTCACCCCATCCTTGCTCCGATAACTCAAAAGGCGGTGATTCAACAACTCTTGTTGGATTGTTGAAGCTAGAGTGAAGCTGGAAAACAACCTTCTTTATCACCCCACTGGTATCCTCATTAGTAGCCCCTCGCACATATACTGTCCACTTGTGAGATTGATACCTGATTCAGAATTCATAGAAGAATGAAGTTTTCCAATACGTGAAAACAGAACGGGAAACTAAGCAGCTAATTTGAGCGTGGCTCGAGAAAAAGTACTCACTCATTTGCTTTTTTACCAAGCCAGAATGCGATATTGCCATAAACAATTGGAACACTGATCTCCACATCTTTCAACTTCTTGCCTACAATCTACAAGTAGAGGAAACAAAACTAAGAAAATCTGGGAGCAAAGCATTATCATTTCTGCCTATTTATAAATGTGTCACTGTAAATACCGATTGACATACAAATTACTTTCGAGCTCCATTCAAATGGGATGCCAGTAGTAAAACCCACATGACAATTTACTCGTGCTTCTGAAGAAGCGGGCGAGTTTCAGCATCAATTCGAAGAGGAAGAACAAACAGGGGGGAAAAAGTTACCTTCTTTTCTGCGTCTTCAGGCTTGCTAAGCTTGGTTTTCAGTGATTTGAGTACAGGTCCACTGGTTTCAGGCTGATCTTGCTCGTTCCTTTTGGGCGACGAACTATTTGTCATGGCGATTCCTCCGCTAGGGATTCCCGGGGAGAAATTAGGGTTTTGCTCCGTTCAAGCTAACGGGAATCTTTCAGGTTTGGGGTTTAGAAATTTTAAGAATTAGGTCAGGAGTTGAATAGAGGAAATAAACATTTATCGAATAATTCGTCCAAAAACAGAGGAAACGGCGGCGTTTTGATCTTTTGGTCTTTCGACTTGCTTCAGTCACGGGAGGCGGAGAGGGAAAGAAAAGATTTTGCTGTCTCGCCGAGCCAAAGGGCCAACTACCACCACTGACCGGCGATCCACCGCCTCCTTCACCGTCGTTGACCATTCCGGCCACCTATCCATAGAAAGAACATAACTGCGAGAAATTGAAATTCTGAAGGGAAACAGAGACGAATCGGTTTCAAGGTTCATCTGCTTTCGAAGCTTATTTATTCGGTAAGAAAATTTCCCTCCTTCTCTCTTTCCTTTACCATGATTGCTTCGTGATAGAATGGGAAATTGGTATAGCGCCCGGATGATATTCGTTTCTGATTTTGATGCTTTTATTTTGCAATTCGAATCGTTGTGATAGAATCGGAATTGGGGATTTTGGTTGCTGCGGGAAACTGGAGAAATGGCTGTAAGACAAAGAGCAGTGACCGCTTTACCCAAGCTGATACAAAGTCTGCGGAAGGAATGCCCTAGGCCTTCACCGCTAATCTCAGCGCCAAATCCAGCTACGGCGCTGCCGTCTCTCAGGCGGGCATTCTCTCTTTATGATCAGATCAATCTCATTGACAATGTCCCAGAAGACCAGCTGCGGTTCCAGCGGTAAATAATGTAGCTAAGAATTCACATTTTCTTCCTTTTACTTAGTAGAATCATCTCTTTCACTGACATACCGTCGTTTTTTCCAGTTATACGGACACTGGGTTTACGGTGAATGGGGTTCATTATGAAGGTAGCTTGCTTTGCATTGGCAACTTGCTCATGTCATGGGCGCCCAAATCATTATCCCAAATTACACCAGAGAGGTTATTTCCAGAATCTCTTAATCTATCCATTTCCTGATCAGCAGTGTAGTTTTGCTAGGCGTTTATCTGTATTTGACATCTTCATCCAGATATTAGATCATTCAATATTGGATTGTTTTGGTATATGTAGCTCAAGGTGGCACATAGGAATGTTCTTTTTGTGCTTTTAATTGCTTAGTTGATCTATTGTTTAGTTTGTTATATCTGAAAATTGGATCTGTCCTGTGCTTGTAAACTGCAGTTTATCCATCTTCAAGATTTTACGCCCTGTACCAGGTTAGATCTTATTTGAAACTCCAGCAGGTTCCGAGTTTATGTCCTTCCATTTACTGCATTCTAACACTCAATAGTTTCTTCCATGGGCCAGTTTTAATTGGTTTTGTGCGTTTTGCTTGCAGTACTCCTAAATCACCTCTAGCTAGCTTCTTATTATGTGATTAGTTGTGTTGAGTGCAGTTGCTTCATACATACTTTGAATTTCAACTCCACTTTGCAATGCATAGATGTGTGTCGTGTATTACTTTTTATGTTAGTTATGCACCTGATAAAGAATTGCCAGTAGTGTGGATATTTGCGGCAAGTTTTCACCAAAACCGTGGTACCACTCTTTCTGGTATTGTAAGATGAACCATTGTAGAATGCATGCTAGTTTAGATCATCTGGGCTAGTTTCATTCCACGAAGTATACTTTTCCCTTGGTCCCTCTCGCCCCAAGTCATGCACTTTCCTGTGCTAGTGCTGGCAATTCAAGTGCCCTATGTTCTAAATTCTATCCCAGGGGATGAATTCATGCACACATAGGATAATAAGCTTTTATCTTCTCCTTACTACATGGGTTTGGATAAACGTTGGATTGTCACCTTACTAAATGGAAATTGACAAGCATACCTTGGGATATCATCTTTGTTCATGTGAAAACTTGCAACAACCCAGAAGTCATTCACACTTATTTTAGATGGCCGAATGCATGCACCTACGATGGCATTTCTTATGTATGCTATTGTTTCTTCATTCCTTTAATTATCATGATGGGCTTGTTTCAGAGATCTTGATTCTTGGGTGTGGAAAATACATTCAGCCGGTGGATCCTGAACTCAGGCGCTTCATCCGGTCCACAGGCATGAAGCTGGAAGCTGTTGATTCGGTACTGCTCTTTGTATCTACGTTGATATTGCTATATTGCCTTAATTTTAACAAGGGAAGATGATAGAGCTTCGCTTAAGCAACATGTATTATCTCCTTAAATCAGTCAAATCACAGGTGGCTTAACAAATTGAATGCTTTCATAGCTTTACTAAGTGACTCTAAAATGCCATGCTCTGAGACATTTCAGTTTGTTCCGGTTCTGCAACCTTTCTTTCTTATGCAATGCTTTACTCTCTTGATGCAGAGGAATGCCTCTTCTACTTATAACATACTGAACGAGGAAGGAAGAATGGTGGCTCTTGCAGTTCTCCCGTACGGAGTTTCTTCGTGATGCCATGGCGAGCTCCAGGCCTCGTGTTCTGGTGCCTCTTTGTTATTGGTCTTCTTGACCACTTGATCAAAGGTCAAATTTTCAATTCATAAGCTTGTACATTGGGCGAATCCAGGACAGTTGTTATTGAATGATTTTAAAGGAAAAATGGTGGCTATTATGGCCAGCTATGGATGTGTGATTTGATTGTAGAAGGTTTCTCGCTCACTCTTTGTAAGGTCTTCTCTAATAAACTAACAGGGGAACGTTCTTGAAGCCGTGATCTTGTGAAAGAAAGAATAGTAATGGGATCGAGCATCGATTTTGTCATCTTAGGAGGCGGTGGTGATTGTATTCCTTTTGAAGCAAGTTAACTTCGTTTTTGGAACTAGAACAGGAAAAGGAGGGATATACCAATTTCGGAGGTTTTTCTTGTACATCAAGCAAGTGACTTAGCAACTTAGCTTGCTTATATGGCTCAATAAATTTACGAAATAGGTATATATTTCCATGATAATGAATGTATTATACCTTCACCTTGGTTTGATGGATGAATTTACCAATTACATATATCTCTTATAATCAATATTACAACATAAAGATCTTATAGGTGTTAGTATTAAACCAAAAGAAATAGAGGAAAGCGTGGATGACGATTGATGAGCTCGAGTGGAGAGCTATAGCATTTTAGCATTACTGGTTGATTTATAAAATTACCGAGCTGACTTCGAGTGAAGAGATATAGCATGCTAGCCTTGCTAGTTGACGATACATAGAATTTCAAGGCTAGTTCAGATTATTGAAACTTTATGGTTAGTGATGTTTGTAAATGATTATGAACTAATATATATAATTATAAGTTCCATGGAATTTTCCCCCGTCCATATGGGTTATAGTAAAAATATGCAATTAGATTCCATAAAAAAAAATGCAACTCGAAATATCCAAAATGGATTGATGTGGCAACTCTGAAAAATAGTATAGAAGTACCAAGACACAACCGAAGCATACTTCAGTGACCGAAATTGCACTTTACCCTCATATTTTCCAGGCTTTAAAGCGTTCAGTACCCAGGTTCTTCGGCAACCAGTCGATACACAGAGCAAACCCTAATAGATATCCCGATTCGATCTTCCTCTTCGCTGTGCTCGACAACAACTGCAAGAAGGGGAAAAAGAGAGGTACGCGGATTCTACGTTTTCCATCGATTGATAAGTTCTTATCCCCTGATTTCGTTTTTTTTTTTTGTTAACATACTGGTAGGCATCTGTTCGCCAAATGTTCAGTCTAATCTAAAAACTCATACTAGGGTTTTATCCTCTTCTCCGTGCTCTGATTCCCAGTTCGGTTCCTGCATCAATTTGTATCGGCTAATTTTTCTGTTGGTTGGCAATTGCTCGTATGCCGTAGGCGATTTCGCCCTCACCGTTAACAGCCCAGATTGTGATTGTGATTTGTGACAATGGTGATAGTTAGCTAATTTGAAAACGTTGCTGTGAATCCAGGCCTTAAACTTCGATTTCCGTTCGCTTTTCAGCATTATGCCTCCTTGAACTCATTTTGTTTTTATTGCCGTATAGGTAGATTATTGTGTCTGCCTTTTGTTGGTTCACTTCTCTTCATTTCTGGTGCTTGCTAGGCTCCTGGTTGGTTAAAAGATTTACTAATCGTATGGCTTCTTTGAACCAATTTTCAGTGACCATGGCGGACGAGGAACACAATGAGCTGAAGGAGGAGGTTCCAGAAGTAAGTTCCTCTTTATTATCCTTGTGGTAAAATAGTAGGAGAATGATGATTGTTCGATAGAGTCTCTTCTTTCTGAAACAAGTAGAAGCATTCTGTGATTGAAACAATGATATTTTTGTTAACTGGTTTAGTTTACTGCATCTGTCTGAAATTGTCTTTTCTGATGAAATAATAGTGGTGTTCTTTTTCTTCTTTGTCCAAAACTTGCATGTGCTTAATATATAGGCCCTGAAACTTTTGTTCTGATTCATCGTCAGATTGCGTGCTCTAAATTCTACCTTGAAATTCTGAATGGAGGGATGTGAAGGTTTTTAATGTTGACAATTTATTGTGTATATATTAGGCTATGAGGTTGGCAAGTATCTCATGTTGGAGATGTGTTGAGTGTAATAATATTTAGATGTTGCTTTACTGCAGCTTGCTCCTTTTGATCCAACCAAGAAGAAGAAGAAGAAGAAGGTTGTTATTCAAGATGGCGGTGATGATTCTCTGGACAAGCTGGCTGAAAAAACTGAATCTCTGTCAGGTTTGGAACTTTTCTTCTGCTAGTTATGTTCTGCAGTATAATTTACTTACTGAGAGTATTTTGACTTTGTAAATTTTGTTTTATATTTTTAATTGATGTTTTCCCCCAATTGTTGCAGTGACTGATGGGATTGAAAGTTCATTTTCCGGTTTGAAAAAGAAAAAGAAGAAACCTGTAAGTTTCTTTTGATAGACAGTGGTGTTGCATGAAAGTTTGGCCATTATTAGTGAATTAAATACGTATTTTTAGTGTGTTCTGATCATTGATGCCTATATCTGACAATAGGTTGAACCTAGGCCTTTGAGTGAGGAAATTGGGGAGGGAGGAGATGACCTTGATGGTGAGAAGCTGTTTTCTTAGCTGTCGTTATGCTTGTCAGTATTGTCATGTTAGTGCAATTTTTTAAAATATTTTTTTATCTCATATAGATCATGGGCCAGAAGATGATGAAGCTGAAGAATCTGCCCTGCAGCAGGAGCTTTATCCTTGGCAAAAAAGTGATCGTGATTACGAGTATGAAGAGGTATATCAAATAGTTCAAAATAATGAAATTGATTTAATGTCTGCTTGATGGAGATTTGATGTATCTTCACTTTGTCTGTGTTTTTGGCAGCTTCTCGGCAGGGTTTTCAATATTCTCCGTGAGAACAACCCAGAGCTTTCAGGAGATAGGCGGAGGACTGTGATGAGGCCTCCTCAGGTTCTTCGTGAAGGGACAAAGAAAACAGTGTTTGCGAATTTCATGGACCTTTGCAAAAGGTAAGTAACGTACAATCCTCTCATCGTGTAGTTTGCATTGCTCTCTGGTGCAGAATCCCACTCTAGTCCCATTTGCAATCAAAGCAAGTGGCTAATGGCCACTGGCTGTGTTTCTGAGAAACTTGCCTTGCTGATCTACCAAATGTCCAACATCTTGTTTGCTCTTGCCCTTGTTAAATGTCAAGTCTTTATATCACGTGAAATGAGATGATCTTTCCATCCTCGTTCATGTATCTCTTCACTGGCTTTCCTATGTTCATGAATATCGTTTCCCTTGTTATTTGTAGTATGCATCGACAACCAGATCATGTCATGGCTTTCTTGCTTGCGGAGTTGGGTACAAGTGGATCTCTCGATGGCCAGCAAAGGTTGGTTGTGAAGGGAAGGTTCGCTCCCAAAAATTTTGAAGGGATCCTGCGGCGATATATTAGTAAGCATATCTCTTGTTTCTGTTTGTTTACCAGAATGTCATATTATCCTTGTCTTATGTCTTGGAAATTAATTTGTCTGGAAACTAATAATGTACTCGTGTTCAGATGAGTATGTGATTTGCATTGGTTGCAAAAGTCCAGACACAATACTTTCCAAGGAAAATCGTCTATTCTTCCTCAGATGTGAGAAGGTAATACTTCATCCTGTCCTTTTCTCTCTTTTTGTTTTTGGTTTTTTTGGATCTTGAATCTGTGCATCAAAGAGTAAGATGTATTGATTATACAGTACTTTATTAATTAGTTTTTGAAAATATAAACAAGTTGGGGATGTTCTCATTTGTTTGCAATTCCATAATGCAGAAGCTTGCCTTGTTCAGTTGTTTGTGTGTTCTACTGGCTATTTTTAAAAAATAACCTGCAGATTTTCTGAAATTGTACATGTAATGCTGTGGTTTTGGGTTGTATGATAAAGTACAAAACCGTGCAAATTGTGTTAATATTTTGCCCCATAAGATCAGCGTCCATCATGCCAACTGAACTGGGCCGTGGGGCATGTCTTGTCCTTTTAGCAGTTTGAGAATGCTGTTTGTGCTTATTGCTTCTGTTTCACATAGATTACGAACTGCATATTTCTATCTCGCTAGTAAAGATGAGAGGTTGTACATCCATCTATGATCTATGACTCGTCGGGGTTGGCAAACCGCAGCAAACTGCTGAAGCGATTTGGCTCAACTGCAGTCTGGTGTTCGGTGCAGTTAACTCATGTAGGGTTGCCTACCCTTGGTAGACTTTTTTGCTCTTCTAAGTTGCTGTATAGTATATGCCGAGGCCAAGGATGATACAATCAGCGCACACTGTGTTGCTTGACTTGCGTATGATATATATCAATTGGGTAATTCTGAGGCCTCTGCCTAGTTGTTTCCATATTATTGCCTAACAAGGTTTGGTTTCTGTTATCTGCTGTTGCCTAAGAGTTTGTTTGATTGATTGGCTGTTCACTGTGAGCTCAATTATGTCTTTCTTGCTCTGTAATTTTCTTAAACCTTTTACTGAGGTTCTGATTTTGGTTGGTGGTGGCAGTGTGGATCTGGAAGGTCTGTTGCTCCAATCAAGGCTGGTTTCGTCGCTCGTGTGGGCCGCCGAAATGCTGGAACATGATGAGTCAGGCTGTAATTGCTTTTGTTTCAAGGAAGAGGGAGGTGCCTGTGGAATTGGGAAGTTTTTTAAATGTTTAAGAGTATCGGACGGCTTCTAGTGTTGAGACTCTTTCAGAAATATGATAATGAGCAGCGGTGGCATTGACTCGAGTGTACAATTTTGTTTGCATTGTTAATGAATGGAGAAAGGTTTTAGGAATTGTTGGACATTCTATGTTATGACTTATGCGTCTTTGGTTTACTATTGATGCTTTATGTGAATCTGTGTGGATAGATTCACTTGTTTTATTTTTAAGTCAGAGAGCCAGAGTAGGAATTAACTAGTTATTCGATCGTCAAACACTCGAGGTCTTGCTTGTGAATGAGGCAAACCTGGTTTGATATCTTTTCCCATAACACACTTGGTTAATTCTCTCCTAGTTAAGAATCTATCACATAATTTCTGAATGTTAAAATGGTCCATGCCGTCGAGATATTTCATGCACAATTGAATTATATCGTAAGAAAATCCAAATCAAGACTCAATCTTCTACCATATACTTCTTACAAGAGTAAATTAGAGAGGACATCCACGACCAGATTACACGCTACGAGGAAGATTCGTCTACATTAATCCTTGTTGAAAAGAGTGTGGTCATCCCACCAACCTTAAGGGCAATGTTGCAACGAAAGGGGAAGGATTGTTACGATACAAGCCATTCATAATATTCTAGGTATATTCTGGGCTCGTATGTTTTTAGTAGTCCTATTAATTAATTAATTATTATTTAGTTATTATTCAGAATACTATTATTGTTTACTAGTCTTAGTAGGATTCGCCGTATTTTTTGGTATTTGTTTAGTTTTTATCTCCGGTGTCCTTGTGAGAGAAGTTTCATGTGTTGGGTATGAGAAATGAGAGGTTTCTATATCTATATATATATATATATATATTTTATCTTTCGTTTAATAATATAAGAACACCGAAACACAAATATTCAACTTTTTTTTTTTTTTTTTCATTCGTTATTTCCTTTGAGAGTTCTTGTTTTAGTCTTTCTATTTGCATACGAGTCCTAAAAAACGTCATCCCTACATCACATCACCGTAGCACCGCCTCCATGAATACAATACAACCCATTCCGGCATTTCCCCCCGTTTGTTGTTTCACGCTTGTCTTGGAATCTTCGTTGAAAACGAAGGCGGCAATAAAACAAGGTTGCGCCCCCGTGACCTGGCGGCCGGTTGCCGAACAGAGCATCCCTCGCCTGTCTTTCATTTACTGCAATCCAAACCCTCTTTCCCCTTCCGATTGCGAGGGATTCGGAATTTTAGCCGTTTGGATATCCACTCTATGGTAAAAGACAACCGTGCATCGGAGTTTTTCTCCCTCGATCAACGAACTGGCTTGCCTATAAATACAGCTAAAACTTCCATGGAAGGCTTAGAGCTCACACCTATGGCAGCCACCCGAAGCAACAAATCTCCCCTGCAGCAGCAGCAGCAGCATGACTTCCTGCGCCGCATTGGCGCCCAGGAGCTCTTTTCCCCTCCGGTAAGCTGCGCCTGTATCATCAAACTATTAGAGTATGGGGTAGTACGAGTATTGTTATGTAATTGGTTGGAGTTATATTTCTTACCAAAGTCATCATCGTAGAAGTGAGGTAATTTTCATATCAGTGTTTGGGTTATTACAGAGGTAAGTCTCGGTACTCTATATAATTTAAGTAACAAGACACAACAATTTCCACCGAATTCTGATATTTCTCAACATGGTATCAGAGTCACTTGATTCGCGAATGATGAATCGCTGAGTAAGTGGTTAACTATTATACATAATGAATTTTCGCCCGACAAGGTAAATTATAAATTTCCATATCCATTCTCTTACATGTTCCTAAAAACGAAACAGCTCACGGACTTTAGTGCTGAGAGTAATTATGTGTAGTATCAATGGTGGAGCCACGATTAGCCCAGATTGGCTATAGACCCCACTAAACTTTCGAAAATAGATAAATTTACATGAAAAAAAGTATAACACATTTTAAAAATAGACTAGTTGATATGCCACTAGCTCTGCTACTGGTAAAGATTGAAGCTCACAACACAACAAGAGCTTATATCAGAGCTTTTGACCAAAATTTGTTACCTTAAACTCTGCAGATGTGGAGAGCGGCGGTGACGGAGATGGTGGCAACGGCGTGTCTAGTCTTCGGCCTCACAACCACAATCATCTCCTGCTTCGAATCGGGTCAAACCGACCCGAAGCTACTCGTCCCGGTCTTCATCTTCATCTCGGGCTTCCCCCTCCTCGTCGCCACCGTGCCGCTCACCGGCGGCCACATGAATCCGGTCTTCACCTTCGCCGCCGCACTCAAGGGCGCCGTCTCCGCCGTCCGCGCCATCTCCTACGTCGTCGCCCAGTGCCTCGGCGGCCTTATCGCCTTCGCCGTCGTCAGGGCGACGATGGACCGCGGGACTGCGGTTAAGTACCAATTGGGCGGCTGCGCAATCGACGGCGGCGGCGGAGGGGCCGGGGTCGGCGCCGGGACGGCTCTGGCGCTGGAATTTTCGTGTACCTTTATGCTGTTGTATGTGGCGATGCCGATTTTCGAGGAGCGGCGGCGGAGGGAGCTGGGGTTGCCGACGGTGTGCGCGGTGGTGGCGGTGGCTTATGGGCTGGTTGTTTATGTTTCGATGACGGTGACGGGCCGGGCTGGGTATGGTGGGGTGGGCTTGCACCCGGCGAGGTGTTGGGCTGCGGCTATGGTATTTAAGGGCTCGTTGTGGGGGGCCCATTGGGTTTTTTGGGTCGGCCCGTTTATGGCCTGTGTTATGTACCATGTGTTCAGTTTGGCTTTGCCGAGGGAGGAATTGGAGAAAGGATCAGACGAACGGGAAGAGGACCGTAATTGTGATTTGGACAAATTTGGGGGCGATGTTGCAAAGGAATTCGAAATTAGTGATTTTTAAGAAAATGTATCGGGTGATCAATAAGAAATCAGTAATTTCAAACCCAAGTCATGAAATTGTCATACGGTTCACAAATCTTTTGTTTTGTACGTTTCAGTCACATACGTTTGAGAGAATAACGAAATGGTCATTCCGTCTATCTCCATCCAGAAAACCGTTAGTTTCGTCCAGTCAGCACGCCACATCATTTAAAATATTAAGAGAAAAAAATAATGATCGAACCAATTGAACCGGACAGCCCTAACTCTATACTTACCCACCCGAAAAGCTACGTCGTTCAACTCAGCTGAACCCAACCCAAACTGGCGGCTTGCTTCGATGGGTCGTTTGGATGAGGAATTGTAACGGATCAATTTGACACAATTGTCCCGTTTTGAGACAATTGTACCAAATTGCCTCGTTTGCCAGCAAAAAATTTGGATGGATCAATCTGCCTGAGGTATTTTGAATTGATCCGTTTTGAGTCAATTTCAATTACCTGGGGTGGGGGCAGGTAATTCGAATTGACTCGTTTTAATTGCCTCGTTTATAAAACGAGACAATTGATCAAATTAACTCATTTCTAGATTGATCCATCCAAACGACCGTGAATTCATTTGCCGTCTCTGCAGGGAATTTCAGGAGAATGCTAGCTACCTCTTTCACTTCTTCAAATCAGATTGCAAACTCAAACCATGAATTGCCAATTCCTCTACCTCCACTCCCCCACTATCGTTGCTCCACCAATCCCGCATCCACTACCATCGTTCCGCCATCAAAGGTTGGTTAGAGCATGCAGATCCAATAATCAGTCAAAGCAACAAGAATCCACAAAAATTAATTCTAATAACTTGGAAATGGATTCACTGCTGCCGTCTCCCACCATTAGATTATGTTGGGAAATTTTGGGACAATGGTGTGGCGTAGCGAGAAATTTTGTTAAGGTTGGTCGAACAATGATATAGTTCGTTGTGAAACGGTTAGCATCAAATGGCAGTCGAGAAGCTCAGATGTTGAGGAACGCTATCACGTCATAGGCAACGTTTTCGAGAAACAAGATACGGTTTTTTGCCGTTAAAAAGATGGTGGATATGCTAGGAAACGACAAACGACAATTGGACAAACCGAGTAGCTAGCAGTTGACGGCTGACAATATTTTTAGATTGAGGTTGTGTCTTGTGGGAATTCCGAAATCGTGGTATGTCAATAGAAGACAATAGATAATAGGTCGGTGATAATTTGGGGAGATTGTATTAGGAATTGTTATAGATAATAAAAAACAGGTGCAGTCGTATTTCTTAATTTGATGTAAAAGATACTAATGAATAAAGAAATTAGATGTTGAAACATAAAATAAAATGGCTTGAAACTGAACAATGTTAATACGTTATAGTAAAAGAGAGGTTGACAATTCGATAACCCTTGTAAAATGATATATATTTACTTTTTGTGTTTATTTAGCTACTACTTAAAGGCAATTATTAATGATATTTATTTGTGTGTTGAGCCAAGGTGGTGCAGCCGACCCACCTTGGCCCAACGTGGCTCCGCCACTGTGTACGCATGATAGTCCGAGCCCGGGTGACTAGGATTATGATAGAGTCGTGAACAACGTTCACTTTCCGTAAATAATATTTTCACCCTCAACAAGCCTAGGGTTACATGAAATTCCTTCATAGAATAAAACTATCACCACTTTAAGTTACAGGCTCAAGAACACTAAAGCATACATAGAAGTTTGATAGAAGGAATAGAATGATTTTTGGAAGAAAGAAGAAGAATATATATGTTTGATGATGTCTTTTGTCTCCCATCCGACCACCTCTATTTATAGAGGCCAAACGGACATCGCTTCAATCCGAAGCATTGCTTTGTTCAAATGGAAACGTTGCAACCGATGGAGTATTCCATCGTTATCCATATCCACCATCATCCATGCGTGTGACATCCCAAGACAATAATTGATGAAACATTGCATTGCTTCAATCAAATTTGTCCAAAAGCATCTTATCTTATTTTATTTTACTATATATTATGGTTGTTCAAAAACAACTTCTTGCCACATAAGCACTTAGAGAATTCACAAGTTGCCAAGGTGGACAATTTTTGTACAAGCAAAATAAAAATAGTTAATGAGCTATTTATGAAGTTATCTCTCTTCTTTTAATGACGTTTTCTTTTATTCAATAATTTTTTTAATTTTCATATTATATCTATGTTTGTAGAAAAAGACTAATGTTTGTAGAGTGATATATAACATTTTGTTAAACAAAAAATATATTATTAAACTTGATCAAGTAAATTTTCTATCGTTTTTTACTGAAAGTAAATAATAAGTTATATGTTATTGAAAATTTTAAACAAACACACACATAAACAATAATATTTTCATCGATTAAACAAAATATAACGATGAAAATAGAGAAAATAACTGTTAAAAAATCAATCTACTTTAAAAAATGAACTATGTTATTTTATATTTTTGGATATTAAACACTCTCTTATTTAGAGATGGCAACCAAACCCATGGTCGCAGGTACCCAACCGTCTCCGACCCAGTCAAAACGGGGAATCTCCGCATTGATTGGGTACGGGGAAAACCCGCAAAATTTTTGATGGAGATGGGCGGATATGCTTTTGAAATCCTCATCCTCATACCCAAACCCGCCCCACTGAGGATATTATGTTATATGCAGAAAATATAACATTCACTTATGTAATTGATGGAAACCAAACCGTAATTTCATCCACTTATATAGGGGTGGGAAACGGTGCGGTTGCGGTTAACTGCACCGCAATTTGCGGTTAACTGCAACCGCAAAACACCCATATTGGCCAACCGCGACCGCGACCGCAACGGTTAGCGGTTAACCAAAAACCGCAAAACGCGGTTAGCGGTGAACCGTGGTTTATGGTTGTGAAAACCGCAACAACCGAAACACCATATGAAACCGCAGTTAGCACTCTACCCGACAATTAATCGCGAACTAACCGCAAAAAAATCATGGAAAAAAAAACATAGCAGCTACTGTTTTGTCGCAGGGGAACGCCGGACGGCCAGGGACGGCGGCGACCGGATGGCAAAGGCGCAGCGGGAAGATGAAGGGTCGAAGCTCCGAAGGGTTTTGGACTTTTGGTTTTCAGACTTCAGTTTCCGGTGGGAACTGGGAAGGGACGAAACGAAACGAATTAAGTCAATTAACGAAGGGTTTTTATTTTTGTTTCTTCAAAGTTCAAATCATAAGTCACTCAAAACGATTAAACGATGGCGTCGGCAGGGAGAAGTGGGGAGGGCCGGGTCGGGTTTGGGCTGCTGCCTGCTGGCCAGGCTGGGCTGGGGTCAATTATGGGCTGGGCTGGGGGTGAATTATGGGCTGGGTTTGGTTTCGCGGTTAGCTATGCGGTTATATGGATTTGCGGTTTCGGTTAAACCGCAAAACATGCCATATCTCCAACCACGACCGCAAAATAGGCCAAATATGCGGTTTGCGGTTAACCAATAACCGCGCGGTTTTGGTGCGGTTGTCGGTTTAACCGCAAACCGCCAACCGTTTTCCCAGCCCTACACTTATATATCAGTTCCATAATTTTGGGCAAGTAGTACCCATATTTTTTTATAGTGAGTAGCTGATGGGGCGAGTATTACCCATGACCATGGGTATCCGAAAACCGCGGGTATGGAGATGATATTGTAAAACCTTCCACTGTATGGGTATGAGTTTAGGTATTTGAAAATGGGGATGGTGATGGTTTAGGCAAACCCGCCCCATTGCCATCCCTCTCTTATTTCTAATTAATATATCTATAAAATAAAAAGTATTATATAGTAAAAGGTCTGGATAGAAACTTGATGATGTACACGTATTATATGGCACGTGAGTGTTAGAGAAATCTTTATTGACGATGTACGATAAACATTATGTTTCATCAACCACTGACCTAGCATTAATCAAACATGGTTGATAATTTTCGTTTAATAGTTGAATGTCTTCTACATTAAAGGCCTTTATAGTTAGAAGACTCTAAACCGAGCTATTAGGTTAAAAATGAAGAATCTCTATAAGCATGAGATCAACAAGGCAATTATAATAAGTCATTTGGTTGCATGGTTGTGAGTATGTGACTCCATACCAAATTTTGGCAATAAAAAAAGATTTTACCATATCAAAATGTCACAACAAAAATGTTAATTTGTAACCGTAAGCAATATGTATTTAGACCGAGTATCCTATCCACAAAATTTTGTTGCCTATTCCATTGAACGAGGTGTGTTCAAAGGTCTTAATTAGGGTTACAAAACAGAGTGAACTCTTTATATACGTTTAGATATTAACAATAGATGTGTCTATAATACATCCAAGAATTCATCCGTGTGAAATGTCACAATGTTTGTATGAGTTTTAATTTTTTTTTAAAAATCAATCTTTTCAAAAAATTATAATTTAATTCTTTAAATGATACGACGTTTTTAATGCACCTATATCTATGTGTATTGTAGTTGTTGACATGATTTATCAATTATTAAGATATATAATGCATATTTAATTTTGTTCCAGAAGTAACACAAAAAATAAGGAAAATTTGGCAAATGCACATTAAAAAGGTTGGAATGTTATACACTAAAGGATCATGTTAAGACGAGAACCCTTGAAAGTGTGTGAGAGTATCTTGGTTTGAGATTCTTACAAGCCAACATGTAGACAACAACCATGGGTTGAAGGTTACTACGAATTTCAAGAATTAGCAATTGGTACAAATCGAGTAAATAAAATTTAATAGCTTTACCTTTCAGAATTTTCAATATTTTAAACAAATCTTTTGTATCGCATCAAAATATTAATCATTTTTCTGTTATGGCTGATAATTTTTAAAATCTTTTCTTAATTAAAATACAAATTTTTTGAAAGGTATATCTATTAAATTTTGCTAACAAAAATGCTAACGGGGAATTAACGTTTGGATAATACTTTGTATTTTGAAAGTTATGGCTGATAATTTTAAAGTTTTAAAGATTTGGTTAA